ATGTTGCAATAATATTATACTCATCGAGTAATGTAATACACCAATAATGCCGCAAGAAAATAACGTGTCGAGTCACTTTCGTTTGGTTTTTTTTTTTTTTTTTCGGTTGTTCTCGTCCGTAAAACATACTGCAAGAAGCGGCGATATTATTAATGCAATTTGTTACAATACAATCATTATAATAATCGTATTATGCGTTTTGGCCATAACTGCGATACATACAATATTGCACTACTATTAACAAAACCCGAACAAAATGTTTTATGACATTGGATTTTCGATGTGTTCATGAGGATCCGTTTCAGAAATAACATAATAATTCGATTCGTTTTTTCGGGATTAGAAACAACAACAAAAAAAAAAAAAAATACCAGCTGTCACTGTTGACTGCTGCGCCACGTTTTAGGAGGAAATTCGGGAGGGACGATTTATTATGTATAAAATAATTTAATTTATATCTGTACGGTACGATAAATCGTTGTTAATGAAAAATAATTCGAAGCGAAATTCGGTTCAATTTGTCCAAATTAATTGAATTTGAAATATCGTGATTTGTACGATTTTCATCGAAATTCAAACTAAAAATGTTTAAAAAATAAAACCAATACATTATACTTATTATTTTTTTTTTTACCACTAAGCACAACTTATAACGAAACTTGCGTTAAACTGTCGAGGATTTTTATTGAGCCAAAACAATTTTATCTACTAAACGAATTCGGAAATTTTAAATTTTTTCGAATTTCGCGTTTAGCGAAGGCTAACGATGGTAACTCGTGCAACAGTTCAGTTTTACGTTTACTTTTAATTTTTTATTGAAACTGTTGCAGTTGAAATTGTTCTGCTTTTCCTACGTTTTCCCCGGGTTTTTGCCAATGAACTGCAATGAAATTTAAGGAGAAAAGAGCTTTCAGAGAAAATACTACACTTCGTCGAAATAAAATTTCTAATAGAAAAGTTGTTCACAGACAAATAAAAAAAAAACACATATCATGCCTTCAGAATTGAATATACCTTGCGGTTTGTATAGTGAATTAAAAGAACATTTTATTTCAGTTAAGTTAAATGAACAAATTTGTAACATTGCCTACCTTTTATTTTTTATCTTGACAATGTCAAACTATCTTGTTTTTATCCTACTTGTCCTAATTATTTTTAATCAATACGTAGATAATGTTTGTGTATAATGTTTGTGATTGTGTTACTAAACGTATATCAGTATTTGTCCAAAAAAAAAAAAAAAAAAAAAAAATTATTTGTTTTAATCGTGCAATAACCTTGGAAATTCACAAATACCTATATCACAATGTTATGTTTTATTCTAATGATGAATACGGCCAAATATTCGCCATCAACAAGTAACTATTTGATAGATTTGAAAATTATTCGAATAGTTTTACTATTCGGTTATGGAAAAAACTACACTATCAATAGCATAAACTATTCGGAAGTGCACTATTTTGTACTACAAATATAAAAAAAAAAAAAAAAAATAGATAGAATTACTAAAGTACCTGTGTACCTAAAATACTCTATTCAAAATGTTTTTAGTTGTATGTTGTGAATCGCCAACATTCTTGATTTGATATTTTACTAATATCATAACTAGGGTTCGAATGTTTATGAAATTGCAAGCTTTTTTTCTGTTTATCCAATTTAATTCTGTTCTGAATATAAATCTGACTCATGTTTTACTGAATCAAATAATACTATTTTTATTTTAGCATATTTTGTATATTTTGCATATTTTATGGTTTTGTACCTATTTTAAATGTTGTTAGTTTAGGATTTTAAGATGATAAATGCAAATTTCGGTAAATTTTTGAACTTTTTTAAAAAACGATTTAAATGAATAAAGAAATATAAATCAAAAATGTATACAATTAGAACAAATTAAAAAAAAAAAAAAACACTGTATCACATCGTAACGATTTTACTGTAAATTAATATGTAAACAAAATAACAAATACAAATAACTACTGAAAAACTACTCACAAAAATTAAATACTCGGGGTACAATAAATTGTTGTATTCGTATTTTATTATTTTCAGTGTATATTTTGATTGCATATTTGGTAATTTTTTTAGTGCGTAAAAATGCATACGTATTAAATTTGTTTTAAGCGCGTTATTATCCGAACACCGTAATAGTTGTTACATTATCAAGGTCCATATTCCGAATATTGCGAACGTTCGTCTTCGACCCGAATAAATCTTCCGAGCCGTTATCTATGCTATGTGTTCTCTTCGTAAACACATCGGTTATCATTCGCGTAAGAACGAACAAATACGCATTATTTACTGTTCGTCATTCGAATACAACGCGCCCGCATTTTTATCTATACGCGGTACGGTCAATGTTTTTAAACCTTGAAACTGCAAATGCCGTCGTCGCAATACTAAAATATTATCGGAACAATAATAACGCCTGCGTTGCTAAATCGGTAATTTTTTCGGTTCGAACGAAAACGAGAATCGTAAAACGTCTACACGTAACGTTAGCGCCGCCCTACGCCGATGCTAAATCCTCTAAAACCGCTGGTCGGGGAGCAGGAGCACTTGTCCGAATACTCGCAGTGCCGTGGTTTTTGGTTTATCGCCGAAAGTTTTTTATAATGTTATTCTTTACGATCGTGAATATTATAGCGATCGAATTTGATCGACACGAATCGCGTACAAACACGATAATTCATTGTTAATAACATTGATAGAGTCGCGATTTAATTACAATCGCATTCGAGACATTGACGACGAAAGTCGCCGACTTGGCGAAAAAACATAAAAAAAAAAAAAAAACACCGTAATCCCGCGGGATAGAGAAAAACGCAAACAGAAAATATGCGAACCGACGCGAATGTAAATAAATGTGTCATTGACGAACGTTAACATTACGGTCGGGATTTGAACGTAATCTTCGATCAGAATATTATTGTGCGATCACACTCCGAAAACGCAATGCTACTATGGGTACAATAAAAACGAACATCTCGTTTTATAAAATAATTAACGTCTAAAGAAATATTTCCAAACGGTAACCCCGTAAATTAATAGCGAGAGACTGGTGTTTTTTTTTTTTTTTCTTCAGACTGTAAACGTATATGAAAGTATTTTAACACGTACATTTTAAAAGTTTGCATTTTTTTTTTTTGTGTGTGTGTTTTTGGCGACTGTACATGAAAATATGTGTTTTTCTTTTTGAAATGTTTACTCGTCTGAGTATTTAAAACTACGTAATACACTCGAAGGCCTGAAGATATAATTTTTTTTTTTTTTATCTTTTCGCTGTAATTTCAACGATATATTCTACTGACTGAGCGCCTCTCGATAAGTGTTTCCGGACATTTTTTTATTTTTTTTTTTTTTTCATTTTTAACGTTAATGCATAATATAATTCAGCCTCACAGCACTTCGCTTGGAAAAAATTGGAGCACGGAACGTAGAAATAATTCATAAATAGATTCTAGCGGTAAATTTTTCTTGTCGGTTTTACGTTTCGTACGTCTTTACGCGTAATTCAAATGGAAATGCGTAAATCAAATATCAATTGCATATCGTAATATATTTCAGGACAACGTTGCACCGTTGTATTAATATTTCCGTAAAAACGATAATATTGCAAAATGCCGAATTTCGTATTACATACGTAATTTGTTTCATGTTATGATTCTTCTCCGTTGAGTCTAAACCGTCGTTACCTTTCCGTTGGATTCGACTGGGCGATAACCAGTTAATCGTTACATTCTCCAGTCTCATATCGTGGCCTTACGTGCACATTTCCCTTGGTCTACGGCGGTCGGTCATCTCTTGTTTTATGTTCCGCCGTAACGTTCTTTAATTTAATATTATTCCCATTCGCATGTATATGTGCAATTGTAGACCAATTTTTTTTTTTTTTTTTCGGTGGGAAGACTAAAACTATCAAGACAACACAGACCTCAGTAGTTTAAAATAGTTATATAACTAATAATTGGGTAAGCCGATAATTTAAACGAACTCGAATGTAAACTCAATTACAACATCAAACCACTGGACACTGATTCGACAGAAATCACTCAGTCCGCATATCCACCAAAACTTTTCATTACGAAAGAATAAAAACTCAACAAATTCTCACTCAAATTCAAAGCATTATTAATTCACCATTCAAATACAGCATAACCAACCTTATTCGCTACACTTAAATTCAAAAACAGACCGATACAATTTCAAACTGCAAATTCCTCTAAATTCCTCATATTGCACTACCGACCGTCCGCCAGAATTAACTGCTTGACAGAGAGCAACAAAAAAACAAAACAGTTCATTACTCTCTTTAGCCGAGCCGACTGTATAATATATATTATATTAAGTTTTTAGCGATTTGTATTACTATAGGTCTGTGTGGTGCCCACAAGCGTTAAAAGTTCGAAGTTTTTACGTGTAACGCCCTCTCGCGTTGAACCGCCTCCACTAAGTTTTGTTCTCTGTGCTTAACTTGCCAACGTCCGCGTTCTCACAACCACTATGCTCTCAAGGTAGGTAATTACTACACCTTATCGAGCAACAGCACGCGTTCTGGTGAGGCCCCTGCAATAGATTTACGTGGCGTCCATAAAACCAATGGCGTCTGTTTTGAATAAACGAAAATTAGTTTTTTCTCGTCTAAGCCGATCGCAGTTAATCGTCGACTAGGTTTCGGTTTTGCACGTACGAGTCCAGTGTCGTAGTGTTAACAATGTTTTTGAGGACCCGTCAAAATTAAGCCGGGTGGATTGGTGCCGAAGCCAAGGCAGACGCATTTTAACAACGCAATCGCACTTGCATAGTAATTGTCAATTATAAATGAAGAGTTGGACGAAAAAGAAAATCGCGTACGCCGTACTATAAGGATTTTGGTAAGACGTGATATTCAAATCAAATCGGCCGGGTGGACGGTATAAGCACGGATGTCGGGTTCGTTGGTGCAGACGCACAACTAAACGCGCCGCTGTATGGGACACCCGGGTTTTTCACTCGGAGGGATGAACGGACGAGCTAGTCGATCGGATCGCAACGCCCGTAACGGTGCTGAGTGCACGCGCGTATGCACGGGTGACCGGACACGAAAAGTACGCGCCGTCCGGTGCCGTGCCGTCCGCGGGAAAAAAATCAAATATAGCCGGCGGGGCCGGTCGCCGTCTGCGGGAAAAGCCGAGCAGGCCCCGGCGTTTCCGGTGTCGCCATCTCTTTCCTCGCGGACGACCGGGGAGCTTCTCGCGCCCGCGCCATCTTTTCCGGGGGCGCCGCCGCGGCACTCCGCGGTCCGGCCGGCCGCACAGATGGCGCCAGCCGATACAATAATACCGCGCCGGGTGACCGCGAGACGCGTTCACGGTCCGGCGGGTTCCCCACCACCGCCGGGCGCGACGGCGGCGGCGGCGGCGGCGGGCCGACCGACCGACGTCGTTCGGGAGGCGGTCGGCGGTGTGCGCCGCTATAACCCGTTAGTAGACGATGTAGATCAGATGTTCGTGCACCGTCAACGCTGTTGCTGTCGCCGTCGCTTTACGCAGTTGTTTTCGCGCGTGTAATAACAACAATACCACCGCGGTGGCCGGACAGTCCGAATTTCCCCGTAAACCGCGTTCGACAGTATCGTAAATAACACCGGTGACCGCGGCGAACGCAGTGGATAAATACCGTAATAGTATCGCGCTTTCCCCCTCGCCGACCCCTTCGCACCAATACCGTCCCCNCCCTCCCCCCGACCGACCGAGTTTTCATCCCGAGCGCATAACGCGCGGTCCGCGCACGCGAACGCCCGGCGCCGCGGTTTTCCCGCACGGAATCACCTGCGCCCGCGATACTTTCCGAAGGATAAGCGGACACGGATCGCGGCGTCATGCCGGTAGACTCGTCGTGAACGCGGCGGGAACATCGCGCCAGTACGAGCCGCAGCCGGACGCGACAAACGCCGAACGGGTAAGTTAACCGCGAATAAATAAAGTTAACCAACGATAACCGCGAATAGCGATAGCAAAAGGGTACCGCGACAGAGCGTACAAGTCCGAGTCCGAGTCCGCCCCTCCCTTATTTATCGTCCACCCCCCCGGCACGGCAATTACGCAACCGACTGTATCGATTTTTCGTAACCCAACACGCCTGCCCCGCGGTGCCGGTGTTGCGGCTGTTACCGTCGTGTCGCGTGCCGTTGCGGATTACCTGGCCGTGTGCGCATCACCTGCCGCCGTTTATCCGGTTACCGCGACCGTGACTTTTCTATTTTTTTTTTTTTTTCTAATTCGTATAATTTTATTACGATTCCGACGTTCGGCGCACAATAATTTCGGCCCGTATCAGCTGCCCCTGTGCCCCGTTCCACCCGCACCCCGCTACCCGTCAAATCGATCGTCCGATAAGAGAGTTCCGGTTATCGCGCGCGCTCTGAAACCTCCATAACGTCCGTATACTTCAAGCGTTTTTGAACAGTAAATACCGTAGCGTGTTCGACGTAGATACGCGACTTGGCGATTTTCTTAATCCGCGTAAATACGTTATCCGCCACCAGCGGCGGACCCGGAGGGAGCGATCGCCCCTCCCCCCACCTGTTCGCTAACCAATGTGCTCTTAGCTACATTATACTTTTAGCTCAATTCGTCATTGAGTTCGCCATAAACGCGCGTCTTATACGCACTTTCGCCCCCTCCCTCCTGTTATCTCGTCCTAGACCCGCCCCTGTTATCCGTTATCCTTTAGCCTTTTAGTTCAAAACTCACGGTTTACGATCGGTACAATAATTAAAAAAAAAATCTCGGCTGCATTATGCTCGCGGTGCAGATAAAAAAAAAAAAAAAAAAACAGCTGTTGTTGAAATTCTCACCCGTATCCGACTACATCGAATATTATATGCAATAATAACGGGCGCGTTTTGGTGATGCAGTTTTGAGCGACTGCGTTCGATCGCTACGGTTAAACGGACAAACCGTTTTGGCGATATCGTTCACCGCGATTTTCCAATAACCGAGTGCGCATCGTTGGCGGAAATCGGGGTCTAAGGGGCCTTAGCCCGGTAAAAACGCACGAGCAAAGAAATCGGTCCTCTTCCGATGACTGTAATTCCTAATTTAAGGGGGGGGGCTATTTCATTGTTTATTCGTTTTAAGCAGGGCTCCGACCGCTCGAGCCCCTCCCCCCCCTCCTTCGCCGTCGCAATATCCGCCAATGGCAATGCACTTGTCGACACCCGGAATCGCCGGACAATAATCGAAAACCGCGTTAACCGTGTTCCGCGATACCGGACTTTCGGTCGGCGAAATACCGTAAAGCAAACGAAACCTTTTTTTTCGGCGCCGCAGTTAGTTACAAACCGCTAAAATACGGATGTGTTTTTATCGTACAAAAAAAAAACAAAAAAACAAAACGGTTTTCCTAGTTTGAAACCGGGCGGCCTAACCGGACCCAGCCAGATGGAGGGGGGTAGGGCGGTGGGGGTCCCGCGATCCGATTTCCGAGGCCGACGATTGTGTACGCGCGACCGTCGCGATATTTGTTCATTTTCGCGCCGCCGGCCGCCGGCCAACAGGTCGGGCGTGTCGCGGCCGAGCCTGTTAAACTGAACGGCATCGCCGTTGTGACGGTACCACCAACGTTTCGGCCCGGCGACAACGCGACAATGTCGTTGCTGGTCCCTTTCGGGCGTGTCGCGGACCGCTCGACGACTTTGCCGCCATTTCGACGGGCGACTGTCGGGTCCCGGATCGGCCGCGGCTTTTAGACGCCGGACCTGTTCCGGCGCGTTCGTTTTCCGCGCCCGGCGCCGTGCTCAGTCTTACGGGAGATGGCGCGGGAGGGTTGGAAGCGCTAACGTTGTTATACACGACCTCAGAACTCTACGCTGTCCGTCTAGCCGTGAAGTGTTTTTGTGCCCGATGACGCGTTTCCATAGCGACGTTGAATTCCGTGTGCGTAGCGAATACCCACGCGGATCAATTTACGGGGGGCGATCCCCTTCGCTCCCCCCCCTCCATCTCCCCCATCAAATACGCCACTTTCTGTAACGCGCGAAACTCCGTCCGTTTTGCGTTCAAAATGCACGCGAACGAAATACGTGTTTTATTTAAATCGGCTTTTTTTTTTTTTTCAAAGTTATGGCCGTATTTCCAATGAACTTGAACTACAAGATTATTTTGATTCCGATTCCAAATGTTACACATTGAGAGTTTGAAAACATAATTTATGCGTCCTTGTTAGAAACGCAGAGACGACCAATTCTCCCGCTAAATTAAATAGTACGCACTTCAATCCGCTGTAATATTTTATAAAACCGCCGAGTAAAAGTTTATAGCAAAATAAACTTTTCATAAACCCGGGTTCGCGTGTTACACATATGAACTTGAACTAAGCAAGTTCATAAAAAAAAAAAAAAAATGGACTTTACAAGGTCTTGTTACGCGTTTGAATATCAAGTCCGGTGAACGATATTTAATATTAAAAATACGAAGCATATTAAGTGTAGGTAGGTAAAACCAGGTAAAAAAATGAAAGAAAAACCGGCAGCGATAAAAGAACGATTTTTACGGGAGCGGATAATGGCTGAGCAACGGAAAAAGCCGAAAACGCACTATACGCACATTACGGGGAGGTATTAAGGGGCGGGTAATTTAAAGACCTAACGTAACGATACATCGTTGCATTCAAATGACGGTTCCGAGCGGAACAATGTTTCATAGTGTTAGTCGTGATTTCGCCGCGTGCGGTCCAGGCGACCCGGGGAAAATCGACAAAACTAAACCGACGTCGGCGTATTTTGTTTTCACTCCGTACACCGCGGTGTTGAACCCTGGGCCGTTGGCCAACAACCTCCCACGGCGGTGTCTCGTAACGCGAACCGTTCCGGTAGGCTTACGGGGCTGGACACCAAACGATCGTTCTGTTATTGTCGGCGTTCGAATCCGATAATCCGGATTTGAACGGTACGCGGAACGACAACGGACGGAACGAGAAAAATTCGCCGCGGACACGGCGACGGAATCCGACCGTTTCCAACGGTTCCGCCGTTAAAAAAAAAAAAAACCGTCTTACGCGTATAATTACGAGCGGTTTGACGAGAAACCCGCTCCGATCCGATATAATTATTAAAGAGAAGACGAGGGGATAATAATCGAACGTACAGGAATGGGTGTGACAGCGACGTTCGTTTCGAGATTCCGATTATTAGGTACGTTTTCAATTATTATTATTATTATTACTGTTTCCATTATTATTACCATTACGGGTGGATATTCTTTTCTCGCGGAAACACGTACCGGTACCATTGCCATTATAACGGTTACGTAACCGGTAATTTGTTTTTCGGAATTAAAATATAAATTTCGTACACGTTGAAAAGTCCGTTTTCTGTGTTTCGAATTGTACGGCGTTTACCTGGAACGAAAATCAAAAAACGAAAAAATGTATAAAAAAAAAAAAAAAATAAATAAATAAATAGCCGAACACACTTTTGCGGGCGGACGTCGTTTTCGGAACGGGTACCAATAACGTAATATATAAAGCGGTGTTGGTAATATGTATCTTGTTCGTTTATCTGCTATACACGGTTCTGTTCTGAACGCTGGAGCAGTCGCGAGTTTTTTTTCGTTGTCATCAATAAGGTAACCCAGAAACCTAGAAAAAAAAAAAACAAAAACAAAAACGGACCTAGGTCGTGAACTGTTGAAAATTTCGATAAAATACCGTCGGCCGGAAATTTTTCGAGTACCGCGCGAAAAAATCAGAACATTTTTAGAAAACGGTTTTCCAGAGGTGCGTAAAAATATATTTTTTTTTGGAAAACCTGTCGAGAATTTCGAAATATTTTTCAAATAAAGTATCGTCGGACGACCGACCCGCGTCTTTCGAGGTGTACGGCTTTGTTTGTTAACCGTAAATGTTTGTCTGGACCTATATAAAGTAACCTAACCATACCTAGCCCCGATTAATAATATTATTACGACGTGACCGGGCGTAGTAAATGCCCGCAAACCCAACTATCATGTAACAAAGTGATATTGAATCCGACGTATTATTTTATACGCTACTAAAGCTGATGATCGCTACATAACCGTACGATTTCTAGAGAATCGATTGAAACACCGTTCGCAATGCCACGTGAGCGGCCGGTTTTTTTATTATTATTATTTTTTTTTTTTTTTTTTTTTTTTTTAGATGAGTTAGATATTACCCGCGTGTATAATAACACAAGCGGAGACGGACTACTGTTATAGCCAACATACCTGTGACATCATCTCCGCGCGATAATACAAAATAATCATTGCACACAGTTCTGCGTGAAATCTCGTCGTACGCATCCGCGATGGAAGAACGCCAATATTATAAACGGGATATCACCCGGGGTACACGTAGATAACGGCCCGTGCGATCTGTGCGGTCAACGATATTTTACGTACACGCGAACATTGGTTATCGCGTCGATTTTTGAACGAAACGAGAAAGAAAAAATCGAGTTTTTGGGCCCGTTACGGTTTGGAGAGAGAAAAAAAAAAACCCCCCATTAATTTCACGATACAAATAATTGTCGCGTGACGTAATAATAACGAGTGAGTAACGACAACAATTGGCGAGGACATTGTCGGCAGTCGCAACGGCGTAGGTATAATATCATAGCGGTGAACAGAGGACTACTAATGTGTATCGGTTCGAAACAACATCAATCGTCCGGGAGCGGGCTGAAAAATCGGATTTTCGGACAGAATAACACGGACGTTAAATCCGTCTATTAATAATGTTTTCCATTAGATTATCGCGACCTTGCGTGTCGATCATCGGGGAGAGAGAAAAAAAAAAAACCTTCGATCCTTGTATAGTTAATAATTATTGCGACGGTATTATTATTATTATTATTTATTTATTTTTTTTTTTTTCCATAACCCAAAGTCGGTCGAAACCTCCGCTCGAGCTGCGACAACAATACGGCTGCGCGCAGGTGACATTGTATGCCCGTACGGGCAACACGGTGAATATTTTTACACCGTACTCGATATCGTAAACCCTGCCGGTCTCCGTGCGAAATAATAATTTGTCGAAACAATATAGCGCGTGTAGGCCGCAGTTTGGAAAAAAAAACCCCGTAAATAACAATGAAAAATTGCATTAACAAACGCGCGATTTCTTTTTATTGCGACAATAATCGTTATCGATAAGGTACTTAATTTATCCGAGACTGTGCGCGGCCGCAGAGCGCCGCGTGGTGTACTTTTTTCGAAATTCGTTTTCAAGAATATTTGAAAAATCAGGCCGTTTTAAAATTTAATATTTCCGTTAATTTTTGTCGTCATAATTTTCGGGCATGAAACGACTACCAACTTTTGATTTTCAAATTACAACCCATTTTAAAAATTCCATAAATAGATTAAGTAATAGTTAAAATAGATTTTGGCGTTTAAATTTGTAATTTTTCGTCAATCCGTGGACGAGATATTCCACTTTATGTTTTGGTCGGGGGAGAGTAATGGAGCATCATTTGTGTGGCGGCGCAGCGCGCGGAGTTTTAAGAATGTACCACTACTCTTCCCCGAACCAAACTTAAAAATGGAATATCTCGTCAACAAATTAACGGAAATTAAAAATTTAAACACCAAATTTTAATCACTTCTCTATTTACTTATGGAATTTGTAATATAGGTTGCTATTTAAAAATTAAAATTAGATAGTACTTTCACCCCCAAAAATTAGAGTGACAAAAAATAAAATAAATGTAAAATTCCAGAGCTGCTTGTTTCTAAAATTGTCTAAAAAACAAATGTCGAAAAAATTCGATACTTTTCAAGAGATGATAATTGATGATCTTGTATTTAAAGGATAACGTCCGTAACCGAAGAATGCAGAAGACGAAGGGAAAACAGAGAGCTATATACAAATAAAATTTGAAGTAAACAATTATATTTTAGAGATCATTGATAAAAAAAAAAAAAATATCTACGGGCTAGAAATAAAACCAAAACCTACACTATGTGGACAGTGCTGCAGGGGCAGAGTAGCGATCATCAGGAAATCCGAGATTATCACGAAAAGGCTAGTAAAAAAAAAATAGAAGTCGAACATTTAGGCGATGGACTGAATAAAGACGATTTTGGCGACGGATATAAAGATGACTAATGGTGGATAAGTATGAGACGGGACAGGCCTAATATTAGACAAACGTAAATAATAACTCAGAACCGGTTTATTTTAGAGTGGTTCTCAAAAGTTTTATATTCGAGTACCTACCGTCTAAATATTTTGCAAATTTTCACGTACCGCTTGATAGCATTTTTTTCACTTATCAAAAAAACTTAAACGTTATTATATATAGGTATTTACTAGTTGTATACAATTTAAGAAAATATTATAAAAATACAAGCATAATTCATTGCACAACAAGTAAAATAATAATTTCATTTCATTTTTTTTTTTTTTCTTTAAAACGATATTTCCTACTCTTACCACCTATATGACCTTTCCCGTTTTTTATACCACTGATCTAGAACCGCCGATCTATATAATATATAATATAATCTAGTGACATCATCGTAAGAAAATTCTCATGAAGCTAATTAGCATTTCCTTATTATGGTCTATGGAGTGCCTATAAATAGTAGTATTAGGTAAATATAGTATTTTTTTTTTCTTGACAAATTACGCGTATCCATTTTAGCGGTACACTCGAAATTTTCAAAAGTATAGACTTTTTTCGAGCATTTTTATTTTTATAATAATCCAAGAAACACGCAGCTCTAAAAAGCTACGTTAATATTATTTGTTGAGGTTGAAACTACTACGCACTTTTGGTTTTTAAATGACAACCTATATTAAACACTGATAGTGCACCACTACTCTTCCCTTACTCAAACTTAAAAGTAGAAAATCTCGTCAACGGTTCGGCGGAAATCGAAAATTTCAACGCTGGCACGTATCTGAACTAATACCCCGTCTATTTATTTTATTGTTTAACGTGTATTTCCATTTGGAAATCAAAATTAGGCATTCTTTTCATCCGCAAAAATATCGGTGACAGAAATTAATATGCGTTTTAGAGCTGCTGTTGTTTCTTAAAATGTTCAAAACAAAATTCTGTTACAAAAAAGTCAACACTTTTTCCGTAAATCGATCACACTGTATGCGTAGGGACGCCATCGTTAGAATACGCTCTCGTAAAACGAATTCGCGTTTCCTTATTGCCGAGTGCCCGCGATAGGTAATGAATTTTTTTTTTTTTTTTTTTTTTAAACCCAGACGGCATACTCGTATATCACGCCTATATAATAATGTTACATGCGTAGCGGCCGTCCTTCGCACGTGTGAAATGTGTCGCGTAAAATTTGGGTTAACGAACGTGTGCGCGTCTATAGGTTGTACACGATAATATTATATTGTATTCGTTCTTATCGCGTTCTCGTCGGGTGTAATTAAAAGTATCCGGCTTAAACGGTTACCGTAATGTTTTATGGCCGCGGCTATTGTCGTGCATTACGTGACGTAACTGGCCCGCGTAGCGGTTCGATTATTACGATACGTAGGCAGTTAACGTTTACGACGCGACCATAGGTAGTTGCTGGGTAGCTGGGAACGCGTGACAGAGGTACCCTGCACCGCCCGCGCTTACTTACTTACTTACTTACATACTTACTTACCCACACGCTTGTCGGATTAACGGCCGAGGCGTGACGAAGCCTAAAGTTCCCGTAAAGCCGCTGTGAAAATTCCGCGCACCACGGGTCCGCGGGATCGGGATTAGTGTTTTTTTTTTTTTTTTATTTCAGATTACGAGTACAATAATTTTACAAAATATTTCAACACCCTGTCTCGGAAAACGCCTTTTACGGTTAGATCCGAGTTTTACCGCGCAGTAACAGGCCTACCTCATCACGACGAGATGTCGGATTTGAAACATTCGTCGACGTCCTAAGCAGTTCGCTTCCAATGTATTTTTTGTTGTTTTATTTCCGTCGATTACCGGGCTGCATCGGAAACAATTGGAATAATACACGATTTATGTACTACTTTTGCTCGGAATCGTTTTATTCGATCGCATTTATCGTTGTTTACAGTTTATATTCTGAATTGCCCTGTACGCCCAGCAACTTAAAACTCGTGGGTGTGGTATCGACTTTTTTTCTAACCTATAGATAAAAATAAAGACGATGTCACTAAAATTCATCTAGACGAGATAACTACAATTTAAATAACCGAATATGAATTTTAGTTTATTCGGGTATGAAAAATAGACGATAATAACAACATTGTATACATTTCAAAACAATAAATCTTTACTTTTTTGTTTTTACAACATAAATACCTAAGTGAAAATTAATTAAAATAATAATTTTCGTCATGAAAAAATATTCGAATGCTTTTGTTATAGTAACGTTTTGCTTTTTTTACACTAGGGCCTTCGCGTGCACTAACTATTGTTATTCCTTATCGTAAAAATTAACGTTGAAAGAAACTAAAAATACAGACAAAACGTGGAAAGTATACCTAAACACGTTGTTCAAATTAATTACTCGTTAAGACCGAAGTTTATTTTTTTCTCGACGTTGAAAATATTTCCTACGTTACCGCGATAGTGCACCAAGACATAACGGGTTAATGGTATTTTAAACTATGTATAATTATGTATACTACAGTACAATTTAGCATATATTTCGCGAGTGAAATAATTGAATAAAACAAATGTTTGTACTTTGTACAGCAAAAATATACACATGTCTTCGAAAATCGTATGAATTTACATGTTTCTACATAAGACGACGTTAATTGGCATTCGACATAATGTTTCGAAAAATAACCTTTATTTTCGACTTTTTCTTCTTCTTCGTTAGCTTTTAACAGCACATCAGCACGATTGCCGTCTCTATTTATATGTTTTATTATTTCCAAACGGTATTTACCCCTTATTTTCTTCGGGTCAATTTCAATTCCGACCAACCTCTTTTTTACCAGTCGGTCTTCACATTATGTAACCGCTCCGATTTCGTATTATTATTACATAATTATTTTTTATCTAGGTAAATGTTTTATTTATTGTCTCTCGTCTCAATCTATAGATATGTTTAAAGTTATCTTTATACAACCGTCCGTTTCTAGACAGGGTATTGATTGATTTCCATGGCAGTTTCCATGATACCGTCGGGAAAAACCGGAAAAAGACGAAAAATGAAAACTGGAAATTTATGACGTTTGAATTCCTTTATTTTACATTTTTTTCGGCTCATGTTTTTACCAGCAATATTGCTCTAATAGAAAAACAACAAGAAATCTTTTTTGTTGGATTTTTACTCCAGTCAGTGAATAATAAAATTTGTTTTTGATTTTCCGATTTGTTATTTTTTTAATAATTGAGAAAAACCGAAAAAAGAAAATTTACGATAATAATGATTTTAATTATTTCCAATTTTGTTTGTTTGGGGCAATTCAGTAAAAAATATTATTAGACTTGAAATTTGTACAGATAACTTATATTTCCTATTTATAGACGTGGTAAATTTCTAAAAACAATTGAGCTTGAAAATTTAACGGAGGGTTTACTATTAATCGTATTTAGTGGTAAAAAAAAAAAAAATAGCGTAATTCAGTAGTATTTTTTTTTAAAACAATTTAGGAATAAAATTTTTCGACGAAAATCGTAAATCTTACGGTCTTTCAGAACATTCGGGTGTAGCCGAACTTCGCTCCGAATCGTTTTCCGTCAACAGTGATTTATCGTTGCTTACAGATGTGATTAAATATCGTTGTATACCCTATATTTCTAACTTCCCACCCGCAACCGGGGATACACCCGTCTCCAGTAGCAGCTCATTTTTTATACATACATCGTTCGCAAATCGCGCGTTAATTAACCGTTCAAAATGTTGCCGTATCGAACGTTTTCAACATGTTATTACGGAAACTATACCTGAACTATATACACATACACATGTATATATGGTATTATTATGGCGACGATAAGAACCGTCTCGAAATGTGGGTTGAGAGAAGGAACGATAGCGATACTAATAATAATATGCCGTTTACACTTTCTCGAACGTCGTCGCGTAAAAACGTTTCGGGCCGGAATCCTCTCTAGTGTCGGGACGAAAGGAAAAAAAAAACGCGCGCGAAATATCATTTATTATAATATTTTACACCGTACGAGACGGACTTTGATGGAAAAAAAAACGCACACGTTATTACTACGCGACGCCGACGACGGATGACGGAAATCGCGACAGTCCGGTACTCGTATTCAGTAATAACGATAATTTCCGATTGTGGCGTCGTGCGGTGCGAACGGAATACGTATATTATGAATTTAAAAATAAATAAATATATATATATATTATATCCAATGTATACAATTACTCGTGTATACGTATAAATTATTTAGAAAAAAAAAAAAACACAAAAGAAATAGGTCGGCCACGCAGCGCCAAATGACGAAACGGAATATAAATAATCACGATCTAGTATAGTATAATTAGGTGCACTGGGTCATGTTTTGCACGAAACGAGAATGTAAACATCGATTTTCGTACGCCGCAGTAAATGTATTCTGTTTAATCAAAATATTTTGTTTGGATGCGCGCGAGCGAAAAACACTAAGTGTAAACAGGCCGATTTTGTTTGTAATTTGTTCACCGTGTCGAAAATGTACCCATTGTACAATGTACTTGTCTACTTCTTCTTCTTCTTCTTCTTTTTCCTCTTCGCGAGTTTCTGTGGTAACTTTACACGAAGTCGCGTAGCTATTCGAATCCGTCACGTCGAAACGGAATGTTGTCGCTAAAATGTGCGTATGATAAAACGCACGGCGATGGAATAAGGGGGCGACATTTTGAAAATCGCAAACCAGATCGTTCAGGCACAACGACGACGGAATGAATAAAAACCGAAATAGGTTTTACTCGAAATCTCCGTACGGACTGAATGGGTGGAACGCAATAAATAAATAAACAAAAAAAAAAAAAAATTACCCTGTATAGATGCAGGAGTGTTATTAGTGTCAACATTGTAGACAATGTGCTAAGAAAAGATAAAAAAATCCCGAAACAATATTCGTCGAACGTGAATGTGGTGTGAGCGTGTGTGCGTGTTTTTTTTTACACACACACATAATAATATTATTTTACTAAAACAATAACGTGAATAATGTGAGCGCTCGCCGCGCGATATTATGTCACGCGTGCGCGTATATAGGTATACGAGTTTCGTAAAAAAAAAAAAAAAATTTCGACCGAACAAAGTTCTCGGGGGATAAAAAGAACGCGACGAGACAACAACAATTCAATATTTCAATGAATAGATAAATAGTGAAAACATATAATTACCTTAATGTATAATACGTATAACATACACAGCGCAGTGTCCTCGTCCGCGCTTGGGAATTAATTGCGCAAAATATTCCGGCGGCGCGGTCCGCGACGACGTGGTCGTGCGAAAAGACACGACGGCTGCGGCCGTCATACTCGGGTACAATACGGGGAGAGAAAATAGGTGATTTTTTTTTTTTTTTTTTCAAAATCCGTTCTCAGACGGAAAAAATAAATTTACAATTTTTCGCACCGTGACAAAACCGAATCCCGCATGTACAGGTATCGCCTATGTATTCTAAAAAAAACACATAAACATATGAAAAAAAGAAAAAAAAAACAACAACAACAATACAACTGTAACGAGACTTGATAGCATTAGAAATCATATTGTTCTATTATCACTCCATTAAGCGTACAACGGGTTAAAACGGTTCTTTATACGTTTTTATGTACACAAACCTGAAATAGTACGAGTATTTTCTGTTATCATAAGTACAATATTATAATGTCACCGCAAACAAAACAACCGTTTTAACATTTCCTTATCAATTTACACATCGTCTGTCTACCTTTGATAATATTTGACAGGTGTATTGTATGCAAATGAGCAAAATTAATTTAATTTTCATGCGCGTGTAGTCTTGTATTTCGATAAATATCCATCGAACCTTGCAAATAATCATACACTCGATCGTTCGTCACCGATTTTTTTCATTTTGAACCCCGTACACAGTCTTAAAATGGCACACACACATAAAATACAAATAGAATTTGTATTTTTAAATGATTTCTAAATCACTTCCTCATGTACTAATAAAATTCTACAAGAAAGGTTTTATACAATTTTTGATTTAAGTAAGATTTACGGTAGAAAAGATGTATACAGACACAAAAATAAAAAAAAAAATTTAAAAAAACACATCATAGTAAAACCAATAGAATCGTTACATCGCTCAGAATCTAAAATAAAAAAAGAAATGTTAAATAATTCACTTTAGCGGTATTATCAAAATAATTTTAGTTATACCTAAATTAGGTATCATTGCGGAAAACGACGAATTATTAATTTGATCAATTACTGCATTGTAATCGTTTCGATCAATTAATTATATTGCTTTTAAACCTCCGGGCTCCCACGGAAACGACATTCAATTTTAAAAATGGCAAAAAAATAAATATCATGCGTTCAGACTTCTGCAACAGATCGGGTCAGCGCAAATCGTATTATAACCGTGGCGATGACTGCAGGTTTTTTTTTAATTTTTTTTTTTTCGTTTTTCTCCCCGTGTATAATGTTTTGCCCCCTCCCCTACTCCGCGGCGAAAATCGGCGCTTTAATTCGGTCGATTCGATAACATTATTATACCTGTACGTGCGTAAAAAATATAATATAATATTTCATGTTTTATATGCTGTCGGTCTATTTCAGCGTTTTGGCGTCGCAAACGACCGTTGCGAATTTCACGTCCCGTCGTCGACGTCGTTCCGAATCTTCCCGCCGCGTCCTCGTAATAATACAGGGTGATTATATATTTCACCGCGAACCGGCGATTATCCATTATACGTAGAGCCGTACGCGAAGATATCGAGTACATTCAATTTCGCTAGAGGTTTTTTTTTATCTCTTATGAAAATCGTTATACTATATAGAGAACCCCTTACGTGTGTACACAAATATCGGAATTAAGTCTGTATGCAAAGCCGTTTGTCCGCTGTACAACAAACCCCAAATTGTGTTCTGATCCTAAAGAAAACATGCAAATTCGACGGCTAAAACGATAAGAAGAAAATCGTTATCTATGCGTCGAAATTCAAAGCTCAAAATGTCGCTGATACGGGGTTTTTAGTGTTTTTAGAACGAAAGTCGAGTTTTTTTTTTCATCATTATTTATAGGTGATACGGATAAAAAAAAAAAAAAAAACAGTTATTAATATTTTATTTGCTCGTCACATACCAAGAAATATTATAGTAGGTACAATTTTTAAAAGATTAATTACCGGGCAACAGCGTTTAACTGTGATTGTGATACGAGTGGAAACGGGGAACGGGGACACACGTTAAATCGAATTCGAGTTATTGGTTTTTGTTTTTGACGTAATTACGACTGGAAAATACCGAGTAATTCATCGCTAGTCGTTTATGAAAAGAAATTTACGATATCGGTGTCGCAAACAGTATAAATAGCTGTTGATTTTCGAAAACTTTTAAAAATATTATAAAAATGCAAGATCATTGAACGGTTATAGGCTTCCATAGGTAAATCCTATATTATACTGTAATAAAAAATGGTCAACTCAGCTTGTCGCTATTGCTACTTGTGTATTTGGACGCAATTTCGTAAATCCAATAATGTGTTACGCCAATAATATTATACTGTTATCGAGGATTGATTACACTGTAATATAAGCTCTGTGCGTATAATCTAGGGGATCGTTTCACCACATTTTCAGTGTAATAAGTCACATCAAGATCCCCTTATTATGAAAACTTATTTTAGCTCTTATCTGTTTAATCTTGCCTAATAGCACAGATATTGAAAACATTGATTCCATTCGCCGCTTATTATCAATGCGAAAAAGGTTTCTATTCCATCATGGTGGCATTAAAAACTAAACACAGAGATTCGTTTGTCATCGTTGGAAAATAATTTACTTTTATGCTCTTCCAAACACAAACCAAGAATAAACAAACTTTTGAATATAAATAATTCGCAAATATCGCATTAATTCGTACTTTATAGCAATAGCTTTATGCTTTTTCGTTTTTCTAATTGTGTATTATTTTTTCATTTTTAACGTTAATAAAAGATTGTTTTTCTACGTCGGCGTTTAATTATTATTTCTGACCGGTGCCACCCCCATTATTGAGAAACGCCGACCTAGGGTGTACGCAGTGTCTGAAAACGATTAAAATTTAGGTACTCGAAAACCGTCGCGGATATTATAAACTACAATCGCCGGTTCGCGATAAAAAAATAAAAAAATAATGATCTCCCTGTATATTCACACCGCCGCGGAAAAACGGTCTAACGTATTATTATAGTCTGTCGTAGTGTCGTCTCGAGGTCACCAAGAACGCGTACAATAATAATAAAAATAATATCATGTCCTCCTCCAGACACTGCGAAAATTACGTACGTTTTTTTTTTTCTCTCATTATTATTCCGGACTGTGGACTCGGGAAATCGAGTTTTATTATAGGCGTTAAAAACACGCGCATTATTGTTGTACAAACAACATAAAACGTATAATAATAATAATAATAATAATAATGCACTAATAATACGCGTGGGCATACTGCGCTCATAATACGTAAATACCGTGATGACTATGACCGCGCGGGCGTGAAAAAAATAACTAAACGGAAAACAACGGAGATTTTCACGACGTGATGGTGTTTTTGACCTTTGATGCCTACACGTATCTCATAAACGGTATCACGACGCCCGCGAACTATCCGGCGACGTATCCAGACGAGGGATAATCGTAAAACTACTGAGACTCATTCGTTAACCGGGTATTGAAGAGCAGCAGGATTTGTGTCACTGTGGCTTCTATATGACATCTTCTGAGTTGTTTTTTTTTTTATAAATTCTCTAAAAGAATTCAGTAAAATTAGGTGAAAATATTGTTAGGTAGGTAATGAGGAGATTATAGATTGCTCCTGGATTATGTTAGGTTCGGTACGCCACTGTCCGTTTATTTATCGTTGAGATTACGGTCCGGTTCGTATTATCGGTCACCGTCGTCACGGTTTCCCTTGTGCGTGCAACCCCGTGCACGTTTATTTTGTTCCTAAATTAGATAGGTATCTCGTAAGTCGTGGTATCAACCAAATACAATATGTAATTAAGTGTAGGCGCTTGTTGCGTATTGGACGTCGTTCGATGTCCACGTGTACGACGTATTTAATTCACTCCGTCCACTTGAGTTTTTCCAGAGCACTCTCTTACGACAATATCCTAAGATAATTTCAAAAGCAATTTCAATGCGCCTTTGCTATATTTACACAGATTTAGGACTGTCTACTGTCAACAAACGTACATGTGTACTGTCATATATAATATCATGTTTCCTTGGTTCCTTAATTCCTCGATTAAACCATTATTTATTTAACGCCTTTGTTGACTACATAATATTTATATTTATATTCGTACATTATATCCGTATATATGGTAAACATAATGATTGAAAACATTACAATGAACCGTAAATCAAATTATGTATAACTATGCATTTAGCTTTTTTTTTTAAAAAAAGCCTTAAACGATATAAGGGGAACCGAATCGGATGCAGTTAACTACATGCACCCCGTTTAAAAATAACCAATTCTCTAGCTATCTCTCTCCGTCTCCAAAATCGTCCGATTCGGTCCACATCCGAAAGTTTTTAAGTCCTTTTAGATTCCGATTGAAGCGACAATCTAGGTATGTAATGGTTTTAGTGTTTAGTACAGTGTGTTTTCGTTTTCATTGAGTATTTGTAAACAACTTTTTTACCACAAATCTTGCTCCAAACGAAAACTTTTACAGGCATTTTCTTTGCATAGCGTTTTCGATTTAGCTGGGGCATTATAAGGTGATTTGTATTATTGTTGATTTTCCTTGTACAGTTTTCCTTATAAATGGCGAAATTGTTGGATTTTTTGGGATCAATCGCGAGTACGCGTAACATTGCAAAATCACGCCACTATCACGTGTTACGGAACGTTCGACACGTAGACGGCGACATTTTTTTTCGGATTTCTCTCGCGCATAATAATATTCTAATCTTCCGGTTTTTACTTTCTTGGCGGACAAGCCGTTTGACTAGTCGCGTTCGCAAACATTATAATAATAATAATAATAATACGACGCAGTCTCGTATGTTTTTTTATTCGTTTCCGAGTGCGTTTTATCGTATCTTCTTCCGACCGTTTATAATAATATATTGTTATTATAAGTACCGTATTTTTTTTTATTTTTTTTTTTTATAGATTTTCGATTTTTTTTTCTTTTTTGGAACGTTGACAAAACGCGCGATGAAGACGACCGGGGAGTCAGGTTTCGTCGTGGAGGAACGTAAATCGCGTGGGGTGAAAAAAAAATACGTCCGTATAGATAGCCGATACCTATAACCTACAACATGCATACAATATACTGTAGTCTGTTTTCAAACGATTTGTATTATTTTGCGATTTATACGACGGCTTCAACGGCCGCGACGACGTCGACTTGCGGCGTAAGACTCGTGTGAACCGACCGCCACTAATATTTTACGCGCGTGCATCTGGTTTAGCCACCTCCGGGACTTTCCATTATTGTGCGTAATTTTTATAATTTTTTTTTTTTTTTTTTTATTATTCGGCCGGAAAACAACACAAAATGTACTGTTATAGGACATGAGCGTACTATCGTATTATTATCGCTATTGCCATTACGATATTATAATATATTTCTTTAGCCGCGGAGAACGGCCGTCACCGGTTACCGCTGCTGCAGTTGCCGCTGCAGCTGGTCTCCGGACCGGTTCCCGACCGATATAGAAAACAATATTATATTATAACTAGTATTAGATAAAGTAGTAGCTATAGTACGGGTAGTAGTTTATAGAATACTATCGTGTATTACACGCAAACAGTAATGCGGGTTATTTTTGTTTTCGCGTTCACCGCGGTGTTCGGCCGCGTTTTCGAAAAATGTCTGTCTACTATGACGATGACGATTTGCCCGTGAAAAATAATACATAATAATGTTTCGTAATAATATATCGGTGGAAAACTGTGTGACGACGACGACGACGGTCGAATTTACGTGACGGCACGCATTTCGCGAGTCAAACGGTTTAAGTTTTATTGTGGAAAGAAAAAAAATAATACACCGGTACCCGCAACAGCTACGTCGATAAAAATATTCCGCGGTAGATAATAATATTTTAATGTGGCCAGAACACGTGAACTGCGCGTCTTTTAAATTATTACTTGCTAGCCGACGTTATACTGCTGTATTAGGTATTAGGTCGTAGGTACGTTCGCGTTTATATACGTTTTAAAGCGAACAATCCCCGAGTCAATAGCACGCGCAGGATATTTTTATTTTTTATTCGCAAAGGGGGAAGATTGTGCTTATAATGCTCGCCTAGAGAGCAGATAGCACATATTATCGGTGTAATATTATCATTATTACTACCGAATAAATGATTTTCGATACAATTAAATGTGATTATTTCGTTCTGAGATACAAGATATTATGCTGCTGCGTGTAAAACTTGATTTGAAAAAAAATTAGTAAAGGAAAACATTTCGGGGAGGGCGGGTGGTCAGATTCCCTATCCTCCCCTTTGTATGCGCCACTGAATTCCTAGTGGAAGCTATAATGTTATTTGCCACAATGACACAGACGTAATGATTAAAGGCATAATATTCCTTATTAAATTATAAACGGATTGAAAAATGTAAAGTCTGCGAGTTAATAAGCGAAGAAAACATAGAAGATATTTATTTTACTAATAGCAGCGAAAATTTCACAAAAAAGAAAAATAAAATAACATTTATTTTACTCCAGTTCGTAAAAGTTAATACAATTTTCAAATTAACGTAACTATGAAATTACATAGGTTGTCAATTAATAAAACAATATTAGCTTTTGACGCGTTTGATCGTTCATTTGTTTTCAATCGACTTAATTTATCATAACTATTGCCAAACACTACGGTATATTTGAAAAATTAGAAACGACGGCCTGAACAGCAAAAAAATGTAAAATATAATATTGTAAATTTAATAATATATATTTATACATAGCAAATGTCGTCGAATCGAAAGGAAATCGAATCGTAGAAAAGAAAACAAAGTCGTTAAAACGAATTTTGTCCCGCTACGCATTAATACAAGTTGGTATATAACTACGATGTTATCAACTACGATCGATAAAAACGATACACGGCCCGTGTCGGTCTCACTCGGTCCGAAACGGGCATTCGGTCTTCAAACAGAAAGTATTGCAACAACGTAATAAAAAAAAAAAAATAAATAGACGAGAGCCCACAGTCATTTAAAGAGAAAAATAGAAATAAACGAAAAAATAATACGAGAGCCTGAAAATACGGCGGAACGGAAAAAAAAAGCAATAACAACTGCGACTATACAACCTTGGCATTGATAATGACCGATAATGAGTGTAATTGTAATAGTAATATTATTATAATCGTAGATAATTGCCCCGAAAACACACTATATAATATTATGTACAGCTGCAACGTCGGAACAATATACCCGATATTATTTTCTGTTAAATTTCCCCCTCCCCTCCCCCGAAAAAAAAAACAGATTTTTTTTTTATTTCTATTGTATACGCTATACGACTCGTGTAAACGTCGCGACGAGGCAATTGTATGATATTTTTTATTCGTAGGCGAACGGAGTTCAAAAAAACGTAGGTGTTCGCTAAACGGCTAAATCTAAATTCGCCGATCTAAACTCGTTCGGCGCAACGAGTCGGTAATTTTATACCTATTTGCTCCACAATTAATACCTATAATTATATTTATGCAGTCACAGGATCTGTGACTTACGCAAAACTTCGAATTACTGAATGTTCGAATTATCGTGTGGTTCGAGATATCGAGAACAGTGACGGATCCTGCACGGATGGGCGGTGGGGTGTGATTAATAATGAGCTGTGAAATATGTGTGCATACAATGTTGAAAGGTTCATGAAAATATTTAATTGAAATTCGAATTGTTATTATTTTTAAAAATCTGTAATTTTGCTGCATTGAACTTAGTTTAACTGTATTAATACTATTTTCGAGAGAAAATAATGTTTCACAAACCTCAAAACCGACTTTTGACTGAAACGAAAAGTTGCGTAATTTATCCACTTGTTTTTTTTTTTATAGTTACAACAGGTAGAAAGGGTCTGTGTGGTCTTCAGTGTCTTGGTCGTCAATATAAGAAATTCGTATAGTAAATAATAGTAGCAAACTAGACATCATGGGGTTTCTCAACATTTGCGAGTGAAACGTATATTATATACAAAATTATTGTCCTATACCTATTGTCTAGTAATTATCTGATATGTGGTAAAAAATTCTCTTGAATTAAGAAAAGTATTTATATAAAGATATTTAAAATTTAAATTTAAATACATTCAAGATAGCATTTAAAATACTTTCCAAATAATTAATTCGAAAATTATTCTAAATACTATAAAAGTATTCAAATAGGTTTCCTTAAATACTTTAGAAGACATAAGAATGTACATTCAAACTATCAAGAGTCTAGTAGACGAAACTTCAATATTTTAAGTGTTGGTGGCTGATCTGTCCCAAATTTTACTCCAAATTACCGAAAGTCCCTAATTATTGAAAGTCTGAATTATATCGAGAGTAGACTGTAATCGTTTTCAAATAAAGAAAAAGTGATAATGCTCATATTATGTAGCCTACTGTTTTATATGGGTGCTTGAGAAGGTAATATGTATAGAGTACCTATAGTGTAATTTAGTTTGTTTACTCTGTGTACAACGACAAATCATCACAAACAAAGAACCATTCTAAGTGACATAGTTTATTGGTCGTGTTTTTAGATCCTGAGGATAGGAAAGTATTTGTTTTAATATTCTGTGTTTTTTTTTTTTTTTTGTTCGTCAGAACCTTTATAGGAACTATCTGTAGAATTTTTGATTTTTCTTGTATTTTTTTTAATATGGAAAAAATTACCGATTTTTAATGTAATTTTGATTGATTTTTTTCGGGTTACTTTGGCAACAACAACTAATAAGACTCTGCTGAGAATCGTTTTTCATCAGCAATGCGTTATCGTTGCGTACAGATTTAAATTAAATTAAATTAATCCACATCATATTCTTCTTTCAACAAAACTTCCCTCCTAAAACACTGGAACAACCATCGACAATGGCATTTTATTATTATTTTTTTTTTTTTGTTATTATCGTCCAAACTATCTTACCTATCTGTATTGTTGTTTATTTATTACCACTTATTATTGTGTTTTTTTTACGACGGGTGCTTGGTGATCTCTCATATAATGGAAAACGAAATAACAAACCCGCGCGCGAAATGGACTAGGAAAATAAATTACAAACGTGTTATAATAAGAAAATATAGACACACACACACACATATACACACACTATATTGTTATAGGTAGTAGTAATATAACATATAGTAATAATAACATTTAATATCGTTATAGGATAGCGTATCGAGTCCGTTTTGACAATTGAGTGCAGTGTGTCAGTTGTGTGTTCGGTCGTGTATATTTGTGCTATAGTATTTTTGTTGTCGCAAGAACCGTGGTTCGCGACGACGAAATCGGCCGAAAAAACCGCCGACAAAAACGTTGTGGTGACAATAAAACACCGCGTTAATATAATAATATATATTATTAAAAAACCTCGTTGTTATAATATTATTATTACGGGTTTTTGTCCCACCACTCCCCTTTTTTTTATGATACCCGAGTCTACAGGGTGATTCTTTTATCACGAACCAGCAGTATTCTCGGAGGTTTTCAGGTATATTTGATATCTGTTTTATAACTGTTTAACAATTGCAAATCGTTTAAGTTTAATTTTAACACAATTTTAGATTCTGAGTTTAACAAAGAATGCATTGGTTTCACAAAGATGTTTATATTTTTTTTTATGTGGACACTTTTTTCACCACAAAGCTTACTCTGATATTTACGTATAGCACTTTTTCTGTTCTCTGGGTGGTACTTTAGAGAGGTAATTTTTCTGAAATTCTCATTTATATTCTAAATAATAAGGAAAACCTGGATCTTAAGCTTAACAAAAAATTGAAAGATTTAAAAATAAGGTTGTCATTGGCAACTGTTTTTATTTATTTTTTGTTATTATCAAGTTTTTTACTATTTCAATATTTATTAAACAATTATTGTTGTAATCATTTTACTATAATATGACATAGGTGTATATTGTTGACAAAGCAACATTATTAACTGAACTCGATTCAGAATCGTTTTTTCGTTAGCAGGTTTATCATTGCTTACAGATATACATTAAATTTCTTTCTGTATCCTACCTTCCCAATTTTTCACCTATATCAGTGACTGCACCCACGTGCGAAGTATGTCCGTCCTTTTTTACTTTTACTCCTCATACCCGCAAAAAGTATTTACTTTGGAATTTTAAACAGTAAAGGAAGCTCTTACATATAGAATTCACCACAGACACGAATAGACAATATTTTTTTAGAAATTATAATATGCATAACACTTATATCGGATTTACCGGTTTTTTTTTTATTGTTTTTGACAGTTTAAATTCTAAACTGGAACAGTGGAAAAAAGCTTATAAGTAATGTTATGCATATTAAAATTTCCAGACAAACATTTTCTAATCGAATCTGCGATCGCTATTTAAAAATCCTAAATGGATACTCATTTCAAGTACGAGGAGTAGAGGTTAAACATATCGCGAATAGCGTTGAAATAAAATCCAAACGATTCCGGAGTGATAAAAAAAAAAACAACAACTAATAATAATAATCGAATTCGCATAAAATAATCCGGGAAAAATGCCGGTTCGTGATGACGAAAGAACCGTCCTGTATATTGCGCTATGCGCTTAAACGGTTTCCTAATACGGCCGAAATAGTTCTAATGTCATACTTGCCTATATGTTATTGCGCTTGGTGCGCCCACGCCGTCGTAATAACCGTCCAAGCGCAAGGTTAAACGACGGTTTTAGCCGGTTTTTTTTTTTATTTTTATTTTTATTTGTTTTAGCGCCCGTACGTATAAATAGGTACGCTCGCGCGTAATGTCGAAACACGGCCGTTAACGATACGGCGACGATTTCTGCGACGGTTGCGCAATGCGGCCCGTAACGTTATACTCCGTATACCCATTATACCTACTGAAACGGAATAACGATCTTCGCCCTATTTATGTACACAATACGATGCGCAGTAATTATAATATCATAACGTTTATATATACGAGTATATGTGTGTGTGTGTGTGTGTGTGTGTGTGTGTGTGTGTGTGTGTGTATACTCTTGCGTAATACCATTAATAAATCAAATTTTACATAACACTTTATAAAATAGACGTCGACGTTAGCGGTGACAAATTAAATTCGCGCGGACGTAACATGATATAATGTAAGCTTCCCCCTCCCCCCCTCGTCATCATACCTTCCCGCCGCCGTAAAAACGAGTCTCGCGCCACAGCTTCCCCTCTACCGGGGCGATTTATCTGCGAATATTCCATCGCGTTTTTACCCTCGCCTCGCTCCAAATAAAATCCCCCGACCGGTGAACATACATCTTACTTTTTTTTGTTTTTTTAATGTTTTTTACGAAAATCTAAAAATGTTCCGGCGGTATGTACACAATAAATACAACTTTACTCGAATGGTTGTCCAGTGGACTTTGCTAAGTGTCCATTTGGGTACAGCAAATCTACTTGAAAATATTGATCTTGTGTTGTTGTTTAGTTGGCGAAAACGAGTTGAAAACGCGAAAACGTTCAAAATAAAAAAAAAAACAATATTGTAAAACGGATACATTCAAACAATAGCTCAAAAATACTTTAAGAGTATTTTAAAAATTGCACTACGTCTAGAAAAGGCTAATGTAATTCTTATGCCGAAATCCGAGGTCTATGAATATTTTCAACTCACCATAGTAAAACCTATAGATTTCTCGCTCCGTGTCTAATCTTAAAACGATTCATCAAATAGCATACAAACGAATATTTCTTTTCGCTATAATATAGTAAGATACGTTTCTTCGAATTTTTCTTCTTCTTGAAAAAAAAAAAAAAAACAAATCAACAATAAATTTCATCGTATACTAAAAATTATGATTATTTTTGAGTATTTGAAATAAAAAATATAAGTAGTATGGATATGGGAGAAAAAACTATTGATGATTTTTTTTTTCATTATAAAAAATAAACAATACACAGCACTGCTGTCCTACTTAAAATATTAATTTTTACTCTTCAAAATTATAGGCGCGTGCGATTATCGCAACGTTGGCGGTAAAAAGCCGAAAACAAAAGTATGTCACGCAACTGACTAAAGATCACTGCTTGCTACAGCCGACGCCACTGTTTGCGGTCGTAAACAATAATAATATTCGTAATAATAAATAAATAATATTCATGAAATGAATAAGTGCATACACATGATCTGAACTCAAAGGGCGTTGATATTAGTTTTTAGAAAGGAAGTCAGAAGTAATAAATATGTATAATTTATCGGTAGTCGAGGAATTTGAGGAAGTCTTTTGTTTCTTTTGCTCGTTGAACCAATAAAGAAAAGAAAAATTACCGGCTTTAAATTTTGTTTCTAATTTAGCTGATGGAAAAAATCTTATGGACTCAAGGAGAACGTTCAATATTATTCGCATTATTTTTGTGCAGTAGTTTGCGTTGGTAGAAAAAAAAATAAAAATGAACTATTCAAAACTCGACAGTAAAAAATGATCGGTCAAATTCTTAAATTCTTGTCGTCAATTGGGTGATTGGTTTGCTGCAAGTAGCTTCCTTTTCGTAACTCAATTCCTTTAAATCCTTGTAACTATCCTTAATCCTTATTTATGTTAATCATGATTTCTTTAATGTATTCCATCCATGGTCCTTCTCTTCCGGTCTTCTACTACGCCTTCAATTTTGCCTTTCGTTAAGCTGTTGTGACGTAGTAGATGCCTTATTATTTTGTCACTTTTAAATTTTTTTATCATACAACAGTTCTTGGTTTTCCTTTTTTGCCCTATTTCAACCCTATTCAGATGTTTTACTTCTTTAATGATACTTGTTCAATAAATGCGTTATATATAACAACATGGGTCGGCATGTATAATGCCGTTCCGATTCATAGGATCTAAAATAGATTATCGGTTCCGCTAATAAGCATTTTTTTTTTTTTTAATCTCTTATTCTGTACTGAAAAACAAAGATACTCCTAGTATAATTGAATTCCAAAAGAAAAAAAAAATTTGAATTCGTCACTCCTGCAGAACAGTTATAATTAGTACCGATTAATCGGTTAGACGCGTTCGATTTCTGGCTTCTTTTTTTTTTCTAATATTGCACTATTGCAATTTTGTGTATCGTTATAATATTTATAGTCATAAATATGCGAAATTATATTCGTTTCGAAATCGGAAACCTAATGAAAACCAGTGATTGTAGCAGATTATATTCAAAGTTCCCGACCACCATATCAAAATTTCCTACGTCATATATTCTTTATAGACTCGACGAAAGATAGGTATTTTTATTATACATTTACTTATTTCATTGTAATTATAATATCAAAGCTACTTGCACATGAGGATCATCCCACCTTCTGTTCCACGAATAGTTATTCCAAAGTCAACTTATTCCAATGGTAAAAATTCGGGATGGGTTGTTTAGGAACAGTTGTTTTTATGGTTCCTACGTGTATATTCGCTTAAACTACACGGAACAAAGTGTTCTATATAAGCGTAAAATTAAATTCCATTCGTGTCTGTAGTGGCTCGTTTCATGTACTAGAGAACGCCGGTAGGCCGCCGGTGTAGAATCCCACAGGGATAATATACAATTGGGAGGGCCACGAGATGCGATATGAAGACGTATGCGGATAAACACGTGGAAAGTTCCCTTTGAGAAAGACGTAGACCGATTCGAACGTTTCCGGCCGCAAAGATTGGTTATAGGACGGTCTTAGAGGTCTAATGAATCCTAATACTATAGTAACCATAGTATTACATTTATAGTAACCACAGTAATACTTAGTATGTATACTTATTATAATAATAATAATAATATCATTTCTCTTTCTCCCCCCCCCCTTTGTTTCTTCGCCACACTAGATCTGTATATCATTAGGATTATATCGTCACGATACGACGCGCTGTACATTAAATTATACAGTTCAATGTGGTCCGGTCGCGGTAAACGGCTTTTAATCGAAACGCGCGCACTGCGTTAATTGTAATTATTATTACTATAGGTATTATTGCACAGTGAAACTACAAAATATTATTATAATATTCTCCTCGTTAATTACTCGTTTGGGTTATTATTTTTTTTTTTTTTTCAACTACTGTAATGTTATTATCATCGCGCAACGTGTCGTCCTGCAGGTGAAATCCTCCGTTCCACCGTCGCCGGAACGACACCGCGCGGAATATCATCGCCATAATATTCGTATGATAATTATTATAATCGTCCTCGCGATTCCGCGGTAGGTACGCGTACACCTTATAACCATTATTATTACCGGATTCACGATGGTAATAACAACGAGAGCCGATCGTCGATTCGTATTATCACCGTTATTGTGTTGTTTAGACGACATCCGTCGAATTACGCGACGTTAGAAAGCGATCCGCAGGAAACCGTAAGTACGTCTTGTGAGATATTCGCCCGCCAAAACTACGATGACACCGACAATAATAACAATATTGTTATTGTCTTTATAACGCGATTGTCTTGCGGATACGATCCGCGGTATTTCGCCACCGCGGGCATCCTAATGTTATGATATTCATAACAAATTCTCAATGGCGACGGTTTTCCAAATTATCTCCGATTTCACAAAAGTTTAAGTGTTTAAATTCTGAGCGCAGCACTGGTTTGACAGAGACATGAGTTTATTTATTTTTAGTAATGTGTTTTTTTTCTGTAAACCTGTTTTTTGCCTCGATTGAAAAATTACCGTAGATCTTTTTTGTTGAATTTCGGCTGCAGTTGGTGTATTAAAAATATAATTTTTTTGATTTTCAAAGCAGTTTTGATAATAATTAAGAAAAACCGAAAAGACGTAAAATGAAAATAGCAATGATTTACAGTTAAATGACGATTTAGACTAAGAATTTAAAAAATAATAACTGTGTAGTAATTGAGATTGACGGATTTAAATTTTGAAAACGTATTATGATTATTTAGGTTCATTAGTAAGATATTTTAAATTGTATTTCTCTTTGTCGTATAATAAGTAAATAGCAATGCATTACAAGTACATTTTTTTTCCTGTAGCTTTTCGGACAACTTCCTCCTTATTCTCCCACCCCTTTCCCCAACAGTCGATAATTTCTTACTTTTTGGCCTTTTGTAGCAAACTTTAAACCAAGCGAAGTATAATAACCAGAAAAAATCATATCCGTGAATGAATTATTATGATGTGCCACTTTTCTTTTTTTTTTTTTTTTAAACCAAATATTTTTTAAATTTTGATAGATATCCAAATTGTATTCCAAACTTGTTTTGAAAAACAAAAATCGATATTGTCGTACAACGTTAAAAAAAAAATACTTTTATGAAAATCGATAAAAATCGAGTTGTTCTTTGGTCAAAACTTTAAAACAAGAGGTGCTAAAACTTTCTTTATTTAAATAAAAACGGTCTTTGTATCTAAACTAGATTCATACCGAATCAAAATCAATATTCTTGATTGTTGATTTTATTTTTAGTTGGTAATAATAATACATCGAAACTCGGCATTTACTAACGTTACAAAGTCGCAAAAAACGTGCAACTATCCGATATTCAAATAACTTTTTTTCTACTGATAACTAAACCATAAGTCGGGAATTAAAAAAAAAAAAAAAAACAAAACAAAAGTGACTATAACAGGCTACAGCTAGAATTACATTCAGGTAATGTATTAAAACCAAGTAACTTTCCCGGCTTTGATAATATAACTGAAGGGTTGGACTATTTAGGAACACGGACGACAAATCTCTCTGTACTTATCTCGATCGATCAGATTAACTCCAACGCTATCTATATTTATGATTTTATCCGCACAAAGTTATAATTTATTAAACGTACTCGTATAATTCTGTTACTATTATATTCGTTTCGGGTATTTTTTTTTTTATTTCTAATACATAGAATAAGTAACTGGTTACCAGAGTGCTTTACTGTTCACATAATGTACGACGATTTTCATTTTCCATTGTTTTCGTTAATCTTCAATAATTATTACGGCCGTTGTAAACATCGTCGTTATATATTTTTTTTTTTTTTGAAAAGTGAATATAAAGGAACTCTATCAGACTGTTTTGATCCAGATTTCGTATATAGCATCTTAAAAATAATGACAGTAGCGTGATTGATCTTATAACCATTATGTATTACGATCTCACGACTTGTACATAGAAAAAAAAAAGCTGATATTACGGATGGGCGTGTTATTGTTTTAGGAGCGAATTTGGAATGGAGGGCATGTAGAGTAATTAAATTTTTTATATCTGTACGCTAAATCATTACTAGGTAACGACGAAAAACGATTAAGTGTATTATTGATCGTAGTTTCTCTTTGCTACCAAGGTAACCCAGAAATCAACAAAAATATTATAATAAATTAGCAGTTTTCCCATTTTTATGAAGAAAAATACTAGGGAAATCGAAAAAATGACCTCGCCAATACATAAACTAGATCAAAAGGAAGTTTCTACAAAATTTTTGGTTGGAACAAAATTTCTGATAGAAAAATTTTTTACAAATACAAAAAGAACACCACAGAATACTAATCATTACTCCTTTCATTCAAAATCTATAAACATCGATCTGATTTGTTATTATAAAACTTCCAAAAGAAATATATAATTTTTTAAGGTATTCTATTAGGCACCAATAACCAACAGTAGTTTTTTACTTTGAACTTTACCGATAATGCGACTGTGAAATATTAAAAATCAGCTGTTAAAATGATATAACTAATTTTATTACGGATTTTCTCAACAACTACAAACTACGATGTAATAACAAAGGTAGAATATTAAAACAACGGAATTCAATGTCGTTTGGTAGTTTTTCGTTATTTTCTGGAAACTATAATATTAGAGGGCCCGAGTGAGAGTGCGGGTTATTCAAATTCTCTCCGCTAATTTCATTAACATAAAAAGAACATTATTTTTAAAATTTTAATAACCACCTTAATGATTCAATTCAGCTTTTCAATTTATCTACTGCCTGATACCCATTTAAGAGATACGGCTGGTTTTACCGAAGAATATTTATGGAGTTTATGGGAATAGAGAAAACATGTGGTTGTCAATTTAATAATTGCATACAATTCATCTTTTTAACTGATAAAAATTATAGTATCTCAAAACAAGTCGGTAAAAAAGGCAATATGTATTATTTTAAAGTTTAATTTTGATACATTTGAAACACAGAGTTTAATGCAAACAATATACAGTGCCGTAAACAGTACTTTTTTCCAAAAAAAATAAAAAAATAATAATAATAATCGTCAAAAAACAAGACATAACGTGCTGACACCGATCTTCTTCAGGAATATTACAAACAGGCAGTTAAACAGCCCGCAATAGCATGGAAAAAAAATTCCGCAGATTGATTGATCCTATTCTACGTTTTCATGTGGTCAAATCGCTTTAAACGTAACAATAATATTATTTCCTTCGCATACGTATATGATGCAAAAAAATAAAAAAACCAGCAGTACGGGCGTCAGGTGTTCGTCTTCCTCGGAGCACGACGATAATGGCCATTGTTATTTTAAATTTAAACGCTATATAATTTATCGCGTTCTATAAGAATGAATCCTAGGGAAGCCGAGAATTAAAATGTATACGCTATATTGCTTGTAGGTATACCTACTATTTTCCTTGTCGTTTTTTCGCAATTTCGGAGGCATTGAACTGAGATTTAACAAAAAGAAACCGAAAAAAAAAAATCATTTGTGTTCTGCAATCACATTCTTAATATACGCAGTATTCAACGGTTACAACTTCTCCGGACCCGTTCGCTGCAGGATTTACAACTAATTTATTTCAAACACGTATAGTGTTTGCATAGGTATTTTTTTTTTTTTTTGATGTATGCACTTTTATATTTAATGCTCTTGTATTATTTTGGATAAAAAGTTGAAACCCCCAGTTGACACATCCCATTGATAATGACGTCATGCATGTACACAATTAATTTGGATACTTGATTCGTTTAGAGAACCGCGTACAAAACTAAATATAACCCTTCTCCTGTAACAATGCGGTCAAATCATTGGTGTACCACAACCCATGTTGTATTATTTCAATCCATGAAAAAAACAACTTTAATTATCTAGTCCCATTCGATCTAGACGGATTTGCAAAAAGCGCCCAAATGTAGCGAGAAAAACACAGTGCCGATATTCAACAAAACCGAAGAATGTTTTAACTCTCTGTGAACGGGAAACGAGACCGAGGATGATAATATTATAATAATTACAATACAATATCACTGCAATCGAGTTTTCGTGATTTCCCGCTGAATAATGCGGATCGCCCACGCGGATTCGAGCGCACGGTTAAGGCAAACATCTACGAGCGAATATGATCTTATTATATCAGGATACGAAAGCAAAGTCATAATGAAAAGAAAAAGAAATAATGAAATAAATACGATATCGTTTTGCTATATCGCTATATTATTATATTATATATTATTCATTTTCTTTGTTCGGTCCGACCTACATTCGTATATAATATACCTAACTTCGTTATACACGAAATCGGTAAATAATAATATTTACGAGTGAAGGGGAACGGCTGCAGATGTGTATATATATATGCGCGTGCGCTCACGCGCGTGTGTGTGTGCGTGTATGTGAGTGTGTGCGTGTGTGTGTGTGCGTAACGGTTCACGATTTCCAGCCGCTGCCGCTGCCGTTTTGGACGGACCTTGGGAAACAACGGCCGCGATAAATAATTAAAAAATATATAAATAAAACTATTATACACTACAGACCTACGCGTACATTGATTTTTTCGTGAAATTTGAACACCAAACGCTCAAAAAAAAAAAAAAAATTGCGTTATTATCTTATACTGACGTATTGTATATCGATTTTACAGTGCCTGATTTTAACCGAAACTTGGTGGCCAAGTGCGCTATCCGAGTCAGGGCCTTATTCTATACATATTTTTATATCAGGAACGGAAGCAAACAACATTTTGGGGGAGCGGGAATTGACCCCGCATGTTCACCGTGGTATAATTTAATAATACTCTGTAAAAAAACGTCCGACTTAGACGTATTTTCTATATATCTTACCGCTATTTAAATATTTTTTTAATGCGGGTATTACTTAAAGTTATACTTCACAGAAATATTAACACTTCATTATATAAAAAAAAAAAAAAAAAAAAAAAAAAAAAAAATGGAGACATGTGTCAGTATTTCTGGAAGAAAACAACAAAAAACAATGAAATCAAATCGATAACTCCGCGGCACGTTGTAAATATTTGCCATTTTATCAGTAATTTACTTTTCGGTTTAACCTCGTGGAAAATTGAAGAATGACCTGTTAAATGCACCAACTAAATACAATTTCCTTTCAGAAAAGCTGCTACACTTTATACATCGCAGCAAGATTTCGGGTAGAAATGTTGTTTATGGACACAAACAAATAATATATATTATAATAAAAACCGAATCTAAAATCAGACAACAACGAGTAAAATCACACCGTAGTAAATGGAATGCTCAGAAACTAATAAAAAAAAAAATATCGTTCACACAGAAATTTCTACTGCACGGACGAATTTTACAATGAATTCGCAAACGCTAAAACTAAAAATTATAATATATTGTTTTATAAGAGTTTTTACGATTTATAGTACAAAGTTCTGTCAAATAGTGTGAGCCACGTGCTCGTCTACAGGCGATGTATGCACTTTTTTTTTTTCAACAGGAAATAGTTTACCCACTTTATACGTGCTGCATGTGTGTTTTTCTCGCCGACAATTTCTCGTCTTTCCTCTCTCCTACCCACTGTTTTCCGCAGAGTTGCGTATTTTATATTATTTAGACTTGCCGGACGCTATACACTGCTGCAATTGTATTAGTTTCTGTCACCGGACGTTGTCGTTTCTCATCGCACGGCACCGATTTCACACTCCAAAATCTGTGCCAAAACGCTTTTTTAACGAGATTAACACGAAATTTCATTTTATTATTGGCATTTCTCCGTCGGCGTGTAAATAAAACCGTTGCACATAGTTCATTGCAGATCCCATAGTTCGGAAATTCGCACAAGAAGTGCGGTGTTTCACTGATGAATAACGTATAATCCGTATAGAAAAAAAGGGTTATTATTATTTTTTTTTTTTTTACAAATAGTATACCAATTTGAGAAATATTTAGGTAGGTAATTTGAAATTTTGCATTTTTTTGGCACTATTTTTTTCTTTATTTTCGAATTTTCCACGAAAATTACAGACTATTGCACTAGTTATTGTCTCTTTTCCTGAATACCAAATGATCTCAAACTTGAGAATTAGAGAATTTTTGATTGAAGTGATAAAATTTCGGTTAAATTTCAATACTTGAATTTCACCATGTTATCATGGAAGGAAAGTAATTTTTTTTAGATTTTTACAATCTACAGACACTATACATACTCAAATAAATTCAGTCAGTCAAACTTTTATATATATATATATATATATATATAACCATTTTTGTGATTAAATTTCATGTTTTAAGAAAATATAAAAATTCGGGCAACCTTAGATATTTTAGATCAATTAAATATATAAAAAAAGAAATAATATAGTATAAACAATCTAGCTGGAGGAAAATTTGACTCTTATGACAGAATTCTGCTGTTCACTGGTGTTTCTTTTATAAACTTATCATTCTATAATATAAAGAGGAAAATTCGATAGCATTTACGTGGGAATTAACATCATGCAGTTCTCGAGTACAGTTTTCTCTTATACGCAGGTTCCTTACCGACTATATATAATAATTTTCGGACATATTTGTGAAGAAAAAATGAAATCGTCATCTTTCAAATAAAAAAAAAAAAAAAAATACAAATACAAATAATATACAATAATTATGAGTTTTCTAAAAAAACAAAACTACAATTCGAGTAAAATCGAGTAAGACACTCAAACGTCCGGTACCTATGTTATAATATAGAACATCCGTTTTCATTGTTTCGTTTGAAAATTCTATTTCTATACCTTCTACGTTATTATAATACCATCTACATAAAATAACAAAAAAAAAAAATTAAAAACTACTATTACTTATAGAAACACCGTCTCTATAGTTTCTAGTACTTGTCTAAAGTAATCAATCGGACAACAAAAAAAAAAAAAATTGATAAAGAATTGTATTAAATAATTTTACGATAACCGTTTAGTAATATCATTAAGAGGACACCTGTGCATCACATCACTTTACTCCGTACTTTAAAATATAATGTGGAGTTTTCGCCCAGTAGTACTTTTTACCATATAAAGTTTCATACAAATTGTATCCAAAAAATGTTTAAAACAAATTTAAAAAAAAAAAAAAACTGATTACAAACTGCGATAAATTGGATTTTTTTTCTATTTCTGAATACCTTAACTATACATAAAACCATGACCAATTTTTCGATTGTAATGATATATTTAATGACTTTTGGTATTTAAACTCAATTGTTCTATATAGCCTATAGCTTCCAAACGTCCCATTTCCGGAAACTATTAAAGTAGGCCTTAAATACACGCGCACCCACGGCAAGAGAAATGCTCACGGAGGATATGTGTGGGTCTTTTTTTATTATTATTTAACTAATACTGTAAGTATATTTAAATAGTTTGAATATCAGTTAACTACAATGATTAACCATGTTTTCCTCGATAAAAGAAACGTAAATAGAAAGATAAATTTTTGAAATTCATACTGCCCTCCCACTCACTAGAAATTAAATCATTGAAGGTGCCACTGGCTGCACGTGCCTGTTCTAATACAATATGTATACATACGTATTACATACTATTAGGTCGTATTCCGTATTTTTATAGTGCGAGACATTCGGAATATTATTCGGATTATATTTTATCGAACGGGTTTTTAGGTCGAAACGTTTAAGGAGAGCACGAGCGCGTGCGCAATCTACCGGTCTACGCTTATTACCTACATATCGGAAGGCGAAAAAAAAAACAAAACAAAAATCGTGTGTCCGCCCGTCAGCTAATACGCACGAAAATAATAATAATATCGTCGTCGAATGCGTATATTTTACTATCTACCAATATATTATAATATTGTTATAATGACGGACACTCTGTTCCGTTTTCTCGTACTGCACGACCCGCCGAAACGAAAATTACTACTGCATCACGAGCGCACATATTATTACCATAAATTGTATTAAAAATTCTGAAATAATATTTTCGTGACGCCTTACTAAAATATACAATTAAATATTTTACAACCGCATTGACGAAAAACTTTTAAATGTTTTCTAGATTTTCGTCTTTTTTTTTTTTAATGTTATTCAGTTTTATTCAGAGTGCCATTATACAAGTTTAACCCTTTTTTGTAGCAGAATTTTCTCTAACAATTGCGATACTGATGTACGTGATGATTATTTATTCCTTATTACATTTTTTTTTTTTTTTATCTATATATCATTTCAACTTTCATATTTTTTTATTAGTTATTATATGATATTATAGATTTTTTCTTACGGATAGCGACTCAAAGACATTACTTTTGTTTCGGGTTTCGTTTTCCAATATTTAAATACCAATTCTCCAGCAGCCAATGCGTTCTAATCTGTAGAATTGTACGTATAAAGAATAAAGATGGACTGAGGAGTATTCTATTTACTGCTATATCGACAAATAATTTACCAAAGAAAAACCCCGGTTTGGTCAAAGCGATACCCAAAAAAGAAATCAAGAGGCTCAAACACTTATTGTGATCAACTCAATGACGTTTTTAAACATTTTGTTGAAATATTATTATTTTGAACAAATTTTAAGAGAGTCCGTCACGTAGAAGCCTCTTCTAGATACCTACGGTCTTTGGTCCAGAGAACGCCTCAAAATGCTGTGACATAAAAATTGTTTCCAGGTGGTGCTGGTGCATGGTATTATTTTGATTATCTACAATTTGTTGTTGTTTCTAAAATTATTTTGACGTGGAGGAAAACGTTTGTTGTTTTTCTGTTGTAATTACTATATTATTATTAACTTGAAATGCTTGAAAATAAATTAATCATGGATTATAAACAAGCCATCGTGTTGGCACTATTAAGTAGTGCAATGAGCCTATACAATTTGATACTGAGACTTCATTGTTTTTTTATAATATTTTCCTCGGACATTTTTTTCCCAGATCATCCACGATAAGACTACCATTTTGACGGTCCCATCAGTTTAAAATTATTAAAGTCTCCGTTCTATCGGTGATGTCCTAAATACTGCGACTAAATTCACCTAATCAATGCATCCACGCATAGCCGATAACTATAATATCATTGCAGTCAAAACAAAAATTGAAGGATTTTGTGCAATTTAACCAGACAGCTCCAGTTATTGGCGAAATTCGTGTTTTCATTATTTCTGACGTAGAAAATTATTCTCATATTTTCTGTGCAGCAATTACGAAATAAATCCGATTATCCGTATGCAAATTATAAATAATTTAAGATAATTCTGGACAAAAAACAACTTCAAACATATACGGTTATGCATAGCCTTTATCTCGATGAAACGGTACATTTTTTAATACTGTTTAAATTAATTTTGAAATCGATTGTATCGTGATCATAATACGTTTAAAATATTTGTATTTATTTATTTTTTTTAAATTTCCGAGAAGGATTGGAAAACGGAGCAGTATTCTGATTACGGAGCCGTTCAACTATTACAACATAGGTAATCCGTGGTCTGCCGTCAAAAGGTCGTGTACCCACCGTAGAACCTGAGCCTAAAACAAATATCGGAAAAGAAAACGTACTCGTATTCATAGGTACCTAATACGAAATGGGCGAGGCGTGACCGCGGATATTCAACGGGCGGGATTTTGTAGTAAATAATCGCGATTCGCGAGTGAACCGCAGAGTTTTATTTCGTTGTACCCTATCTCGTCGAAGAAAATTCGAAAGTCTGGTGGAAAACGTCCACGCTATTCGGCCGAAGCGCGCGTGCACACGAATTCAAAACGAAATTACTAGATTGTAGTACACGGGGCTGTTGTGCTTTCAAACGAATCGGCACGGTACACGAGCCCGCGACGGTTTCCCCGTCCGCGCGTGCCGCGGCGCACGTGGCGGGTAGCTTCTCCGAACGAGGAACGGAACTGGGAACATTGGGCGCTATCGAAGTCGTGTCTGCCGCAACCGAGTGCTCATCAACAGATCGATTTTTCTCCCCCGCGGAGTATTTATTGTCGCCACGCGTGTTGTACGGCCGATTGTTTGGCGTGCGCGGGACGCAGACGATTCGGGAACGTCCGATACGTCCGGCGCGACCGGTCCGACAGTTCGTTACGTGCGGTCCGTATCCGCGCAACGCGCGCGCGTGGGCTTAATGGTCTCGCTGTTTCGCGGGTCGGCGCGGCGCGGCTACAGCACACGGTAGTTATCTCCCGTAGACATCGTCACGTCGTTGCACAAAAGCCAATGGTATCCGATGTGTGGTTACGCAAGCCGATGCGCCCGTCGTGTTTGGTTGTTCCGATTACGTATTACAATAACAATAACAATAATATCGCGTGTGCGTCCGCCCGCGACCTTGGACACCGCGACAATGGGAAAAATCTCTCCGCGGCCCGCATCACCGCGTAAGGCGTACGGACGTGACCGCGGCGATCGTCGGCGCGTTTTTGTCCAATACGAAATATATATAAGACGTGAAATAATAATAAAAAAAAAAAAGAAAAAGAAAAAGTCAAAGTAATTTGGACGGTCGAAAAAGAATTCCTGTTTTGTACCGCGAGACGTGAATATTATACCGTGAAGACGCGCGGATGGGGTTTTTTTTATTCAGTTTGCGCAGCACCGCTTTTTAATATTACACACTGTTTCGGTTACCCGCTTCTATACCGATGGCGCAAGTAGTGGGAGGGGAAAAAAAACCCAAAATAAAATATAATAAACGCAACGTGCGCAGGTATACAATACCTGTAATAATATTATTTACGACGAATCGCGCCGGAATTCGATTAAAATCACCGCCGTCGTTTTATTCACAGATCCGACGTAAGAACAACGACGGCAGAAAGAAAAAAAAAAAATTAACAGTACCTACGTACCGGAAAGACGTGTAAATGACGAAAAAAAAAAAAATAATAAAACGTTACGCGAACAGTATCTCCGAAGAGGGCGCGCGAGATATTCGGATAAATATCTATAACTGCGCAATGTTTCGTTTCCGTACGAATGCGGTTTTTTTTTTTTCCTCCTCGAAAATTCGAATCAATTACCGACCGAAACCGCCGGCCGCCACCGCAGTTAATCGGATCCAACACGAATATCGAGCGCGCGACCGTCCGCGTTATTACGATACCACGGGTGCGCACATTAGACGAGCACATTTTCCGTATTATCCGTCGCGGTGTTAAAAATATTACAAATAATATCCGAGTCGCGCAATAACCATCGTAATAATAATACGGCCATAGGTCGGTTATATGTGCCTATAATAATAATAATAATAATAATATTACGATAGTTCTCGACGAGTCATGATAATAACAATAATAATAATAATACGAGCAACGAGATAAAATAATATGATAACGATAATGCGCACTCGTTTAACCCTGATTACGTCACTGCGGCTGCCCAATGAAACGCGAAAAAACGCTTTTAAACGGTTTTCGGCGTGCGTTTCGACGCCGCCGCGGTCGTAGGTCGACCGGCACGGTCGTGATGCACGTCGGTATTGCGAGTGAGCGTCGGGAATCCGGCCGGGTCGGTCCCGACGCAAGGACGCCGTGTACGGTGGTGGGCGCTCTAGGGCTGCAGCCCTCCCCCTCCCCCCGTGAGCTCGATAAGACCGAACTCAGCCCTCCCGTATATTATAAACGAAAAAAAATTAAAAAAATAAACATTTATCGTGTACATCCTCGAATTACTATAATTCTATTTATAACAAATATTATTCGAGAAAGATAAAGACGGTTTTATTTTTGATACTGATAGCGATGCAGATTTCGGTAATCGCAACCGGGTTCTCGGTTAATTGGAGTCTGGTGTCTGGAATTTTTTAATTTTCGTCTTGTGACTTGTCATGACGCCATAATACTATCAAAATGTTCCAATATACAAATCAACAAATAACTATATTTTAGTAATATCGTTTAATGAACAATCTAAAGAAAATAATAACAGGAAATATATGGTGAGATTTGAGTAAAACTGTACATGTGTTTATATAATAGTGAGCTCCCCACGGCATTTTTAAAACCGGGTGCCTCTGCCCGGCGTCGCTTATGAAATCGATTTTTATTTTACGATCCGCGGACCCGTTTTCGTCCTGTTCGTCCAACTGCGTTGCGGGACGGTTAGGTTTGGTTAGGCTAAGCCCGGCGAGTCGATTGTTAGTGTAGGTAGGTAACTGTAGAGTATAATATAACGGATTGCAGGTTATATAGTTAAATTGATAAATAAACCGGACAAAGCCCGGCATACTTCTCGGGTCACAGTTGTTAATAGATAGAGTTGTAAAGGTGCGTAGGATATTTACTGCGGGATAATTTAGTTTATATACCGTATACAACGATATATTATATTATTGTAAACGAGTAGTGTTGCAGGTCGTATTTGTCTCTCGTTGCCGAGATAATCTCAAAACCAATAAAAAATTTTAAAAAAAAAACGGATCTAGAGGGTGAACCTTTTGAAAATACCGATAAATATTTCCAGTAAAGACAGACGTTTCGCGTCTTTTGAGGAACCTCGTGGAAAAAAAACTGCTACCCATTATTGATTTTCGCAAATGGAATGAATATTAGTTTAAATACATTTCGGGTATTCATAAATCATTTTTTTGAAAAAATAAGTATTCCGTGAACAATTTGACTGTTACATGAAATTCGGATTACCAAATTTAGACAACGTTTTATTTATTATTTATTGTTGTTTTCAGGATGGGCGCGGCAGAGATACCGGAAATCCGTCCGTCCGCCGTCGGTACTTTGCAGGGAACCCTCGACCCGGGAAGAGACTTTGCCGTGGGTGCCGAAGTGGACCATGATGACGACATCAAAACCATCGAAGAGGCCCGGATGATGATCAAACAGCTCAGGGACCGATGTCGATTTCAGACACACCAGACACTGTTATGGCGGAAAAAAGCCAAAATACAGGTATACTGATCTACGGTATACAGGACCCGTCTGAATAAAATATATGTAAAATACAAATAGGTATTGGTGTTACTTACAGTATAGTTAGTGATGCGCAGATCCGAATACATAGTTACTATCGAACTATTTCGATAGGTTGAAAACTATTCGGTTATGGAAAACTATTCGTATAGTTATTCGAAATATTCGATAGTTCGTCTAAACTGTCAAAAACTATCGATAGTACCTATAAACTCTCGTGTCTATACTATTATAAGTATCCAATATAATGCTGACTATACAGTTCGCAGATGTTCCGCAAACCCAGTGTGCGCTATGGCGTGTCCTGTCTTCCGCCCGTAAAGTTTTGCGGTAAATCAATCGAAAACAATATATAAAAGTTGTTCAGTAATAACGTTAAACGCACGCCGGAACCTAATTACGGACAAAATTCGAAAACAGTGGTCGATATATTATAATGTTACCCGGAAGCCGTATCTCGTCTGCGGTCGCGTCTTCTCACAGTTGCGCAATCTGCCGGATGATACACTTCCGGCGGAGTTGCGGTCGTATATAATGTTACCCTGAAAAACGGTATACACCTATCAAAAATGCGGTTACGAGCGACGTTTTGCAATGCTTTCTGTCGTGAACAGCTGACATTTGTACGGTATTTATTATTCGAGTAATGCAAAACACAAAGCGAATTTATTGATGTCATACATACACAAAACACCCGTGAGCAGTATAGCTCCGTTACTATATTATAGTCAACTTCCCCACCCCTAGTTTCTATTATGGAGATATTTTTTTTTTAAAACAAAACTTTGTATTATTATACTACAACTACACTATACTTTCAAACAAATTGCGAAATTTTAGTACACAAATGGTAGTGGAATAGACGGGGATTGAAAGTTTAAACACCTGCAAGGCATATCCTTGACAGTAACGCCATGCAAAATTTCAGCCCTTGGCTTCATTTGAGAGGATCTGTATGAGTGTTCAAACCTAAAAACATCTCACTCCCGTAACAATATGATGAAATTTCATATTGAAATTCATTAAAACTTTTATCATTTTAAACATCTTGTAAAACAACTCCGAACCTCGAGTTTGTGTCCATTTGGTTCAGGGGGAGCCACTTTAAGTATTCAAAAGTGGCGGAGAAAAGACGAATATTTTTATATTAAATAAATGACAGTGCAATAGTATCTATTTTTGGGGAAAATTCGGACAAAATAATCATAAATATTTAATTTATTTTTTAAAACATAATTTTTTTTCATCGTACAAATAAATAATAATGGCTTCTGCATAATGTATACGAAATGTCATCCTTTTCGTTTTCGTTAACCTTTGCGTCTATACATTATTTTGTGTTATTGTTATAATAAGGGGGTAGGTTTTTATTAAAAAGCCGCAATAAACTTTTCCAGTAAATTTCTCCAACTAATTCTGCGAATTGAGTTTTTTTTCAGTAGCCTGAAAACTAACAAATAGGTTCCTGATCATCGTATGGGATAACAATAAAATCAAAAATGAATAATTTATACGAGAAAATTGAACGAATAATAACGTAACGCGTAGAACAATTTCGAAACAATTTTTTTAAAAAAAAACCACTAAGACATGTCGACACAATAACAACATGTTCACATAAGGTGTTCCAGCCAACCTCCTCGCGGCGTCTCCTCGAAACGTAATTGGATTGATTCTTATTTGGGACTCGAATATTTACCGCATTTAACTCTGTAGACCCGAGTCGGTGTACCGCTTTTGGTCATTTTTTAATTGGGAATGGGATTACCTAAAACTGTTGAAACAAGCCTCGGATTACCTTAAACTCTTAAAGATTCTGTAAGTAGCTACGCAGAACGTTTATGCGATTCGCTCAAATGCGGGCAATAGTAAATTAAAACGATGGCGTGAAAAAAAAAAATAAGTAATAAATTCGAATTTGCCGGTCGTCGAGCGGATAAAAAAGCGCTCGTCGCCGTCGGGAATTTGACCTCAACCGCGACAAGTTCAAGGCAAACGTCGTCGCAGTATTGCCGACGGCTTCGGACTTCGGTTTACATAATAATTATTATGACGTTCGCCCGTCTACTTTAAATGACTTTACCCGACGCCGAGGACGCGAAAAAACCGTGGGCGACGATTTTTATAATAAGTTTGCGCGTTATAAGGTCGGTCGGTAATATAATCTGCTTAAGTACCGCGGCTATGTTATGGTTTCTGTATAGTCACACCCCCGCTTGGATGCAGCCATAAGCTATACAGGTATAAACAGCACATGCGCACGGTCGATGTAATAACGTTCGAAATCCATTAATATAAGGTACTTCTTTACTGTATAATTATGTTCAGTCTTTGTTAGTCCAAAGTTGATGGGCATGTTAATAGATTTGTCCGACACTAGTTTAAGCCGAGTAATACTAAAATATTAAAAAACAATACAACAATGGCTATTTATACATGCGTGTTAAAATTACTTTTAAAACAACGAATTTCGTATAAGTCGATAGTTCTTAACTTTTGACAAACTTACGATTTACTTTTTTTATTTTTAAATCACTCTTATCAATATACGCATCGTAAACGTATTGTGTACTCTTGACTCTTAATTATTCTTTTGCGAGTGGTTATTTTACATGTTATTACTTTTAATTAATATTCCCCAAAAATACGTAATTACGGCGAAATATAAATGCGAACATAGTTGGTATGAATTTGTTTACCAAAAAAAAAATGTATAAATAACTTATTTACAATATAACTTAATAAAAATAAAATTGTACATAAGGAGATTTAAAACAGAACGGAAATTTTGTTATCTTACTTTGCCTGGTACACGAATCTGTTGTCCGTCAGTCCGATCGATGTACTGAAGCGATAAAAATTCAGAAAACCGATCCGAAGAGAATATATTCAAAAGATAAAACATCACGGTACAGCTATTGAGTTATAGGTATATTAGTTGTTTATTGTTGTTTTTTTTTTTTTTTGGTAACCAAAATTTAATACAATTTCTTTACAAAAAGAGCTACGTACAGCCCATGAAATATTTCCCCCTTTAAATTTTGTTATTTGTGTTTAAACCAAAACGCTACAAATGTTTATGATTTGAGTAGCGTTATTTTAATATGCTGTCTGTCAGACTGAAAAACAACAGATGTAGCGTCCGCTAATCGCGTGCAATATACCGGACAATTTGAAAAATCCACATGCGGCACACAAAACTGTGCCAAATATAATATTATAATGTGCAATTATTTTACAATACGGAATGCCTTGATTATTGACGGGTCCGGTTCAGTTTTTTTTTTTTTTTTTTTCTTGGAAACTAATACGTAAGTACAAACTTAATAATATTATTCGCATTCGTATAGAGTGTGTAGTACGCGGACCGAAACGGCCGCCGACGACGGCCACGACGGTACCGTTAAGACTTCGCACAGACCTACTAAAGAAACGCGTGGAAATAACGAAAAAAAAAAAAAACTGTTCGAAACGTAATGCAATAATAATAATTCGTTACCGTGCACTTTTCCGAATCGATGGAAAAAAAAACAACAACAAATAACCGCGGAAATCGGTTCGCTGCCAATCCTAACGGGAAATCTCCCGATAATCGTATCGCGGATTCGCGATTGCTCCGGTCCGGGATCTTGGTTTTTATTAAAACGTACAAAACCAACGACGTCGCGTCGTCGAATTGTTCATTTTCGTCTAACACGCACGACCAGCCGAACGGGGAAAAAAAAAAAAACATCGCGCAAAACCCTACAAAACATCAGGGCGATTCGTTTGTCACGCGGCGGCACGAAATCCATCGCGAATACTTTGCATTTCACCGTGTTTTACGTGAGAGATTTCGGTTTTTTGTTTTTTTTTTTTTTTTGTAGTTTTTAATATCCCTACAAATGGATAGGGGGGGATGGACATTTAACAAATGTGCTTAAACCCAGAGGCGAGTTTGTTCAACTCATGAAACGGACAATTATTGTTCGCCCATTGTCAAAACGAATTGTTATACATTTGTTATTGTTATTATTAATTATTCGTATATTTCTAAAATTAATTACGAAAAAATAAACAAATTTGATAATTATAACGTTATATTTCGAAAAAAATATCAGCCGCAGTAAATAATATAATATTAAAAATACATTAATCGACAAGAAAATCATTAATCAAATATGTCCATTGTTATTATGCGTACATATTTTTTACACACATTCTGCGTTCACAATAATAATCGCCAATTTCATGAATCGGACGAATACACCCGTGGTCTTGTGACATACGCGTGGTGCTATACTGTCAAAGACGTGCTTTCTGAGGGTTTTAACTTCTGTCGCTCGCCCCTAATGTCCTTACGTTCAAAGTTTTCATTTTTTTTTTTCTGTCTTTTTGGAAGTAGTATTGTCGTCGCAGTACATTATCGTATTGTTATGGGCTGCGCGGCGTTCGGTTATTGAGTATTGTACGAGGATCATTAACATTTTTATAATACATAATAGATTGGGGGAAAAAATTCTGCTCTAGTGACGGGGTTTACTGGCGTCGTGTTCAATCATTACACAGAATCGTTTATTCAAATATCGTATGATCATAATGTATTCATGTCCGTAAAAAGTTTAAAATATTGTACTCTTATCGCGTGCCGGCCGCGTCTTGCATATTCGACATAGAGCAGTGCCCTTCAGCCCGTCGTCCAACGGCCGGAGTTGCACGCCTATTTCTCATGTCTCGTTAATTGAAAAACACATTTTATTTTTTTTTTTTCCATTTCATCCGAACGCCGTATTTGCAGGTCGTTTATCCGATCCCGTTTATTACGCGCATTACCTAACACGGACGGATCAACTCGATTTACTTTTCAAATGCGTCCGATTTCCTGTTTTCTAACATGTTTTTAACTGCGTCAAAGGTATTTGTTTGATTTTTTTTTTTTTTTGCGCAAAATAATACCGACTAATGTCGTTGTATTATATAACTACTACTACGACTGTATAGGCATAATAGAGCGTAAAACCTTAATTTTAGACGCGTCGAAATAGTGTGCCCTCGCCGACTGTGATAGGATACAATTATCTGAAACACAATCACCATATACCTACCTACTTTATTTAATCTAGATAAACCCAAACCATCTAATCTTTATCTTCCTACTTATTTTTAGTAAACACGTAGACAATAGGTTCTATATTATAAAGAGAAAATATGTACCTTTATCAGAGTATTTTTTACAGGTATTTTATTAAGAATGTTTTGAATCTGAATTACACATATACCTTCTCAAATTAATATTTGTTTGAATTATCTTAGTTTTTTCAAATATTATTTAGATAACAGAAAATTACGCTGTAATCTTCAAACGCACACACACACACACACACACACACATATATACATAAGACACATTTTTAACCATTATCTTTTATCAGGATAAAAATATCGATTATATTTTCCGATACTGCTCACCGGAAAAAATATTCGTGTTAAATAGCGTCAACATTCGTTGTTTTCGTAAAGGATTACAATAGTATGCGATTGTTACTTAACGGAACGTCGATTCGACCTGGTCGCGAAACGAACACGCGTCCGGAAATTCTACCCGGCGCGTAACGTACGCGTGTAATATCGTTTTAAAATGTGTGCAAACACTGTTTATCATTATTTACATTCAGTCCGATTTTGTTTAACGGCGTCTGAACCGTATGCTAACACAACCTTGTTCCTGGGAATCGGTTTAGGAGTTTGTACGGTACGACGACGACGCGGTATATGAGATATCCGGTATAATGGTGGAGTAGATAAGACTGTGTTTGGTCGGGGATATAAACACGGGCCGGTATTGAAATCTTCCCCGTTTCCAGATCTCAAACGCCTATTGACTCGTGACAAAAAAACTCTCGGATTCGTCCAAACAGGATTATACGCTTTATTCTCGACGAATGTATACGTAAACAGGATTTTCGTCGCCGGAAATTTACGTTATCTTCTTTGGACCTTTACGGTTCTTTGTGCGCGACTCCGAAAATGTATAACAACATTAATACGTAGAAATAAAGTTAAACCGTGAAAACACATATAGTATTAAATAATTATAAAGGACACGTACTCTGTGTAATTAGATACTTTAAATACAAATAAAGTTTATTAAAGTAAAAAAAAGACGGACATGTTCTGCAAGATGGGTGAGCCACTGCTACAGGTGAGAAAACGGGAGAACTATTTTTAATTGAATTACAATAAAAAAACAAAATTGAATATAATACATTTCATAAATTTTGCTATGTTTTTCACAAGTTTTTCCAGGATTTTCTCAATAATTATGAAAACTCCTAGGAAAATCAAAAAATGCCTTTTCTAAGTACCACCCATATCAAATTTTCTTTTAGATTTCATACTACACTTGGAAACCGGAGGAAGTCTTCTGGTAGAAAAGTTGTTCACAAAAAAAAAAAATAAACATCATTGTAAAACCAAAACGATGATTTATATTTAAATTGTTTGTGGTAACTACCTAAGCTAAATGAAACGCTTTTCTAGTTCCCTTATCTTCACTCTGAATACTCCCGGGACTGATTTCCGGAGACTTTTCGCAAAGGTCCACAAAGTTTAAATAAGAGAATTTAGTGTTCATAAACAAATTTTTTTTCCAACACTAATTTGTGTTCTTTTATAGGAAGAACGGCTGATGAAAATGAGTGCGGAATACGGGAGCCGATTGGAATCGTTGACTTCGGACTTGTTGCTGTTTGAGGCGCGGCTAAGCCGTAAGCAGAGGGCCATCAGTGAGCTGTTGGACCAGCGGGAGTGCGTCATTGACCGACAGCAGCACGTCATCCGCTGTCTTCACTCGAGGCTCGCCGACTTCGGGGTGACCGTGACCGCCAGGGACTCGTCATTGGTTGGCGGCGGCTGTGGCGGAGGTCCGAATTCGGACGAAGGCAACGTGGACGACAGCGACAGCGCGGTGATCATGGAGGAGGACGAGTCGGGCAACAGCCAGGAAGACGCGACCGAGAGGGCTCCGAAAGGGGCGACGGGTAATACGATAGAGGGCGGCGGGGGAGGCGCGAACGGCCAACGAGCCCATCAGCCCGTGGGTGCTGTGGACGACGGCCGGGGAGGAGAGAACGTTACCGCGACCACTTATAACCGGGTGATGAGCAACCACCGCTCGGTGACCAAGCCCAAGGACGTCAAGTACAAGCGCATCAACAAGGCCAAGTCCAAGTCGCTGGAGGAGCTCCGGGGACGGCTGAAAAACTGGGTGGACCGCGGACAGCGCATGTCACTCACCGTCGATCCCACGTACGGATGACCGTGGTTCCGGCCGACCGTCTCTGGCCTACTGGACAGACTGCGCCCGGCCCGGAAACGCAACAGTGGCCCTTAAAAATTGATAACGAAAAACGAAAAAAAAAAATATACAAAAAAAACAAAACACTTACGTTGTAATTTTCCAATATTATGATTGTATTTTTTTTTCCGCGAAAAATCTACCTAAACTATTACGCTTACGCCTTACGATACACCGCAATGTAATATTATGTTTTAAAATATTATTTAAATGTACGCCGCACTCGAAACGGAATCGACGAAATCGAATGCCGGTCTCGCCGCCGAAGGCGAGGTCGCAATCAAATGTCGATTCGGGGTTTATTTTTTTTTTTTTTTTTGTATGGGTATTTATTTAATTTTTTTTTTTTTTTTTTGCAAATCTATCCGTCCCGAAACGTTCGAATTTACGCGTTCGGTTTTAAGGAAACTGAAAACGGATTTCAAATCGGCTTCACTGTATTATTATTATTATTAAAGTCTTTGGATGATTCGGAGTTCCTAACACTGTATATTTTATTATAATATTCGATGTGCGCTACCGGTAAATGGCGCGTTATTTTTTATATTTTGATATTGTTGTACGCATATATGTTATTATTTTGTTAAAATCGACATGTTTTTTTTTTTTTTCTATCGTCGTCTGTAATATTGTTGTTATTGTAAAACCCGTAGACTTGTTGTGAACCACGTATAGGGCGAATCAGACCGCGGACCCCTGTAGGGTAATTTTCGATGGACGGAAAACTCGGTATCGAGTCTCCAAACGTGCGTTTGATTGCGTGGAATTGAGAACGCAAGACTTGTAAAAATACTATGTGTTAGGTCCTTTACGAGAGGGTGAATCAGTAATCATCAAGGCTGTGCGACGTGCTCCTCGAAGCTCGAGAAAAACAATTCTTCGCTGGTTTTAATATTATCCAAAGGCGGGACACGTTACCCCTAATAGGCACCCATGAGTCGGACGACATCTGATAATCAACGATCCGCGGGATGTCCGTGAAAAGCAGTGTGTAGAGTATAAGTTTCATACGTCATCTATAATCATCGGGATAGTACACAATGTACGTGCGATAAGCACGAATATTCGTGTGAATAAATCAATGGTTATTTCGTGGGGAAGGAAACAAGGAATGTTGTCGTTTTTTTATTTCCCCGCCATTGTCTCGTCAGATGATTTCCGAGTAATACGAGACGTCATGATGACATACAGAGCGCGGTTCACCATAATATAGTTAATAAGTCTACGGTATAATCGATAAGACGATTGATTGATAAGATAATTATTATTGTAATTACCACGTTTGCCTTTTAAACACCAACGCATAGTTTAAAAATATATTATTATATTCGTGCCGAAACTTTTGTCGAGTTCAAGATATCATATTGTATACATGCCTAAATATTATATGCACGTCATTTTTAAGATACTGTAATATTTAATATTATTATTGTGTGTTCGTTTAAGAAACCGTCGTCGTAATATTGTACCGAGCTGGACCGAGAACGTTAAACTGATCAAATCGTAAATTTACGTATTTTATGTAAAAAATATAGAAACCTAACTTATCTATACATTTAAACCGTTAATCGGCCGGTTTACATTTAAATATTCCGAAAATATCCGAAATAATTTAACGCATTAAAACGAATATTGATAACTTGTGAAAAAAAAAAAATAATAATAATAATGACAATAATTGCTCGATGTGTTACCTGAGCGTTTGAATAAACTGGTTTACGTACAAAAATGTAACTTTTGAAATTCTAAACATTTTTCTCGACTCGACTCAAATTTTCACCGAGTAACCATTATTACAATATACAGTAAAAAAAAAAAAAAAAAAAAAATGTCCTACATAACTACGAGGACGATCCCAATATACACCCCACTTGACATGATAGAATCGGACATTTCGTACGTTTAACGAACTCGAGTAACTCGTCCAGCTCTCGTGTAATATTAACATACGATATCGTTTCGTTTTCGTATATATATTAATTAAGTTGCTTAAGTCGGCTGTAAAACGGTACTGTATTTTTGAATACCGATGGCGTGCCCAGGATTCATCAACGGGAGGGGCTGAATTAAAAAAAAAAAAAAAAAAAAAAAAAAAAAAAGAACGCTTTTCAAAATACATACTTATGTGTAGTACACTAAGTAGAGCAAAAGTTCAATGATTATTATATCGTTAATAATAAATTGTTTATTGCCGAATAATTTCTATTATTATTATCCTTAGCCACTCTCCCCCTCCCTCCCATCTCTGGATACGCCGTTGGTTGAACCGACACGAGAGCATCGTCTACATTTTCAACGTAATCATAATATTATATTATACGTACTTGTTTTCGAGTTTTAACGGTCTATAAATATTATTGATTAGTTTGTAATAAGTTATTATTATTTTAAAATGTTTACCTAATCGTAATAATTGTATTATATATAACTCGCGTAAAGATGCATTAATATTTAATGATATTTAACCGTCCAAAACGTTTGTGAACTAATATTAATTAAATCGTGTACCAATGTCACCAGTCTATGTTTTATTATTGTTTCTACTTTTATAAATACTTACATGATTAAGGTAGAATGTTCGCCTAGTGGTGTTAACTGGTGATTTTATCCAGTGATGTTATCCATAGTGAGAAAATGGCTCCCGAAACGTCTCCAACGGAGACGATGAACAAGAGGGGACTCCCAAAATCATCAAAATGTCTCCCCCTCAAACTAGTGTTTTTTTTATAATAAGCCAGTACTATTATAATGCATATTAGGAAGATTCTGTTCTCTCACAGAGAAAAAGCAATTGGATATCTGCCTCGTATTAGCAGAACGACGTTTAACAAAAACGCTCTATGCGAAAAAAAAGTTACGTATTTAGCGGGAACCGAATGGTCTGAACCCCCTCATTGATCCGTGTTTATTGTACATAACACTACCTAATCGTATTGTATGCATACATTTTATGTATGATTTGCATTTTACAAACTTAAATAAGGATAGAACGTAACAGTATATGAGCACGATACTGTGCACGGCTAGCGCGGTGTTTTATAAAGTTTCGTTTGTGAAATAATTGCTCGAAAAGTTATCTAGATGAAAAAAGAAAGATCAAAGGATACATAAAAATTATTTAAACAATTTAGGTAAAGATAAATAATCAGGAACTGATTAGCTCGTTGTATAAATAAGGAAAAGAAATATAATTTCGTGCATAAAACTATGTGCTAAAAGTAGTGAAAGTGTTCCAGATTCGGTGGACATTAAGATTTCATAAAGATCGTGCGATTGATGCTATTTAATAATTCATTTATTATAAAGCATTAATATATACAGAATATTTTGCCTATAGTTTTTAATAAATTTATGAAGACATCAATTCAATTATTCAAATCAGAATTTTTCATTTATTTAGATAAGATTAAAAATTACCTAACTCGATAAAACATAACATTGGATTGCGCGAGAGACTTTAGTTTCAGAAATAAACATTCTCACCTCCTCCATCCCAGAAATCGTCTTAACCCTTAGTCATTTTTTTTGCTTCAATCGTCTGTGCGATACGTATTCAATTAAATTTATCAAAATGTTTTTATATTATTATAATATTTGATTTTATTTATCATATAATACGAAATGTTATTCGCGTTTACGACAACTTACATACGAGAGCCCGAACTCGTATGCATTTCACGATTATTATATTATTTAATAATAATTTTTAATAACTTTGAATTCAAAAAAAGGAAAAAGTCACTTACTGGCGTGCTTTCCGAAATGTAACGACTTTAGTGGATTACAATGGAAACAGTGTTATTGGAATTGATTAGTTAATATTTAGATAATTAGATAATCTAGATAACGAAATGTATTATTTTTTACCTAAATAAACCAAAATATAATTTCTTTACATTTTTAATTAAAATCCATAGATTATAGACCATAATAAATAGTTAGCAGGTATTTAATATATTATTATACCATCATGCCACAAAAGTTTTATTTATTTTAGATCACTACTATATACTCATTATAAACATCGACCTAAAATACCTATCCAAAGAAAATGTACTAGACAGACTTATTGCTTACTTATAGTACCTACTTATATCTATACTATTTTGAATGTTTAATAATTAACATTTGGTATGTTTTAAATATAAATAGCATATCTTCATAAAATATTAGTTGTATGAATTATCTTAATAATATTATCTGTTATTGTGTTATCAATTGTAGACAACTCAAAATTGTTTTTTAACATTATATTCGATAAATCTGTAGTCATTACTCTTTGATTAAACGGTAATATTGTCATGCCATTCAGAAACTAAATCGAAACGAATGAAATGTACAATATTGTTTGAAATCGTGATTTTGATGGGTTTTTATTTCAACCTTTTATTCCCGGTCAGACAGGAGTTTGTACAAATAGACAATATTTTATAATAAACCAATATCGGCTGACGTTCTACGGCAAAAACGTTTAAGTCCGTTCGGATTTTCATTTTAATCTTCGGCCATTCGATATATTTATGGTACTGTTTACTCGTTGCAATGCAATTCTCTGAACAATGTTTCCACAATAAATACAATAGGTATACACTATAATACCTGACAAACTCAGAATATTGTTCAAATGAATAAACCATTATACGGTACATCGGTCAGAAAATAAGTATTTATACAGATATAAATCGGTGGTGAAATCAAAAAAGTTTCGTTCGGTAATTTTATTTGATTCGATGACCGAAAAATTACATACTATTCGTATAAAAGACCAACAAAACGAAAACAAATAAAAATAGACTTTACTTTAATTCATGCGGTAAAAATATCGCGTTTATTTTATTATAATACTATAATGTTATCTACTCGTATTGTGAATTAACTTGTAGGCAATTGATATAGTTGATAAGCGACAAAACTTACTAAAATGTATTTTTCTGGGGTACTTGGCAAACCGATAGTAAAAAGCAATTGATACTACTAATGACTCTTCCAATGTTTTAGGAGGGAAGTTGTGAAGAGGGTTACATAGAGTAATTTAATTTATATCAGTACGCAGCAATACACCGTTGCTAACAAAACTGATTCTGAATTGAGTTTAATTAGGTAGTCGTATATTTTCCCTTTTTTTAAGAAAACTACAAAGACAATAAGCAAATATAATCTATTTAATGTATATAATAACTATTCATTTTTATATACAATGCATGATGGATATGTGTTTTGTTTAGTTTCCACCACCCTCATGGGAGATTTCTGGCTAAGTAACTATTAATGTATCAATTACATAAAACAATTTTACAAAAAAATTCCTATAAAGTCTTTGATTGGAATAAGGTTGTCTGGTAGAAAAGTAGTTAATGTAGTAAAAAAGTAGTAGAAAAGTGTTTATGTCAAAAAACATACCTTAGTAATACTAATACATTCCTCGTTTCTCTCAGAATCTGTATTTATAAAACAAATATAAAAATTATACTACCCACAGAATAAGGAATCACATGTAGGCAATTTTCGCAACATTTTTGGAAAAATCAAATTGTATCCGCTCAAAAGCATTCGAATCCGCAATTAATTATATTGCGTGAATATTTATGTAAAAACAATGTATGTAAAGAGGACTTACATTCAAGTTCATCCCCGGATCCGTCCGGGCCCGTAATCTTCGGGCCTTGTAAATTCTTCGATCGAATTCGAATAAATTACGAGCCGTTTGAGTGAACACTACTCCGAACTCTTTACCATTAGTATTAATTTATACCGTCGACACGACAGTGAAGACGGTACGACAAATTATCATCGGACCGAGTGGACATTGCATAACGTCATCTCGACGACCACTGCATCAAGTAGGTACACGCATATATTGACGGACAATAATAATATTATAATATTATAATCAACAGCAAATATTCATGAATACCGACCCGTCGTGTCACCACAAACAATGTAACGAACGTTTGTTAGAATACTGTATTATTATAACTACAATCGACTTCCTTTCTCCCCCTACCCCCCCCCCACACGCCATTCCCATGCTGTAACGACGATGGTAATAATATTGCCTATATAATACAATAATATCCGTTCTATAATGTTGTTATAAACGCCTGGCCGTCGATTTGGTCGGCAATCAACAACACAACCTCTCCGCGGATATTATATTATTAGTATTATTCAATATTAATTATTATTGATTGTGTTATGCACTTACACTGTTTTCGTTTCAACCGTCAATCCCCGTGGATATAGTGTATAGTTTAACGGGTAGCGACATAGGTAGTGTTCTGAATATTTAAAAAATACTTATTCCTAAAAGTATTCAATACTGCAATTCGATTAATTTTATCAAGTGTTTTTCTTCCTTGGAAAAAAAAAAAATAAAACACTTTTTCTCTGTCTCGTTTTAATGTTCAGAGCATTTTTCGCGAGACCGAATTGAAAAAGCACCGTAATAATTATGAAAAAAAACACTGAAAAGAATCGACACTGCTCATAATACAGGTAGGCCACATGCGCGTATCCAAAGTTTTTTTCGGAAATTTTTTATTATTTTCTGCTTTGTTTCTCATAAATATTATTTTCATGGCCCCGGTATCCGTCATACTTTTATTTAAAAACATTTACCAAATAACTTGGCGAGGGGGGCTGCTGCCGGTTCAGCCATCCATAAGCGCCCCTCTGGTAGGTAAGGGCTCTCTATTTCTCTTTTATATATATATTGAGTAATATATGTATTTTAAATTCCAAACGCAAATATACATTGTTGGAAACTGAGTGGGCCTGGATTAATATCTAAATACTTATTACCAATACTGATTAGAGCTCGGAAGTTGTTGCATTTTCAACTTTTTTCTATTGATTGGATTGGTTGCTGAGTAAGTATTAAATACGTTTCGTGAAAGTATGAATTGAAATCTAAACATTTATAGTGCAACTTTTTGCAATTTTATTGATTTTCTTCGTTTATAATGCAATTTTAGATACTTTTTTAAACGTTATCCATATGGTTTAATTATTTTTCTACGTTGAAATAAAATAACGGCGATAGGGACCGTGTCAGATATTATGTCAGAATAATATAATAAAAATAATATTATGCGGTGTATACGTATTAATGGTTTTTTCGGGCTTTGTCGATTGTAATTGCAGCGGTGAAAATACCATTTGATAAGACGACGCATGAATTGTTATTTTCCGGAAACATAAATTAGAAAATAACCCAATAAACTTTTACTATATTTTTTTTGTTTTAATTATTGCGATTTTGGATATTTTTTACGACAATAATTTAATTTTTAAGTGCAATTTCGGATATTTGTTACAGCAATAATGCAATAACTTCCGAACGCTACTCATGATATTATATAGGCAACAACTAAAAACAATTTTGTTTAAAACAATAATGTACTATATTCACTTACCTGATGCTTATTATATAGTATTGTATTTGCGATGAATAATTTAACATAGTAGATAGAGCATTTTTTAATACCTATCCATAATGAAAGAAATTATTATTTTTTTTTATACTTTCAATCATCATACATCTTAATTCCCGAATCAACTACAAAAGTTGGCGAAAAAGAAAAAAATTCACCTGTGCATTTTGAAGAAAAAAAATCGTACGTACCAGTTGAATTTTGTATTATAATACATTTATACAGTCAAAAAATAATGTCACCGATATTATTAAATTGTGAAATATAATAACGAATCTTCGTAGACGAATATTATAAGTTTTTAAATACATGTTCATAAATAATTTCGAAATGACGTAAATTATTTTATTATTTATTGGTCTTTCTGGAAGAGGCATTTCGGTTTTTTTTTTTTTTTTTTGTATACATAGGTAAACAAATAAATTACGCACAAAATCTATGATACTGTCCGTTGCCCACCATGTTTCGTAGAATATGCTAGTTTTTTTTGCATCGTTTTGCTCGTTAATTAATTTCGATGGAACATTAATTTCCCGCTAATACGAAAAAATGTCTCATTCGTCTGAAAAAAATAAAAACTATACGAATGTTATAGTAAAAAAAAATTAAAAAACAAAAAAATGTTTAGCGAGACAAAAAAAAAAAAACAGTTTGTATAATATTTACAAGGTTATGCATGAAATGTATTGCGAATCAATATGGTTTTTTTTTTCATATTAATATATAAATTTATACTTTTAATTTTTAAATTCAATATCCGAATATTCGATTAAAAAATGTAAACATACAAACATCACGTGCTTTTAATTTTCCAACGGAAGTAGTCGTCTTTCGTTTGATTCTAAAAAAAAAAACAATATTCTGAAAACTCGACATTTTTTTTAGAAAATACTTGTAATAAAATATATCCATAAGTAACTCGCATAGCCGTTTGACGGTGTTATAAATTCAGTGTTGTATAAAGATAAATTATAAATGTCTAGAGAAAGACGGGAGATAATTGCTAGAATAAAAAATGATTTACAGATGATACATTACAATATTTATTATTACCAAGATAACTATAAATATTGTCATGTCAAATTAAAGATAAATAATCGGACAGTTTTTATCTAGCAAAAAAGAAAGATAATTTTATTCATTACCTATATCGAAAAACTAAGTGCTCAACATATTAAATAGCGCTTTACCGTTGATAACTACTGAATGTGGTCTCATCTATAGATTTCAAACGGTCCCCGTAATCGCTTAAAATTAATAAAAAGTTAATTCGTTTGTTAACCCATACCATTAATTTAAATTAAATACTTTTATCCAGATTCGTTTATCTAGACGATTAAATAATTGTACACGTCAAATAATACTTATTTTCCGTTTATCCGGATAAAAAATTTAAAAAAATAAAAACAAAAATATACGTGAAAAATTACACTTATACAATTTTAATGTAATTAATAAAAAAAAACACTTAAAATCAAAAATATGCAATAAGCAGTAATGTTAGCTATCTGAAATCTGAATAGTTTTTTTAGGCGCCCCACTTTCAAATGCAAGGGCTTGTTTAAGATTTTGCAGTCGTGCGGAGAAAATGAGAGACGTTGAACTTGAAAACTGCGTCTGATTGTCTGGCGTGCAAGAAAATTCAAAGGCAAATTCGTCGAAAATACATTGCGATGTGCACTGCCCGACGGAAATCCAGAGATAACCATTATTGACGGTACTCGTAATGATGAATAATTATTATCAAATCGAAAAACAGTTTAAACCGTTTCTCGATAGTTCACTTGCGTATTTGTCCGCGTAGGCAAACTTAAAATACATTCTATAGCGTAATATTTCAAAAAAACATTAAGTAGCCGTCATTCGAACGGCCGGTGGTCAACGGATATCAACGGGATTTGGCTTTAAAAATTTTGTTCTCAATCTGTTATATTATACGAGTACTGCACTAACAGAGATTTTTATTTTATCCTCTGTTGTCACAGTCAAATCAAACGGATCGATGCTCTTTTTTATTATTATTATTATTATTATTATTTTTTTTTTTTTATAATCCGAAACTTGACATTTCAATAATAGCTTTGCACTTTGTTTCGGTTGTCACCGATTTTGACATCACCGGTTCGTTAATTCAAAACGTCGGGGGGCATCACGGCCAGATGAATATCGATCACAGTCAACATAATAATATTATAAATGTACAACTGAGAGGATAATCGACCGTATATCGATTCGAGACTCAGCGGTAAAAAAATTCGGACAATATTCAGAGTGTTTCGCAATGATAATTTACCCATTGCGATAACTCCTGATGTAACGAAGATGGTCCATTTTTTTTTTTTTTTTTTATACGACTCAAAGAGACAAGAACTAAAAAAATTCATATTTTAGTTAAATTTTTATGTTTCGGTAAAACATTTTTAAAAAACAATAATTTATTTCATTATTTTCGAAAAAATGATGAAAACCACTATATAGAGTTTATTATTAATTTGGAAATGTTGATGTTTGAAATTCTTATTTATATTAATCTCATGATTTTTAATATTATTTTGTTTAGTTTACAGAAGAACAGTGTATACCGGGCGATTCATTTATAAGTGGATACACTCATTATTTTGAAAAGTATTAACTTTTTCCGGAATTTGTTTTCTAGAATATTTACGAAACAAGGTACAATTTCATACTCATGTTATTTTTGTCACCCTTATTTTTGGGGGTGAAACCACTACCTACTTTTTTGATTTTTAAATGGAAACCTATATATTAAAAAGTCCATAAACTGAGTATTAGTTAAAACAAACTTTAGTGTTGACAATTTTAATTTTTGTCGATCCGTTGACGAGAAATTCCACTTTTAATTTTGGGTTGGCGGAGCGTCATGGTGCATTAACAACAAGTAGCGTGCCTTACCACCACACAAATGATACCCCACTACTCTTCTCCAACCCAAACTTAAAAAAAAAATAACATAAATATAAAATTGTACCTAGAGCAGCTCATTTCTTAAATATTCTTGAAAACAAATTTCGGAATAAGTTAATGATTTTCGAGATAATAAGTGTATCTACTTAAATGGATATTTAGATGATAGATATTAAAATATAATAGTTTTTTTGGTATTATTTTATAACTTATTATCAAACAAAACTCATCGGAAAACGAGATGAGATAATTTCAAAACGTAAATACGGTATTTAATTACCACCTATATGTATTTTAATTTTCTGTAAATTGAAAAAAACAAAAAATATTAAAAATCACGAGGTTATTGAAAATTAAAAATTGAAATGCCAACATTTTAAAAGATAAAATTACATAATATGGCAATTGTCAAATGTTTTGAAAATAATAAAATAAGTTATTTTTTCAACTTTTTACCAAAATTTTAATTTAATTAAATTAACTACATTAGCACCGCAAAAATAGATAACAAAAAAAAAACAATTGTTTTTTTTTTTACACGGAAATGTTTTAAACGTTGAACATTTGCGAAACACATATTGTCACGCGCAAAATGTGACGCTGAGTGTTTGTAACTCTTGGTTTTCATAATAACAGGAGCACGAGCGTGATCGATTCTAAGGAATAATAATTAGGCAACTTGTGTGACGGTTACTTGATGATTCGTTGTTTCAGTGTATGAGAAGTAAATGATTATTAGTGCGAGTACGTTGTAACGCGTGTACCGCCCCACCAACTTCTAGATCATCGTCATATCAGTTATTAGATAGTACGCGTTTCGGATCGTTGTCGCAGTTATTTTCGTGTTTATTCAGTTTATTACAATAAAACGGATACCAGAGAACGTTTCGCTTTTGAAATTATACGAATATAATAATAATATGATTATTGTGATAAACGTGGTGTATTCAATATGGTAACAGTTTACTTTCCGGTAATACACGGAAAGTCGGAAACGCGATTCAATATTTTTCACTATTATATTAAGGTTAACGTTAGAACGATGTTTCTGTTAGCGAAAGTCAGCACCTCGACCGCGGTGACCGCTCGGGTATTCGGCATGATAACATTTCGGTCCACGGTGACGGTATTACAAAGGACGAAACGTTTTACGGCCGTACGTCCGGGGTTGAAATCCCGTTTAAATCTCATTTAACGAGCAAAGTCCACGGTTAAAAAGTTCTCGCATTGTTGTACGGGAAGTACGGTTAAGCTCATTGTCGCCGGTACGATCAGCGTCGTGTATTCCATATTTTATAGTTGGAAATAATTAATAACAATAGCTATTTGTTCGACGGGTATTTAAGACAGAACTAATAACATCTGAATTCGTCCCCGATTTGTGAGTCGTAATGTTCGTTATTAAACCGTTGTACCGTTTGGAATTTTGGTCGTTTCCGCCGTAGACGATATTTTTGACATTAACAATTATTGGCTTTGGCATACCATTACGGAGAATGTCAAACACCGCCACATATTAAAATTGCATGCATCGGTCCAACATCAATTGGCTACCGTGATCACGTAATCGTTTAATTTGTTTTTAGCGCGCTTAAGCGTACAATCGAACGTTAATCCGAGTGCAATTCTAAAATGAGAAGCGGCAAGGTTTAGACTTGTTTGAACACAAATGACCCGTAGAAATCGCCTACAGTTATTATGCTAAATTTCTTCAAAACATTGTTTTGCATACGCAATATCTTTATAGATTATTTCCTCGAAGATCAATGAATTAAACATATTTCGGAATCCGATGGCCGAGATCTCTTGTTTGTTTCGCCCTGACTATTAACATATTCATAAGGAAATACACATTTATACATTACTAAATCAAAAATATTTTCCGCAGTTTCTTAAAACGTATTTATTTTTTTTTTCTAGTTGAACGGTTGTCCATATTTTTTTTTTTTTAAAAAAAAAAACGTACATTTTAAAAACAATAAATAATAGGTTTAGAAATGCAACGCAATTGTATAGATTATAAGAGTTACAACTCAGTATACATCGAGTATAAGAATACATACGAGTAGGTAATAATAATATTATTATTTACAGACAATATTGTGTTATAATTGTATAATATTATCGTATTGCTATTGCGGTGTCACGTCCGTTTCTAATTTTGGCGATAGTAATGCGAATAAACAGTTGAGCATGTGTGTCACGGGTTTTTCATCGACTCAAATATCCAATCTCTTGTCCATCAGTCCGAGGAGCTAAGTGATGCGACGAGACTTTTGAAAATCGATTCAAATTTATTATACTCGATATCGGCCACGTAACTTTTTCGAATTTTAAATTTAAATTTTATTAAATTTCATCGTTTTTAAATCCAGATTGAAAAAACTAGGGGCCGAAATTTTGAAATAGTAGCTCGGCCGATGTCATGTAGCAATACTAACGAATTTAATCAATTAGTTCCGAAAAGTCCTATCGTATCACCAGGTCTACTTAAGATTCAAGTCACTAGGACTCATGGACAAAATATTGGTCCGTTTCAGTCGAAAAAACCGGGCCAAATAGGATCCCTTAAGTTTGATCTGTCAACGTACGCTAATATTAAAATCAACAGCACGAAATCGGTTATACTAAACGAAAAACTGACACTGTCCAATTTCCAAAATGTTTAGCTGTAGTACACTACTATAGAATAATAGAATAATATTTTAATATCCAATCGGATTTTAATACACGCGTTTAAACGTAGAATAAATATGTATACGTGTTAAATGTAATAATAATATTATAATGTAGAGGTAACTATCGCCGTTAGAGATAAGGTTCCGTCCAGTATTTGATTGTGGACGAGAACGGTTTGCTGTACTCGAACGAGGCCGACTTGGCGCGGCTTCTGCTCTTCACGTCCTTCGGTTTTTGCACGTTCCTGTGCGACCCGTACAAGTTCCGGTTGCACGACTGCACGGTGATTATGGACTTTTGGCTCAGGCCGGTCACTTCCAGAAACGACTCGTAGTTGACGAGGCCACCGCCGCCACCGACATCGCCACCGTCGCAGTCCTCCGACTGCAGCACAGAGGAAACCGGCCGGCCCGGACACTCGAGCCCGTCCCCGTCGGCCCGGTATTCTCTGTCCAGGTCGCTGTCCTCGAACCGGAACTCTTCGAAGTTGTTCCTGGGATGGTCCAGGTCGCCGGGCAGAACTAATAGACCGCCGCCGCCCACGCCGGAGTCCGGAGATTCCGAGTCCGGCCTCGCGCAGTCCAGCTCCGAAGCCGTTTTCATTAAATCGATCTCGGCGACGTAACTTCCGTTGTGCACGGCCGACGCCGTTGAGGATCCCTTGTGCTCGGGACCCGCCGAAGCGGCGGCCGTGGCCGCGGCGGTCGCCGCCGCCGTCGTGGTGCAAATGCTCTCGAACTTCCTGACCATTTGGGAGACGCTCGGCGACGTTTCCGTGGAAGCGGTGCTGGACGTGTCGTTCTCCGACTCGGTGCACGAATCGCCGCACTGCAGCAACAGGGTCTCGACCGTTTTCACGATGTCCGTCTGTCCGTCTTCGTCCGGTTCGGGGATGTGTGTCGTCTTGCCGAAATGCACAGTCTTCGGTGACGGGTACTTGCAGACGTCGGACTTTTTCAGCGCGGACGTGATCACTTTACCGTTCTGTTTCACCGACGTTATCACCTGCGAACGATACAGACAAATATTGAGTAATTAAGTTTATAGACTGAAATGAACAGTGAATCGTCGTAATCAAAAAAACGATTCAGGTAAAACAAGACGTTCTTGTTACTAGGCGTAATCTCCCCACCCCCATCTCTTTAGCCACCACGTAACCTAGAAATAAAAAAAAACTGATATGATATTGTAATTTGTTGTCGGTTCTTTATTATAGATTCTGAGCGGATTTTATAAAAAAAAGTTGAATCAATTTTTTTATCTATCCGTAAAACAATTTTCTTGTCCAATCAAAAAAAAAAACAAGATACCTTTATCTTTGCATTTCGGATCTAATCTAGTTGGTGCATGTGAGAGGTCATTTGATTTTCCAATGGGTTTTCACAATAATCGGGAAACGCCGAAAAAAAACTTAAAGGAAAAACGGACACATATTTACGGCGTTACCGATTTCATTATTTCAAATTTGTAGGCATTACATTTTCTACTAAGAATCTTGTTACAATCAAAACATCGCAAAACACAAACTAGACTGAAAATTCAACGAAATATTCGCATTTTTGATCTAGTTTTTTTTTTTTTTTATTATTCAGAAATACTATCAGGAATGTAGAACGAAATATAATTATTTTTAAGCATTTTTACTAACCCAAAAAGGGTTTTCTGAGAAAAATATACATGTATTAATATATTATACAAATTAAATATTCCGCTATATATAGAATCATAAAATACAAAAAAATGTCGGTGATTTTTACGATTCTTGTCAAAATTTTAATTTCAAATGCAAATGTAAATTAAAAACTCGAAAATTTAAAACAGCTATATGAAAATTCAAAACGAGCCAAAATATTTTCAAGACTCAGCCGATCATTGTTCTTATATTGAATTCGACAAAAACCGCTTAAAAACTCCCCGAAATTTCCCCACCCCGGGTTTTCTTGTTTTATTAAGAAAAACACGAGGAATAAAAAAAAAAAACGAATTCCCCAATCCACCAACTACATTTAACCATATTTTGCAACCACGCCAAGCACTTGCGTTAGAAAAAAAAAAAAAAACAATGTGATCATCTGACAATGTTAAATGGAGAAATTGTTTTGAAACATATTATTTTGATTTACGGGTACCGTATTAATAATTGGCATCGTAAAATAATAACGAAATTATCGTACGTTTGAAAATGTTAAATATTATAAACAGGAGGTAGCACTACTCGTAAAAATATGAAAGTAATAATTATTCTCTGTCGGTCGGATTACTATTAAAATAAAAAAATAAAAAGTTCGTACAGTACTGACATTCGCGTAGCCGGATATTTTTTAAAATGACGGTCGCGTTAAAAAATAAAACGAGAGCGCAAAATAATAGTAATACGCTGAATATAAATTGTCTTTTTTTTTTTGACACTTAAATATTTTAGATACAGTGAAACATTCACGATGCGTCAAAAATTGTAATTTAAATAATATATACCTCGTCATTTTTTTTATTTTGCTGTTTTATTCCAAAAGTACATTTTTAATATCTACCACGCAGTGACATAGAATAGAAGAATGCTGCGCTTGGAAATTATCTTTTTTTTGGAAATATCGTTCAGAATATTTTCAGGTAAACTTTTGACGAACCTTGAATATCATAATTTTCAAGCATTTTTGGCATATCGAACAAATTTTGTTTTAATTGAAGATTTTATCAAAAAAAAAAAAAAAATTTAAATTACTATATTCCGTTAAATTTTACTACCACTAATAATAATAATATTTGTGTCTACATAAAAAAAAAAAAAAAAAAAAAAAAAATAAAAAAATGACCGCCTCGATGGAGGCCAACTTAACGGAATTTGATTTCAGATAATTCGTTAGTCTTGAAAACCGGAGCAAGATTTTGGTTGAGAATTATCCAAAATCTAAAATTATCAAATCCAAGTGCCAAACGCATATATTATATGCAATTATAATCCAGGTATCAGAATTGTCCTTATTTTTCAAACCAAGAAAAACAATTATTTAAAATTGTTAATTAATCAATCGCTTAACCGTTAATTAATAACAAAGGGTAATTTCGATCGAGCACTTCTTTTTTTGAATCGTCAATATAAGAGATTAATTTTGTTGAAATTCGGCGATGATAGATTGAACCCTTCACGTATCGTAAAACGTTAAGGCACGACCAAAAGAGCGTAGTTATAAGTATTTCGAAATAAATTCAAAGAAACGAATAAAAACTAACATATATACTTCGCACGATGGGCAGGCCGTTATTGTAGGTGAAGAGTTGTAGGGGCAGAGGGTGGAATTTAACGTTGTATAGCTGTACCTAACGATTAACCATTGCTAACGAAAAACGATTCTGAGCTGAATTTGATTGTAATTGCGATTAGAAAACAATACATTTCATATATTTTTCCATTTACTACTACGAAAACCCCTTAAAAAATTCAAAAACATTAACTCTCTAAAAGTACCAGCTCACGCAAATTTCCTTTTAGAAAAGGTACTATCCCCTCCCACCCAAAAAAAAAAAAAAAATAATAATAATAATTATAATATATACATCATTGTAAAACCAATGCATTCCTCGCTCAGCTGAGAACCTAAAACGAAACTGTATAACATTTACATACAAATGTACCAGACTTTAAATACAGAAATCACGAGTATTTATAAAAAATGTCTCGTAAATTAAAAAAAAAAAAAAAAAAAACCTTTTAAAATTAAATTTACGAAATTCTTCATTAAGTATTGTATTGATTTTTTCAGAAAACCATAATTTCGGTCACGGCATTTCGTATTGATAACTTTACGTTCTACATTTAAATGTCCGGTGCATTAGCACGCGAACGCGAAAAACGGCCGCCTCTTTTAACGACCAAATTGACGAACGGACAGAGGTGTTGTGCCCGATCGAAATCGTCCGACATTTATCTCTTTCATCTGTGTACACCGAGGACCGCCATTTAATATCATACGTGTCCTGTACCACGTTTAAAACTGGGTTTACCTCTTTCGAGACTTCGTTGTACGTGAACTCGTTTTTCGAGAATATCGAGTTGGACACGACGAACAAATTGTTGTTGGGCGTCGGGTTCGGAAACGACGATATGTCGTTGAGGGACAGGTCCGTGACGGTTTTGCTGCAGTACACGTTCTTGTTGAAATTGATGTTGTTGGACGGATTGTTTTTCCTGTTTCGCGCGGCGGCGTCCGGCAACGCGTTGCCGCCGTTTTTCCGCGGTCCTTCGGACGTCGACGGCAAACCGACGATATTATTACCGTGCGGTTTTTCCGAACCGAACAGCGGCGGCGACGGCGCGGAGTCGACGTCCGTACTTTTCGGGGGCTCGGCGCAGTGCGGTTGCGGCGACGAAATGGAAGTGATCAAGTCCGGTTTGGACGCGGGAACTTCGGCGTCCCCGCGCGGCGTTTCGTTTTTGTTGACGGCGCCGTTGCCGTTTTGGCTGCAATAGTTCGCCAGCGACTGCCGAAGTTTGGCTATCTCCAGCTGCTGTTGCCGTATCACCGCGTCCCGTTCTCCCAGTTGCCGTCTGATGTGCTGCTGTTCCCGGCGCAGCCTCGACTCGAACACGTACAGCGACCGCAACACCTTGCCCAGATCGTTGAAGTTCGACCGTTGGAACTCCCGCAGCTGATTGTTTTTCCGGTCGACTTTCAGCGACAGTTCGGACACCAGCCGGTGCCGTTTGCATATCTGATTGGTCAACGCCGCCTTCGTCTTGGACAGTTCGTTTTTCAATCGGATTATTTCGCCGTCAATCTGCGAACAAAAAGAACGAAACGGAACGCGTCTATTATAATCAAATATTGATAAGCCGTCACGACCGACGGAAATCCCGTTAATTCCCAACGGTTTCCGACCGATTTTTTCGGGCGGGCCCGATACAGTTATCGGGCCCGTAACTCGGGAATTTGAAAATCTACATAACGAGAAGAAAAAAAAAATGGTAAAAACCGCGGCGCACGCAATACGTCCCCGCCGTTCGAATAGAAATCGCCGTGTAAATAAATTAATAAGAACGTAAATATATTTATCGCTAGAGTCGAAAAATAAAAACATCCTACGCGCATATTATTATATTTCGATCGTGTTTTCGGACCGTCGGTCCGTCAGTCAGCCCGAAGTTCGTTAATTCCTTTTCGCGGTACCTAAATGGGTCACATTTTTTTTTTTTTTTATTTCATTTTCAAATTAATGTATTCAAATTTCCATATTTTATGCGCACTAAAAAAACCGTATACAGGTATACAACCTACTCGCAGCGTTTGTCAATTATTGTGAACGCGACCGGTCCAATGATAATTTGATAATTTTAAATTTGTTTTTTTTTTTTTTTTTGGTNGTTTGTCAATTATTGTGAACGCGACCGGTCCAATGATAATTTGATAATTTTAAATTTTTTTTTTTTTTTTTTTTTGGTACGCCGTTATAACACGACGGCGACGACGTAACGGAGATGAAAATATTATTAATCTTATTTGACATGTAATTACGCAAAATATTATTATCGTGACACTAAAAAAAAAAAAAAAATATCTGGTGGCCCGGGCCACTGTTGTAGGCGGGAAGTTGGGAAGGTATATGTGATATGGGCGGCGATTTTGGTTTGTGTACTGAAAACAACGGTATATCGCGGTGTTCGTCGATTGTTGTTATCAATTAATAATATTAAAAAAGGCTGATACTGCTGAAGGATGTGGTACATAAAGTTATACAATTTATGTCTGTTGGCAACGATAACTCGTTTCTGACAGAATACGATTCCGAGCGATTTTTATCCGATTAAACATTGTGGTCGTAACAAAATATCGTTATTTGTAAGATTAAATGTTAAAAATTGATTTTTATTCGATAATTATCAGAAATTATCGAATATTTTCATAATGTTCCTACTGCCCGTTGATAGCAGATCCGTGATAAATCATTACAATCAAAACACGGTCGTTAACGGAGCTTGATTAATAACCGGCGAGGTTTTATGTTTTGATGTGTTTCTCGTTGTAGTCTGCTAAGTTAGTGGTGGTCGCCCGGAAATCGACAAAAATAAAACTGACGCGTCCGCATATACTGCTGCCGAGTTTTAATTTAACAGAAAAACATTTGTAAACATACGTTTGAATCGGAGTACTCTTTTGGGCGAGAAATCCGCATCTTTTAACGAATATGAACGATTCGGAGGATATTTTAACTAACCAAAAATGTGTTTCCCGAGACAAGAAGAATATATTAGTAAGACTATATCACACGAGTAATACGCCCGGGCGTCTATACGATAAAAAAATACACGTCGTACACTCGTATCGAAAATATGGTAGGTACAAAAAAGACGTTTTTATATTACACCGAGCGATCCAATAATCGTGAACCAGCGTTATTTTCATCGAAGGATTTAAATTGAATTCGATTCCTGTTATCATTTTTTTTTTTTTTTTTTTTATAAAATCGTTATGCAATCATTAATTTAACCCTTATTGTTTTTCTTTTTTTTTTTTTTCCCCCGCTACATATAGGTATACGCTTTTAGTTTTCAAATAGCCTTAGAGAACGGAAATAAACTTCATATAATAATGCGCACAATTTTATGATAAATCGATAACACTTCGCTACTCCGCCGCCGGCCGAAACATTAAACTGTTATTGTTACGGTAAACGGTAAATCCCCGATATCGCTGTGCGCATCAACAATTATAAAAAAAAACATCATTATTCTCTATTCGAAACTGAGTGTAAAAAGCGGCGAGTAGGGTCCGTATGTGTTTAAAATCTGAAGTGTTCAACGCACACTCATCTGGTATCGAAATAAGTGTTTTAAAAGGTCTTTCGCGATTACGTCAAAACGATCGGGGGAGGGAGGGGCAGAAAAATCGAATTCATTTTGAATCCTCCGCGGCAAAATGGTCGGTTCACATATTATTATGATGAACGGATCACCCTGTATAATATACAGCGTCGAGATTTATGGAAAAAGCACTTTTTTGTTTTTTGTTTTTTTTTTTTTTTTCTGTACACTATATCTATCGCTCACTACGCGTTACACGTAAAAACAGATTATAATGATAACAATAATAATAATAATGTGACCAGCGCCCTCGGTGTAAACTCCCCGGTTAAATTTCCGATCGAGTGCAACGTTTGTGTGCGTGCCCGGATACTCGCTTTCTCGTCGCGTATGCTCGGACAAAATAAATTGTTATTTTTTCGTTCAGGCGGAAAAAAAAAAACGAAGAACAAGACAAAGATCGCATTCCGAACGTTCGCAAATAAAATAATTTATTTCGGAACGACGACGGGCTTAAAAAAAATAAAAATAATAATAATAAATAACGACCTCTACAATTAGCTAAAAATCTGCCGCAACAGTCGCACGTATCGTCTCTCGATTTCTATACTGCACAACTGCGTTTTTCAATTGCCTATTATTATTATTAAAAAACGAATACGAAATTTGTATAATATTACCGCGGAAAAAAATAAAAAAAATACGAATAATCGGCTTTGTTTTCGGCACCACAAATCGATAAAATAATTAAATATTACAGCACACTTTAAAGCAAAAAATAAAAAAAATAATTTAACTTCGTCGGGAATATCGGTTTATATCTAATTTTTTTAATTTTTTTTTTTTTTCGTTATTAATTTATGCAATTATTATATTCTATTATAGCTATGAGCATGGATATAGTATTCCGAATAAACCATTCTGTATATTGTATGCAGATTATTTTTAAGTATTCTGAATACCTATTTGAAAACTAATTTTTTTTTTTATAATTGTTCAATATTGTATTCCGAGTAGTTTTTTAAAAGAGTATTTTATTCTTAATAAAATAAGAGATGTATGCTTTATTTTCTCGGAAAATACTTCATAGGTTTGTAAAAAATGTTCCGATTATTTTAAAAGATGCGTAATTTCCAACCGGTGGTACTTAATTTTAAAGGTTTCTCGTAATTCTCAACGGTTAAAGTATAACGCATGATAGCGTCACCTATCGGCGTACTCATATAATATCTAAAGTTTTCGTTAAGTCATCCGAACTTTATCTTACATTTTTTTTGAACCTATTTTATTCCTTAGAGTATACTGAATACTTTCTGAAAAGTATTCGTAATATCTTCAAAATACTGTTGGCGAACAGTATTTGAATATTTATTTTAAAACCTTTTAAGAAGCATTTTAGCCAAGTCTTCGTACACATAGTTCGGGCGCGTTACTCCGATTATTGTACACGACGCAAAATTGAGATATTCATAGTCAACAAGTTACACAGTAATAATATTCTTTTCTTTTGGTAACTAAGTTTACTAATGTATACAAGTTACTCGTAGAAAACTATAAGTTAATATAATATTATAGTTAGGTTTAAATTCTAGTAAGAAGTTACATTTACTTTTTTTTTACATACATAATGATATTTCATAATCTGAACTCCGTGAACGCGATTCGTGCATCAATTTTAATTACTTCAAAAAAAAAAATAATAATAATAATAATAATAAACCACTCGAGATCGATAAGTGTTCGTTAACAACGCATTTGTGGAATTCCGTCCCAAGGGCGGGGCATTTAACTCCGAATTCCGTCCCGTAGGTATTTAATTATTAAACTGACATTTTTTTTTTTTTGTGGGCTAAAGAGTGACAGCTTTGCTGGCTTGTTTAAAAAGGTTCTTTTTGTTTATTGTCGTACATGCAAATAATAAATATCATTCACGTTATATATGACGTTTCTTCTAGTACCTATAACTAATGTTTAATTAAAACTTTCTTTTTATTTTCCTCGAAGTTTGCTTACTTTAAGTATATTAGTATTTTAAACTTAAGATAATTAATTTCCGATAAACGGCTCTTTTTCCTGATATTTTTAAGTGGTGCATTATACTCGTCTTCAATATTTACGTACCTAAATAAAAAAGTGTTTTCATGTTACCATATCCAACAATAAGCAAATAACAAATTTTGAAACATGTCAGCAAAAATGTCAGTTCCTCGGCCTTGAAAAAAAATGTGAAAGGAAATGCTATTATAGTTAATATGTTTTACGGAACGGGATTCGGATGCAGCCGGTTACAAATAGTTATCGATGAGAATGACAAAAATTAACCTAAAACTTACGAAGTTTTACTGATTTTCATATAATTCAATAATTTATTGTATTTTATACAAATTTGTGTCCTTATATTATGTTACTGCGAAGTTATGTCTACCTACGGCCGTCTTAAGAACATTTGTCCATTCGATTAATCTATGTAAATATCCGCAATGTTTCTCGCGCCTTGTATTTCGAATCGCATCTTGCATTCAGACTTAAAAATGCACGGAGTTCAAAATGCAGCAAACATTGCTAACAAACCAGTCTAACTAATCCTTGCTCTAAGCTCCGAATATATTCCAGGAAATCCGCTTAGAATGCTAAAGTGGAACTGGTGCCGCTGGGTGATCGGTGCGTTGTGCCAATCATGCATAAAGCATATTATAAATCCTCAAACATTGTTATTATAAACAATCCAACAATATTATTTTTCTATATAGATTATATCTGCCTACGATGGTTGTTGAAAAAACATCAAAACAAAATCACAAATACATTTTAACTTTACCAATACATAGGTTGAATTTCAAAATCTTACGAATATCGCGGAATTAGTAGGTATTAAAGTATTTTAATATTTTAAAATTATATTTTTCCGTTTTATGGTCAATGCCCATTTTACGCTATATGTATGTATATTTCTGTAATAATTTTTTAACGCTCAGTAAACCAATTATGTGTAGATTGTAAACGAATACAATTAATACAACAATATATTCATGCATGGCTTATCAAACTCCATAATAACACTATTTACGGATGAAATTATAAAATGAGTGGCCATAACAGGTAGGCTGGCCCATTGATGGCGACTCACCCCTCCTACCTATAATGTTTGTTTCCGCGTAATATTTTTAAAATCGGTATAAAACATACAAAATTAATTTCATTTCGGCTTTTGGGGTTTTAATCGTTCGTAATTACCGAAGCGCTCAAGATACAGCATGTTTGAGTTGTCGTTTTTTTTTTTTTTTTTAAACAGAACCGCAATGAAAATTTCGCTGATAAATTGTAAACGCGGAACAATTTTATTTATAATAAGGACGCCCGTGACTGCAGGCTAGCGGGATAACGACGACGGCGTCTCTCGCAGTTTTACCGAGAATATTTTTTATATATATATATATATCTACTTTTTTATACTCGAACTCGAAACCAACGAACGACGACGATAATATTCCGTGAGGTTCGCGTTAAAACAACGGCATTTCGAAACACCGTGTGTCCCTCTCCTTCCGCTGCCGTTTTCTTTAGAGGTACCTATTATTATACAACGTTAAACGAATTCCATACCCTAGGACGTGTCGTCCACGTATAGAATTGTGCAGGTACAACTGCCACAGCGAGTATAGGTACCTGTATATCGTACAAAAAATGTACAGGGTGATGCATTATTATCAGAACCCAACGATTTTCTCGGATGGTTTTTAAGCGAATTCGAAACCATCTGGTTTTTGTAGAATCTTAAACGGTTCTACTTTATTTTCAAACACTGCTTTCAATTCTTTACTCTTACTCCTTGTACGTATACCAATTAAAAATGATTATACAACTTTAATTTTTAAATGACCTTCTCCTCCTCTTTTAAACACAAATTCAAATAAAGAATATTATTTTTCGAAGTAATTTTGATATGCCTACGTTTGATTATCGAGTAAAAACAATATTATACAATTTAAACCGGAGAAATAATGAAGAATCAACGATTTATTATTTTTAAAAAAATGGTTACATAGTTTATTGACCTTTATCCTAATGTTCCCGCTTAAACAATCGTAAACTGTTATAACGCATAAACCGAAAATCCGATAATAATGTATATCAAAAATGTATAGAAAAGTATTATAATATGATGCTCTGTTCAGATTCGTGTACTAAACGGGCTGTTGATATTTGAAAATCCAAAGTGTATTCATTGAAATTCCTCCAAGCAATCAGTTCGTACGCGATAAATGAATCACTCTGTATACGTGTACGACAGAATGGCGAAATATAAACGCAAACCCGATTCCCGCGTTCCCGGACAACGTTTCTGCGGTGAGTTGAAAATTAAACAGCACTCGACAAAAAAAAAAAAAAAAAAAACTACAAGTAAAAAAAAAATCCACGAAAATATTATGAGACAGGCTGCTATGTGAATCAAAGGTAATAAAAGCCAAGTAATGGAATGCAAATCTAATAATATATAATATTTAAAAAAAATAACACTACCTGCTACGAGCAGCTCACGCCATCATTTAGATTTAATATCTAATCGTTGGCCAAAAAAACAGTGTACACCCTTTACGTAATTATTGGCCGACATAATACATGTGAGTAGACGGTTTTTTTTTTTTTGTTTATTAATGAATGTGTGTGACAGGATTTCCTTGATATAGTTGAGAGTCCGGCGTGTACATTAAAAATTTGATAACTACGTATAATATATAACACAGACAATCAATTATTATGTAAAACAGATGTTATAATGTTATTATTTGTTCTATTAAAAATCTTTAAACCTGTATTTTTCCTTTCTTTTTTACACGAACACGTCTTTTTGATAAAAAAAAAAAAAAACTGAATACCTCAACGTCCCGATTTCGACGTTTTCTATATGACTTTTAGATTCGGAGCGTAACGAGAGATTGATTTTATATTATAATGTGTTTTTTTTCTGTCTGGAAAGAACTTTTCGAAAATAAATCTTGCTCCGATGTATAGATCGTAGTCTGTTTTGGTTGATTTTGTCTAGTTGGTGTATTAAAGTTCAAATGCAGTCACTTTTTGAATCGGTAAAATTGCCAACACCTTAATGATATTAAATAATTACAAAAATAATTGTACGATTATCGTACGAATTCGATGAAACTACCGTAAAGGGACCTCGTCAGAGAAACATTTGTATTCTCGGCTGATGTCTGTATCGTAATAGTATTATATTAACATAAGCATTCCGCATTTTCAATTTTCACGGTTGCGACTCAGTGGCTGAGTTTATGATAAGGCGCTTATAATATTATACATTTTATAACGAAGAATATACTTAGTACTTATATACTATAATATTGATCCTAAGAGTGCATTTTTTTTTTTTTTTTTTTTTTAAATATTTTCATTTCTTCAGAAATTTTTAATAGAGAAAATTTAAACGCGCATATTTTAATCAAATTACATTCAAATATATATATAAAAAAACTAATAATTTATAGAAACTCGACCAGACGCAGTCGTAACCGTGGAAATGTGGAATGCTTTTGTTGCTATATTACGCGCGAGACAAACAGAGAAAATATTGTTAGTGACGAGAACCTTTAATAATAAAAATAAATATTTCTAATAAAAAATTCCCATCGATGAAATATATTTGAAAAGTGCCTACATCAAGTGAATACCAATCGCTCGTCGCCATATTGGAATTAGTAGTGAATTCCATTGTACATTTAGTATGTACCGATACAAAAATCTGCAAGGATATATATTATAATATAATATATGCAATGCACTCTGTAATTTTGAATAGAATTATGTAAATCAGTGCACTGACAATTGTTAAACTTTTTAGTAACGCCCCGACGACGACGACGACGACGGCCCCGACGAAAGAATTATATTTAATTATTTAAATTATTTTTTATATTTCTACCCATGTAGAAAGAGATGATAATATGTTCTTTTGGCTGTTTAACACAATCGACGACAATTCTGTTTAAATAAAAAAAAAAAAAAAATAAAAATTTACAATAATTTTATTCCCAATAATATTATTTTCGTTTGAACGGGATATTCAATGGATATCAAAAAACGACTACATATAGACATACAGTATCATAATATTGAGAATTTTAGATGGTTCATACGCGCAGAGAACAATTTTGCTGGCATGCATGTTTATTTAATCGTGATTGACGCCGCGAACCTAACCGATAAATGATATAATATGCGACAATGCGAAAAATATTTGAAATTCGCTTCTATATATTATTATCATCGCATAATTCACCACGGATGGAACAATTCATATTTCATGGTGCTAATCTGTCCTTATGTTCCATAATTAATCTGGGACGGGGTATCTACCGGTGGCACCACTGATAAGAACCACATAAATATAACACAGTCCAACACATCTCGTCAACCGACTCGTGAACGAGGCGAATGATAAAGCCATCACGATTCGCCCACTACAATCGTGTATTATGACTTGTGTTTACGCCGTGCTACTTATGGGATTTACTATTCACAATTGCGTATCTAGTCGTGATATTGTTTAAACAACGGAACGGGATAACAATATAAATATTATAATATCTGTGCGTTGTGTTTGGTAAAATTTCAATAATTTCAATATTTACTTTACAGTGTTATGATAAAGACTCACTAATGATACGCGCCGTGATGCGTTTGATTTTGAAATATTATTGTCATCAGTATAATTGTAATATTGTACGGCGGTAATAATAATAATAATAATAAAAAAAAAAAAATAAAAAGAGGTAACACTGCTGATGGGCGTGTCACTGTAGCAGGCGTGAAGTTGGCAAGGTAAGGTGTATAGACTAATTTAAGTAAAATCGAAAATTTGTCCTCCCCTACATGCACCGGCTAGATAAAATTCGCTGACACAATGCCCCTCCTTTATATTGACGATCCGAGCAGATTTTCTGGTAAAAAAGTTGTTTACAGTACTGTGTCGTCCGTAGTAAAACTGCAATACGTTTCTCACTCGGTTCAGAAACGCGTGCTATTTATCGGCATATTGTCGTGCACGGCGAAAATTGAACACATCCCCGACTATTCGACGACACGGAAATAATTTTCCAACGACCTTCGTTAACAGTGAAAAAAAAATAAACGATCGATTCGAACGATATTATATTAAAAACATAGTACACACATCGAAGTATTTTTTTTTTTTTTACTATCCCGCGTGTAGTATTCCCCAATATTGCAGTAAAACAACACTGATAATACGCTATTATGCGGCCGAGTGTTTTTTATTGTACAGATTTCGCGGTTCCGGCGAGACGAATTTCGGGGGAAAAAAAGTTTTAAAAAAAATACCAAAACAAAAAAAAAAATTGTATCCGTTTGAAAACACGGACGCGGAACAAAATAACATTCTCGAGAAACCGTCGTGCAGCGTGCACTGTGCCGCCGCCGCTTACTATTACTATCGGTTCATACGAATGACGACGCTATACATGATAATAACATTATTACCATACGTGTGCGTTCATTGTTGAGAAAAAAAAAAATAATAATCAACCGCGGGTTTCCATTCAACGATTCGGATCGCTGATTTTTATCTCTTTTTTCGACAATATTATGCGTTTTCCTATCGAAAAACACACGCGAACGTCTTCATATCGCAACGTGATTACTGGTGTATAATGCACCGCAATTATATGGTTAAAAAATTGTTATGAATACCGAACACGGGTATCCTGCCACTGAAAATTCCCCACGTTTACGCGCAGGGCGGTCGACGGCCAGATTAGAAACGTCAACATCAAATGTTTTTAAATTTTATATTATGGAATTTTCTACACAGATCGCTGTTCGAAAGCGGGCAGTGGGGTTTTACGCCGCGGAAAAAAGGACCGTTTCGTTAATGTTCTGAAAATGTCGAAAAAAGCCAATATATTCCTTGATGACGAGTGTTTAGCGACGTCACGTTAATCGCCCCGCATACAAACGACATTACGACGCGGTTATCTATGCACCATAACCGCGCGGTTATAAACGCCAGATAATACAACAATAATTCATCTAGAGCGTATATATTAGTTAGATAATCGAATGTACTATTGAAATGCGCTGCGATAATAACGCTGCACATAAACGAGACGAGACGAACGCGCATGTAACGACGTTATTGAAAAAAAAAAAAACAAAAAAACAAAAACAAAACACAGCCGCAGGTACATACGGAAATCGCATCCCGTCGATTTTCGGCAAAACAATAATATTATATACTCGGGCGATCAATTCTAAACCGTAAACCGGATTAGGCGTACAGCCCCGACGGGATATTACCGCATAAAAGTATTAATAATCGTATTTCGGAATAGAGTAGCGGAATATTATTATTATCATATCAATATACGTCGCGATAGAAATTCGAAAACTAGAGTGCATTGAAGCTCGTCAATGGTTCCGTCCTGTATACATGTATATACAGACATTCGCCCCGTCGAATAAGCGGGGTATTCAAAGCATTTATAAGGGTATTTCTCTTGTTTCGCCCCTCTCCGTTTTATAAGTGTCCGCAATCGTACGTATTAATCGAAAAATGCAGCATAATACACGGCCAACAAACCAACGCACACCGCCGAACGGATTAAAAATAAAAAAATAATAAAGACGCATCCAAACGCGATGGCGTTTGTGATGAGATTATTTTTCAAACGAAAACGTACCCGCTGATTCGTATATTTCATTCGTCTGAAAGGAGGAACTCGTATTTTCACTGTGTATTAACATCTATGCAAAGGAGGGCGAGTTTAAAATGTATGTGTCTATAGATTAGAGGTCTCGCTTAAAAACGTGAATTAATACGTACGTGGACGATGTGAATGAAAAATGTGTACTCACGTAAATTTAATACACGTGAACTTACTATCCTTGTTCACGTGTTTTGGGATTATTCGCGTATTTTAATACGTGAATAATAACGAGAAATACGCGTAAACGTGAATAATTACACGTGTACACAGATTTATAAATTCGAATGTTAATTTCTCGTGAATACGCGAAAGTATATATAGATACACGTGAAGTAGGGAGCTCTAGTTTATATTAAACAAATACGATTACAATATCGTTATCCTCATCAGTCTCTGTCCTCGAGCATAAAATCAGGGGAAAACGATAAACAGACGTTTAAAATCCACGATATCGTGTCCAAACGCGTATAATATTTCGTAAGCCAGACGAAATGTTTTGTAGTTTTGTGTTTTACTTGAAATATCCGAATCATTCGCCGACAATATTTTACAAGTAGTATAAACCGTTTAGAACGACGACGTGTGAGTGGGAACACCGGGGATGGACGCGATTTTCGATACACAATCGCGAACGCTCATTGGAGAGGTGAGGCAAAAGGAGGAATTTCTCCAGGAAATTATTAAAACCCGTCAAAAATTGTTTCTTTAATTAAACGTACTTATATCGGTATAAAACAATTTTGTCGGGTCGATTGAGTCGAGAACAAATTACCGTAAAAATCTTTAAAATTAATTTGTTTTGACCGAGTGAATAATATTAAATTCATTCGGTACACGCTACGTTTTGTACATGTAATTATGATAAATAATTAATGTTTAATATAAAAATTCGTACGGAATATTATCCTTTAACCTTATCCTATAGGGTATACTATCTAGTTATTTCAGTTTTTTTTTCACCACACCATTAAAAAAATTAAATACAAATATTGTCGAGTCGATATCGATATGAAATACGGGCGACTGTTGCGTTCCCGGTCTGGATAGTTTTCCGGCTGCGGCATATCTCCGTATCCGCAACCTTATCATCTCCAAATAACAGTATAATATAATATTATAAGAAACTGTCCTGGCTGAATCGTAGTAATAATTTTATTTTTACTGCACATAAAAGCGAACGTTGGATCATAAAAATATTACAGAACGCATTATTACTATATTGTATCGGTTTTATCTCGATATTTTTGGGAAAAATAATTTAGATGTTATTAAAAATATTTGCAGTGTCAGAAACGCCATCTAGCGGAAGGGAAATAATAAGTATGCAATCCAAACGAAAATTAAAACAATATAATTTATAATGAAAAACTGTTTGTTTTCCGAAGTAGTATTTTCTGTTTAATTATAGTATTAGGAATAATATCGTACTTGTATTTTGATATTCTGAGCCAGACGGGGTTTTAGTATGGTATATCTTTTTTTTTGTGTGGATGTAAATAACTTCTATACCAGTATTAAAAAAAAAAAAAAAAAAATGTGTAGGAACTTTTTTTAGCATTTTTGATTTTGGTACATTATGGAGTTATTTTTCTATTTTTTTCCCATAGTTTGCTTGATAAATGGGAAAAACTGGCAAAGTTATTATAACTTTTCTAAATTTCTTCAGGAGTGTTTGCCAAGGCAACAAGATGATATCGTTACATAGACCAGTGGTTTTCACCCGGGGATCGCCAGGTATAGTCGGAAGAGAGATGTTGCTAAAATTATGAAAAATGGCCTTTCTTATACCTGTTATGCTGTATGATAATTTTTTTGAAGCCTGGCAAAAAAAAAAAAAAACGATATAAAATTTATCATAAAACATATTAAACATTTTCTACGAGCAATCGTATCGACGTGAGTATTAAAATATTATCTAAAGTCTTGTGCTTATAGTTCGCACAACCTCGCGTACGATAATATTGTTTGCTTACTATACGAATACCGTGCACCCGTCGTACACACAGTGATTACGTCTATAAAGTGCATTTTATTCTCGCATAGTGCATTGAACACCGCGGATAAATTCGCCGTGCTCAATCGGACGATCGCGATCGTTTTCTTCCCTTTACCACGGATTGTATTGTACTTTGTACGCCGAGGGAATGCGAGTCATGCCATTATTCGCGATGGTTTACGAAACGCGTAAAATAAAATATGAAAATATAACAAAAAATATTTCACGCAAATACTAAAAAATGTTTTAGATTCTGAGTTTAGCCAAGAATTGTATTGGCTTTATAAAGATATTTATTATTATTCTTATTATTGTTTTTTTTTAATGTGAACACTTTTTCTACTAGAAAGCTTACTCCGATTATCAAGTATAGCAACTTTTCTGAAAGGAAATATTCTCCGAGTGGTACTTTAAAGATATTGCTTTTTGAAATTCCCATTAATATTCGAGATGATGAGAAAAACCTGATTCGTTGGGTTAAAAAAGATTGAAAAATTAAAAATAAAGTTGTCATTGGCAACCATTTTTATTTGTTTTTTATTTTTATTAATCATTTCAATCTTTTTTATACAATCGTTGTTGTCAATGCTGTCATGGAAACGCACATTGTTGTAAGCATTTTACCATAATATGACATATTATATTATATTGTTGACGAGGCAATAATATTATCAACTGAAGCTGAATCCCGCTCAGAATCGTTTTTTCGTTAGCAATGGTTTATCGTCGCTTACAGATGTACATTAAATTCCCGTCTGTATCCTACCTTCCCACCTACAACAGCGGCTGCACCCACGTGCGAAGTATGCCCGTCCTTTTTTTATTTTATTTTGTTAATGGTACACAATATATACTATACATAATATGTACCAGACTACGATCCGAAGGGGCTACAAATTATGATAATTATATTCTAATAGAGACCGGGAATCGACACCGATTATAGCGCAATACGTTTCGTCACAGGTACCGGCGTGTTTGTCATAATTGTTTGAAACAAAACCGAAATAAATACATATAGGTGTCGTCAATATCGCGATAACGTTTAAAAAAATAATTAAAACATATTGTTAATTAATAATTTATAAATACGATTTTTCGTCAACCGATAATGACGCGCAATATCTATAGGTGCGTACACTGTACACGCGTAGGTATATTATGTTATTTCGAAGCGCATTTAAATGATGATGATTTTTTTTTTTTTTTTTTTGTTGAGAGTATTTGAATATGATAAAAGAAAAAAACAATTATTAAATCGATTATTATACTTATATCGAAGGTTGTCGCATTAAGTTTTTAGCATGGCTAATTTTTTTTTTTTTTTTTTTTTTTTATCACAATGATAATTATTCGTAAAGTATATTAAAAAATATAGATAAGACTCGTTGCGGTTCTACAATTTACAATGATTTCTATAGATACGGGTACAATAATAATATTTGTCGTCAGGCATCACATGGTTGACGTTAAATTTCATCTCGATTAACAACTACGAAACCGAGTAAAAATAATATCATAATGTAACTAAACTACCGCACTGAACTGAAAAATTTTATAATTCGGAAAATAAAAAAAAAAAATCAATGATTTCTGAAATGTACATGAAAGTTGTAACAACTCGCATTTAACGAAACATATCGTTGTCCCTACCTAAACTCCTATCCAATCGAATTGATTCTCTTTCCGTATACTTACAAATGTTCAGTTCCTTCGCGCCGCAAACCCGTTTCTTTGTTCTATTTTGCATTCCTAATTTTCCTTCAGACTTCCGCCAGGTGGATTTGGTAAGGCCGATATTTATACGATTTTTCATTTTTTTTATTGGTCGCTTAAACGGCTACAATACGATTGAGCAAAATTTGCTCAATCGTGTATATTTTATTAGCCACCGAAATACATACACGATTGAGCAAATTTCTCATATGTATACACACGATCGCGCGACGTTTAAATGCAACGTTGCCATAACGCATTAGTTATACGTGTTAACATATTAATTAAACGACCCCAATGTAAGACATAACAACAGCAACTGTTTCACTAACTGTTAATGAAATAAATAATTATTTTTACATATTTTAAGACTTCCATGGTTATGAACATTGATAATAATTTTTTTTTTAATTTGAACAATTTGTTATCATTATTTCAAGTATTTACTTTGAAATGAACAGTATAAAAGTTAAGAGAACCATTGTTGAGTATTAATACTAATAATAATAACAAAATTTAAAAAAAATTTATAATAGATATATACATTAAAAGTTATTTTAAAATAACAGTTTTGCTCAGTTTGTTAGTAAAATTCAATTATAAAAAAAAAATTAAATATCGTATACATTATAATAATTTTTCCTGATATCTATTGCTAGCTAGTGACAAATAATGGAGTAAATTATTTTTAGATTTACACGATTTATATCTATTGCATGCCTTAATAGTTACTTCAATGCGGGTTGTCTTTGTAGGAGTAGCTTTTTTTACTTCGTCATTAGAAACTGTGTTTTTTTTTTTTTGTTTACCTCTGTTTCGGACTGCGTTTCTAATAAGACAGTTAGTACTAAGTTTATCGTTTAAGGTTTTCACACAGAACGCGGTTTGTAATATATTATGTTATGGTAATATATTTATTTATACATGGCAACGTTGCATTCAAAATCTTGCGCAATCGTGTATATATATGAGAAATTTGCTCAATCGTTCTTTACCGGCTTATACAAATAGTCGGTTTACTCCAAAACATGTTTCATGCCCTAACGATTCCATGTAATAAAAAAAAAAAAAAAAATTCATGTTGCATATTTTGGACTTTTTAACACATAATTTAGGATTTCGTAAATTTTTAAAAAAATGTACAACATGGTTTTTATAATTTTTGAGAACATTTTGTTATTTTTAGTGCATATCATCTATACATATTAAAGGTTTTTAAAACACATAAATATCTGCCATACTTTTTAGCAAAGGCCCACATGTTCCGTATTTCTCGCTCGTTTTTTGAACGATTACACAAATTATTTACCATCATATTATCTTGTTGTTAACCTTTACTTTATGGCAGTTGTAAATATTATTGGACCCCGTCCGTTTACTTGTAAATCAAAAGGTTTTGCACAAAAATGATAAATAACGCGATGACAAAAGTGCAAGGCTAATATAATATTTACACTGTAGTCTGTAGTATTGCAATATTATTGCAGCATTCAATTACGATACTTGAAAAATATTCACGAAAATAAATAAAATGCTTGAAGATAATTGTTTTACAATATTTCGTCTCCATTGGTCTTTTAGCATTTGCTCAAAATAGAGGAAAGTTTTGGTTGGCTTCCCCTGTCATGAAAGTCTAGTCACGTCTATGCTAATATGTCCGTAACATTTACGAAACAAAGATTATATTAGAGGAACATATAAATGTATGCAGGTAATACGTACCCCATCACGAGGATTCACTGAATTAAAGCCACCGCGATGTATAATAATAATGTAAATTCCATTACCTTATTTTAAATATTAAATCTCCGACGGTCACCCGTTCACCACATCATCTGCACGCTGATAGACACGCACAATAACGGTTTATCAAAAATAGCCAAATCGTACGAGAAATGTATTATTCATTACGTCTAAGTATATAGTAATAATAATAATAATAATAATTTTTTTTTCACGGTCTAGCGATTATCTACAAAGATTTCGAGTAAAATTATTGATTTTTCTTTTCTTTTTTTTTCTTTTTTCAATCAATGGAATTGTTCAAGCTTTATTTTTAACAATATTTTCACATTTTTACTCCTTACCGGTCTTTTTAGTTAAGTGCTTTAAACGAGAATTCATTTTTGATTTTCACGTGTCGTTTTCACTCTTGTCTATTTTCAATACAGATTTGAAAAAAAAAAATACTATACTTGTCTAAACATCTAATATCTGATACGTACGTATTACGTTATAGTTTATGCAGAACTTTATCAGTCGTATCTGAGAGGCTGGTTTAGGGATCCGACCTACACCCGACATGTTTTCGAAGTACTGTATACTGTTTTCAATATAAATGCTTATAATTATGTTTATTGCAAAACTCATAAATTATAAATGAAAACCATTAACACAAATTTTGTCTATCCACGGTCTCGAGTTTCAAAACAGTTTAAAATCTAGATCAGATGAATAGGGAACGGTAGTAAGTTTTACGGTATAGATTTTTAAAGTATCGCTTGATTACTATTGGAAAGTCAATACGTGATACTTCTGCATGTTTACACAGTATACGGAATAAGAAAGAAATTTCGAAAATTTTTTACAGATATCATTTAATATCTGTATTTGAATGATTATTTAGGTACCTACTCGAATTCTTCGTAATGATAATCGATGAATCGTAATAAATAAAAATCGCCTTTAGAAAACCTGTACAACGTGTATTTCAAATAGTGAGAAGGGGTTTTTTTTCGGTAAAAACTTTTTATTTTTTACCTTCGTACTTAACCGAAGCATATGTATCGGTAAATGATAGTTTTAAAGATTAAGTTTCCCGATTTTGACGAATCTTTGTAATTCAGTATGATTGAGCATTTCATTTGCACTTTTTTTTTTAAGGGGAGGGAGAAAGAAAGCGGTTTGTTTCACAACTGCAAAAAAATGTTAAACGAAAATCCGATTCTATAGGAAAATGTAACTCGATTAGTTGTTTATACTTTTTTGTTTAGCTTCTTTTCAACGCGAATCTATTGCCAGTATAATCCTATGAAAACCTAAATAACAATAATTTGTTTTTTTTTTTTTTTTTTAAGGCACCAGTGTATGTTTTGGCTCAAAAATATAATTTACCGAACAAATTCACATGCCTCGCAAACGATTTCGATGGTCATTATTTCATTGGAAAAAGTATAAGACCACACAGGCCACACTGAACTCCGTTTTTAGATTCCAAACGTAGCGAGGGGAGAGCTATTGGTTTTCCTAAAATGTTTTTTTTTTTCTGGCAATTTTTTGATTTTCGACCCGTTTTTAAATGAAAGCACATATGTGGGAATTGGTTCATGATTTCATTATTTTATAAAAACACGGACGTTTTCTCCTAGAAAAAATTATTTAATCGAAAAATCATAAGACACTTGATTTAATTTCTTACGGTATCATCGCCAAAACTTTTAAGCCACTATTGAGCTTTTAAAGAATTTTAATTTTTGGAAGTTTTTTTGCTTTAATTCCGTTATAAATACACGTAGAGACTTGAAACTAGGTAATGATACTTATATTGGACTAATCTAAACATGACTAAATTTCTAAAATTATTGGACGACTTTTTTTTTTAACAAGCGTTTTTAAATCAAATTTAGAATAAAAATAGCAAAAAAAATTATGGCACTTCAAATTATGTATTACCGAACTTCGCTCGGAATTGTCTTTCGTCAAGTAATGATTTATCGTTGCTTACAGATATAAATGAAATAACTTTATGTATCCTACCTTCATAACTCCTCATCTACAACAGTCGCAGCTTCCATCTCTAGTATCAGCTCTTTTTTTTAAAAATATTTTCATCTCAAATTTTAAAATGTCTTTTGAAAAAAAATTTCAATTTTCAATTTTCTTTTACTAACTTGTTAAATCTCTTAAATCATTTAAAAACATTTACTAAATATTGTTTTACATATTATTTTCAAAGAGAACGTATTCGTATAAATTCTGCATAATATTTTTTAATCACATATATTATATTATGCACACGGATTTTTCGCAAATATTTGTTTTAGTTGAATATTCATAAAACTTGACATATTATGTTAATGGTTTTTTTTTCCCAACAAAACATTAATAATTTACGTATACCTTACGTATTATATTATATTTCGTCACGCGTACAATAAAATAATTTATGTCAATATAACGGATATACAATAAATACGTAGTGCACTAATGAACCACCTGCATTCTAATAATAAAATATACTATATTTGACGTCTGCCGATACAATGTGTCGATTTTGGTATTGAGAACACACCGTAAATTAATAAATCGTGTTAAAATTATTATCGTGTACTCGTATCATCGGCAGGCCCGAAATAATTTTCGCGCAACCGACGGAATCCTGCGGAAATTACAAACGGGTTTAAAAATAAAATGTAACTTCTCCCAATCAAAGAGAATGCGAAATTTGAAAATCGGAACTTTCAAATCAGTGTAATTTTGTGTACTTATAATTTTTTTTATAAAATAAATAAGCCCGATAATGATGATGGGTGTGTGTTCCACTGTTTTAGGAGGAAAATTGAAAGAGAGGATACACATACTTATTTAAATCATATCGTCACACAATGATAAACCATTGCTAATAAAAAACGATTCTGAGCAGAATATTATTTGACGTATTTTTTTTTAATTTCCAAGATAACTCAGAAATCAACAAAAATTATGTGTAGAAAATATTACCAGTTTTCCTCATTCATTAAGAAAATGAAATGGAAAAAAAAAATTGATCTCTTCAATGCATTAACTAAATCAAAAATGTTGCAAGATAGTTTCTATAATTTATTTGATTGGAGCAAGATTTCTAAGAATTTCTAAGAAAAGTTGTTTACAAGCACAATACAAATAATTATAATAACACATCAGCACCTAGCAAGTAAACCGAAACTTAAATATTGTAATACCTACAGTACTCTCCTCAACGTTTTTTTTTTTTGTATTATTTTTATTATTATTAGACAAAATAAAAGAACTATTACTTATCACAATAGCGTATAAAATAAATCGTTAAATCGTACGACATCTTTCCTTAAGTACTAATTTTTCCCAATTTGAAAATAATCTACAAAATTTAAAAAAAATATATCAATACTAGTAAATAGTATAAACGTACAGTACAATCTCCTTTTTTCTATTGATATTTTCTGTTTTGTGCGATTTATTATCGTTGTGAGTTTCCGGTATTGTCATTTACAGTACGTGTATGTATATTATATGTATACACTATTCTATAAAAACGTGTACTTTAGATACATAGCGCCGGTCGCAGTGTGACGGCAAATGCGTGTATTACAGTGTGTACAGGGTGATATTTTCGTTTTATCACGAACCGACGATCAACGACGAACGATTTCAGCTGTTTTTTTCGGTCATCATAACAATGCAATAAAATACGATCTTATTTAAAATATTTTCAAAATTGATCTCATATGATGCGTATTATACTGTCTATATCGAATTTCTATTCTCAAACGTCAACCCACCGCTATCGAATTCGAAATATTCTGAACGTGTCAACGCACATCATGTCTGCTATTAAAATGTTCTATAAGTGATATTTCTCTTTTTGAGTTTGAACTCAAAAAAAAAAAAAAAACGCGAACGGTCGCTATTGAAAAATCGATACTCGCTATAGTCGACATGTGTTTTTATGCACGATAGCTATCGTACTTATGTATACATATAAATAATCGACGGGTTCGTGATAAAACAATCGCTCTGTATAATATATGCACATAATATAATACAGATCGCGGTTAACACACATCGTCATGAAACCTTGTAGTGGTGATCCTTTTTTAGACATATATAATAACATGGTGTATGTTATTATAGTCACGCGTTTCCAATTTATAGATTAATAGACGTACCTATATATTATGCTATAGAGTCTGGGCCGTTCTAAATAATATTGTATAATATACATAGAATAATAAGCATTATAATATTTTCACTCGAAGATTTAAAAATTCACTGCTCGTACCGAGAGTTTACTATTAAAAATCTGTAAGTATACGTACGAGCAGTTGGTATATAAAGGTATATATATATATAAATAATATTATTAAGTAGTGTAGGATACGGTCGTGTATCCGCGTCGATCGCCGGGAGCGAAAACGAAAGACCGTCTGTAGGAAAGAAAAATAATATAATAATAAAAAATTCGTTTACCGTAACTACGTGGCGTTATTTCCATAACCGATTACTGTGATGTACGGCTCAAACTACTGTTATAATCAGTGGCGGCTCGCGAGTCTCGTATATAGGTAAGTGGCATGGTAAATATTTTGAAAATTACTAGAAGAGGGAGAGGCATGTGTTTAATGCACGCGAGGAGACGAATACTGTATCGGATATGTAGAAAACGAGACGTTCTTATCGTTAATATTTTTCTTGATTTAAACTTTAGTATTCAGTAATTATTATTAAAATATTATACCTACACGTGTTTTTGAAACCGAACAATATACCTAATCCAAGAATATTAGGGCGATGTTAAAAATTCGACATTCAAAATATCGTTGAGGCACATTTTGTCAACTATTGTTATACATGATGTGTATAAAAGCCTCGGGATAAATTCAAGATCGAATTCGTACAGTTTTCAAGGTTTAAGACGTATATAGGTAACCTATAACACATTACTTTTATCAGCTGGCAGCTGATAAACTTTAGCTTTAAACTGCTTTAAAACTTAATAAATTGATATTGAATTAATTTTTCTCCTAGGTCCTTAATCATTAAATGATGTATAACAAATTGTCGAGGAACAACCCCCCCCTCCCTCAATCCTACAATATTTTAGATTCTGAGTGGAGCAAGGAATGTATTGGTTTTACAATGATTGTTTATTTTTTTGGTGAAAAACTTTTCTACCAGAAATTTTGTTCCGATTTTCAACTGTAGCACTTTTTCTAAAATAAAATTGAACTGAAGTAATACTATAAGGAGGTCATTTTTTGATTTTCTCGGAGGTTTTCATAATAAAAAGGAAATAACAAAAGACGGGAAAATGTACGAAATGTATTAGTTTAAAATACGACCTTTCTAAACAAGTATAGCCGAACTTCACTCAGAATCGTTTTTCGTTAGCAAATTAACGATTAGATACACATTAGTTTTCCTCTATACCTTTTAAATTTATCATCTACAACAGTGGCTCGTCTATTGTGTGGAGTGTGTCTGGTTTTCGTTGCAATCTAGCTTAAACCAATTCGGAGATTTGACATTTTTAATGTTGAATTTGAAAAATCATTCTTATAAATATATTATTACTGTGGTTATAAAATTGTTGTTAATGAAGCAATTTATCTCATTAGCTCACGAAAATGTCTAAATTGAAATCATTTGAACATTTTTCATGTCTCAATTAGATAATACTACGCGTTTTATAGCAATGACGACGACGATGTTAATCGTTAGATAACTGACAATTAAATAATATTATAGATGTTATTTTTTAACCTAACATGGAGCAATGATAAGACGAATCCTCTCTCGTCCGTGAGCTTCGAGGTCAGAAAACATTATGCTATCTTATTACAATACATAATAATGTATATTATAGAGTACGTACTCGATATTATAATATTTCAAACGATTTTCATCACAAAACTAAATAAATACATTGATACTAATTGACTAAGTCTACCCTTCTGCCTGCCCTATATCACCGTTTATTTTTTAGGTATAGAAACATCTTATTATTACCTTCCGGCAACAATGAGAAATCTAATCAAAAAAGTTTCATCATAATCGATAGTTATTTCTCGAGATTTTTGCTAGTATACAAACAGAAGGAGGGTAAGGGGGGTTGAAATTCAAATCTTCTAAAAGCATATCTTCAACATTATTATGTATACAAACACTAACCCAGTTACTTCATTTGATAATTCGTTAAGGCTGTTTAAAACCCGGTACTTCCTTGTGAAAGCATGGAATTTAAGCATGGTTTGAGAGGGGGTTAAAAGTGAAAAAACCATATAAAGGCATATCCTCGATGCTTACACCATGCATATTACATAATTTACACAATTTCATCTCCTAGAGGTTAAGTTAGGTTTGGAGGCTTGTAGGGATATACAAGGCTAAAATAAAACACTCTCCTCCCGCAAAAACATGGTGAAATTTATAACTAAAATGTTACCGTTTCAGTTTCCCAATAAAAAAAAATTTCTTTTTTCCGAATTTAAGTTTATTTGGTCAAGAGGAAGCCACCAAAACTGTAAAAAAGTAACAGGAAAAAAAATACATAATATACATAACAGGCATAATCTTTATTTTCGAGGAAAATTCGAAAAATATTACGATTCATATTTTATTTATTTATACCGGTTACTGGGTGGAAAAATAAAATTAGATGATGCTGAAGGGTATGCCATCGTTATAGGTGGGAAGTTGAAAAGGAAGGATACGTAGAGTTTTTTAATTTATATCTGTACGCAGCGATAAATCATAGCTAAGGAAAATGATTTAGGGCGGAACTAGGATCACGCAATTCTTTAAAACAAATTATAACAAAACATATATTAATTTATGAATTACATAGCAAAACACAAGCGCATCTCGAATTGTCCCCTATACACAGACACAGCCACCGCACTCGAACATGTAGTCACCGCTTCCTGCCGGTTTCTGTAAATTGTTACCCAAATTATCCTCTCTACACCACCACCGCAACCGCCGCCACAAATTGTTCACTCTTGTCGCTTTACGCGAAACACCGCGATAAAATATTAAAAATGCCTATACATATTTCAAAAGTCACCATAATTATCTGTTATCGTTTTTTTATAAATATATTAATAAGCTGCCTTTGACGTGTGATGCATACATCATGGTAAAACCAATACATGCTTCGCTCCGTCCAGAGTTTAAAACAATATACTAAATATTCATCACAGCATTTTATTAGTTGTTGCATGATAAAAGCAAAATCGTGTTAATACATCAGAGAGAATAAATGGTTTTTAAATTAAAGAATAATCTCGTAAAGAAGTATGCCAAATACAAATATAATTCAAAAGTACATTTATGGGGAATCGATAGGGTTGCAGATTTCTTTCAAGCCCCTCCAAAATTACAGGGATGGTTTTAAGTAAAAGTAGAACAGGCTAGGCGATATCGGAACGGTATTTATGAAAAAAATTTGTCAACCTCCCCCCTCCAAAAATAAATCTCTAAATTAAGAGCACGTACTGATACTCGCATATTGTGCTCTCTCCGTTTTACAAACGTACGACATAACAGATTTTCGTTCAGAAGAGACAATTTTGTGATGTTATTTTTTATGTCAGAGTAAATTTACCTATTATCTAACTTAAGAAAAAAAACATTATCTGTGTGATTTCATATCGGTTTTTATCGGTATTTTAATAATTCAATAGATATAAGTATTGCAAATAATTGCGATATTTCACATACACGTTAAATATAAATATATAATATTGTAAAAAATAATATAATAAAACAGCCAGATATAATAGTGAGAAATAATAATAATAAAAACATTAATTTCGTAAAAAAATAATATAAACTGGTTTTTTTTTTTTGGAAAATTGCATAGAATTATTTTGTATTGTTTAGAATATAGAAATATCTAAGAAAATATAAATTTCGAATTATCATAGTAATTTATATTTTCTTTAAATTTAAATTATTTTATTAATTTTTTTTTTTTGAAGAAGAAGAAGAAAACATACCACAACATTTCGTTTGGAAGTCATCACGCGTAGGTAAATACAGATGAATAAACTCATTACTTACACCACCGTTCGCCGCCACCGCACCGCCCGTAACTATTATTATAGTATACACTACTAAAGAAAGCGATATAGAAACAAGAATTTGCTTTGGAATTCTTGACGCAGCTGTCTCTATAGTCGCGAGTGAAAATCATTGTATATACGAATAATAAATTAACTCGAGAGTTATTTTTATAAAAATATGCCATTTCGTGTATGTTTCATTGAAATTGAACAAGTAATCATATTCAAAAATATAATATCTACATAAAGTGTTGTCACGTTAAAATAATATTCGTAACGAGACATATGGTATAAAAACAAAAATAAAAACTACGCGAAATTAAATCACTAAATAATGAAAAAAAAATGTCGTACACTGTAAACTGGAATATTCAAAATCTCGCGGACCGAGAAATTAATACAAACCCAACCGAATACAGGCAAAATAGGCCACTGCGAAAATGTATTCGATCTGGAACAGATGATAAGACGATATGGGAAATAATATATTATATTGATAATGCACGAGAATTTCCGGAAAACGATAATCTAAGGAGAATATGTAGAAGGATATACGCGGGGAGTGGAAGACCGATGGCAGGAGAATAATATGAAGCACACGAATGTGGGAAAAAATACAATAATCTAAAGAAACTTTATAAGCTACGACAGGCAGAAAGTAGTATGCAGAGCTGTGACAAAGAGATATTATAGTGTTATTTACAAAGAGGAGAAAATCATTAAGTTTAAAATAATTGTAGACTTATCCGAATAGTTACTATCGAAGTATTCGATATATTCAATGGTTTAAAAACGATTTGAATGTTTACATTCAGTTATGGGAAAAACTATTCGAATAATAGTTTTTCGAATAAAAGTATTCAGTTGTGGAAAAAATTGTCGAATAAAATATTCCACAGTTCATCCATTTTTAGAGATAGAAACTCCAAATTAATTGGTCTTTTTTTTTTTTTTGGCATTCTTAAACAATAATACGCACGAACCTGTTCAACCCATTGTACCCACACTAATGCGCGTGTGCATATGTGTGTGTTTTTTTTAGCATTCTTCGTATATTATACTCAGTACTTACTTAATCCGTCAATAATTTTCGATAGAGTATATTATACCCGATGATAGTTATTAATTATTATATAGTAGGTGTTTTATTATCCGTGCATAAAAAATTAACCGTTTCGAAACGATGAGTAAGTATTAGAGGCAGTTATGCTGTTTACTACGAATATGCGTACCGACAAAAAAATAATCGAAATCGATTATTCATTATAAACGATGTAGGTATAAAATTTAAAAACAAAAATAAATACATGAAAAATACAAAAGTGATTCACTCATAAAAAATTATACACTTATAATGCGGGAGGGCAATAATAATATTATCTTTAAATTATCTTTCAATCCATTTGCTTCTTCCCGAAGCAAAACATTTACAATTTATATTTATTGTACATTTCTATTAATATTGATGCGAAATTTGCTCGCCGCATTTTTCGCAGATTGTAGCAAATTCATTTGTTTTTTTTTTCCAAAATAAAAAAACGAATCTACCTATTTTTACTGCTACTATACAAATATTACTAAACTAAAACAATTTAAAAATAATTGATTTCCCACAGCATATACACTGTGTCTCTAGTTTCTCTATCTCTTCTCTATAGCTTAACGGTTCTTCAAGAGCCTAATACTAGCTGTCATCGTGACTCCGTTCCGTCAAGTTTCTGTCTCTAGTGTGGGGTGTAGGTACACATCCTTCCTAATCGATATTTCTCACGTTTTTCTGTATCTTCTATAATTCCGTCTAACCGACGCTTTATGATACTCCCTCTTTCTATACAGCTATTCTTATTTTTTATCTCGCTCGTTATTTTTACACTATCTGCCCTTAAATAAAATTCGTTGTGTACGGTAATTTTGTGATCTCACGCAACTCGTATTATTTTACCTCCAACTATGCCACATTGTCTTCTTTAGACGTTAAAATTCACATCACGTATAAAAAATGAAAAACAACCGTAGTCAAATTAATTGACTTTACATTAGTATTGAATACGTATTTTATTGAATTAACGCAATTTTCAATGTTACATAGCATAAGTTCTACGTAAAAATTAATTATACGCAGGGAAACGTCGAGGAAGTTTGAATACCCGTAATACTATCTAAAACTACCTAATTGAAAACGGATTTTGAATTTGCGTATATATATATAGATATACGCGGCTAATTCGAGATTAATTGACATTTTGCAAAATGCCGGTATTATATTATCGGAATGTGACTATAATATAAGTGAGCGAAATCTGCGAACGGTAAAACGTTTTCGGCGATATTTTAATACACAAACAATACACATGATGTATACTTATGAAATATTGCGTCTGGTAGAGTTTAATTATTGACAAGTAGGTCACGCTTTACGAATGGCACGCAAACTTTGACGGCTGTTCTTAATATTACGGTCCGGCTTTTGCTTACCGGGTACAATAGACGGGGATATTCACAAAACCCGGAACCTTATCGGGGACATTTGTTTTTTTTTTTTTCGAAAAACCCAGTATTCCTCCATAACAATTAACTATTATGTGTCTACCAATGATTTGTTCAAATATATTTTTCATCCGAACAACCATTCTATCTAAGGCTTGCTCCAATTATCAACTTAAAGATGGTTACTAGTAACATATTTTATCCATCCGATGTGTCGAGGAAGTCATTTTTTTTGTTATTCTACTTGTTTAACAATGGGGAAAACCGGAAAAAGGCATATCGGGGATATTTATGCAAATACAGCTGGTTCTGTTGAAATCCATTCGGGTTTTTTTGTTGTCGTTTATTCGTTGACAATTGAAATATTTACCGAATACCTACGGGTATATTAGCATTTTCTAGAAGCGATAAATTTTTCAAAAATAATATCCATGCATTATTCAAGTTATTATGTATCTATTTGAATTTTTCGAGTATTTAGGTCTTTTCTGAGTTGATGTGGATAAATATTGTCAGGTCTATAGAAAAAATTTGAAAATTCGATACAAGGTTAATCGTTAGTTGAAAATAAATCAATTTGAGTGTTACGTCGTAATTTACACCACCATTTTTATTGCTGTATAGACTTTCACAGAACTTCGTTTTGCAACAATTTTTATAAGGTAAAATATGACCCGACCTTTGGAAGGGGCAATTTCCTCATGGATCTTAATGCCCCCCCCCAAAAAAAAAAAAAAAATTAAATTCAAATCAAACCAGTATAAAATAGTAAACGAAGGTACACCGCTTGTACATATTATATCGAACGTACTGTTTTTTAAATTTTTATTTCCGTTTACGAGCTCGTTTTATGGCATCGTACCGGAGATTTAAAATAGATACCTATTTTACAGTATTAATTCGATATTTAATTGCCGAGTCGTGGCCAACAATGATGAAACCATGTAAAGCATATAGTTTGTTTATGTACATCCGGTATCACTTAAAAAAAACCTACGGAAAATCACATGGATGTGTTTAATTACATTTACATCGTATACACAATTTGAGCAATAATATTATTGACAATTATGTATACTCAAAATGGTAAAATATATTATAATGTTAACAAATTTATATTTTATATTTTATTTTAAATAAAAAAAAAAAAATCGTAAACCGAGTTTATAAATCGTCATCGTCGGGTAAAATATTCTCTGCATTTCCATGCAAGTGTTATATCGAAAGTCGACAATATGAACCGATGGTTATTTTTTTGGCATGCGTCATCGTTCGCTCGGCATTGGTCACCAAACAAAACGCAATGCAAATCATAAACGGAAAAATTCTATTACTAAGAAATGTTTTATTTTGTTTAAATCCTGAGCAAAGCGAAACATGTATTGTTTTTACTATGATGCGTTTTCTTTTGTGTCTATCAAACAACTTGTCTACTATTAATCTTGCAGATCCTATCAAAAACTTTACAATAACTTTCTCGTACAATTTTTTATATAAATTGAGGAGGCAATTTTTCGATTTTCCTTTTGGTTTCCTTAATAAATTGAGAAAAAAAAACTGGCAATTTCAATTGTACAATTTTTGTTGATATTGCTTGATACCTTAGCAACAAGTGAACAAACATAACACTGCTCACTCAGAATCATTTGTCAGTAGCGATTGCTTATCGTTATGCAAAAATACATAAATTGAATTATCCTGCATTACATAATACATTCAAATATACCTTCTAAAACAGTGGCACAAGTGCACAATTGTCAGCAGGATTATGCTTTTTTTCAAAAATATTATTACACTATAAAATGTTCAGAATTCTGTCTGATGAATTTCGCGAGATAAATAATATCTTTTTTCCACAATGGAATATATTATTATTATTATTACGGTGCCGGCGACGCGCGCAGTGGGGTATAAGGAGAGTAAAATATAGAAATTGCATCGGGTTCACGTGACCCTAATAAATTCGATCGGTACTATACTCACTTTCTTCCAAACACACCCGGCGCGTGTTTGACCCGCGTATACGTATCACGTGCATACGAGGAGTGTACCGTGTGTTATCACAGCACAGTTGGGTTCCTATCAGTGCAGATATTCGACAAAAACTTTTGAGAGGAAAATAAAAATAGGAAAGATTTTCGGACAGAGATGTTATTACGAAAAACGTCGAATATACAACACGCCGGGGTAAGCACCAGGTATTGTCGACACTGATACACTTTAAAATCAACAAAACGGAGTTTTAAAAACATTCATTATAAGCCTTTGAATCTTAAGCGCCTATAAAACGATTTTAAAAAACCAATAAGGCCAAAATCCCGAACCCCGATAACATATATTTTACTTGGATAGAGGGGGGGGGGGAGTGTTCAGGAAAACAGAAAAACCTAATTATTTTTCACTCGCGTCAAACGTACCTTTATAAGTGTTTTTGTTTTTTTCGTTCTTATCAGTGAAATCAATTATGCGGAGGAAATTATATTGTTAATCTTTTCGTAGAATAGTATTTATTGTATTTTTTTTTTCTTTTTCGTAAATTATATACGGACTATCGACGAGATACCGTTCTCGAACTGTTACAATTTTCCGAGAAACGAGATTGAATTTTTTTATCGTTTTTATACTGTACCAATATTATCCACGAAGTGTGCCCCTACTACCACCACTTTCCAAGTCGAGCAGTACCGGGCGCAGAGGAAACGCGCGGGTGGACGATCGGCACCGGCACCGTGAATCCGCGTAAAACCTGTACCGCCGTTTCCTCCTCCGGCTGCGGCGGCGGCCGGTGGTGGCCTGGAATGTACAGGTACGCGCGCGATACGAAACCGAACAACATGCCAACGAATATTTTCTATTATTTTTTTTTTTTTACAACCGCGGTCGGCGCTCGGTCTTCTTATCACACGCGTCCGACACGATACTACAACCAGATTTTCGCGAGTGTTCGGCCGCTGAGGACACGGGGCCGCGCGTGCCTACAATTATTACCACCCGACGTCGTACACCCACGCCGCCGCCGCCGCCGCAAAAAGGTCTAGGAAATAAACGTCCGACCGAGAGTGGGCAAATCGCACGCTCCCTCAACACCCACCCCCGCCATCCTCTCCGGCCCGAGATAACGACGAAACGCGCCGATATTTACTGCGCGCGCTATTACGCTACACACGGTACGGGGCTCCGTATAATATACCCGACTCACCTGACTTATATCGGCCGCGTCCATTATCGTGTTTACGTCGGGACGGTCGCGGACCGCGACACACCATGACAGTCCGCCAGGCGGGCAGGACGGGAAAAAAAAGCCCAACCGGATTTCGCGACCACGGCGGAAACGAAAACGCCGCCGAGAACGGTGGCGCGACGGCCGAGACGGGAGAGCTGCGGTCGCGGCGGTATCAACACGAGCGCGCGCGCGCCGACTGGGAATAAAGAAACGCGACTACGGCGGCGGTCGCGTGTTTTGGGACGCACTCGGCCGGTCGGTAGCGGCGGACTGTCGCGACTCACCGCGCCGCCGCAGCCGGTGCACGCACGCGCCCGCGACCAAAACCAGTCCCTCTCGGGCCGTTTACACGCGTTCGCGTACACACTCGCTACGGTAATACGCACACACGACGCGCACGCACCACTAACACAACAACACACTCGTCGGTAACTATACGTAGACAGAAAAAAAAAAAGAATACATATATACACACATATATATGTATAAAAAAAACCAGTGATATTCAGGCCGTACCCTCTCCACGTGCGTGTGTGTGCGAGCACGGCGCGCTCTGTGCGAACGTACCCGAACACCTATAATGTAGAATAATAATAATAATAATAATGATAATAATAGTAATAATAATAATAATAATAATATTATTCCGCTTAACCCAAATATACACATATAGGTACCTAGGTTATACACACGAGACTGCAGCCGCCGAAAATGTCGAATGAACTCGACGATGGTTGTCCTCCTACTCCTCCTCGTCATCCTCGTCCCCATCCACGCTCCTCCTCATATCCACTTGTTGTTCGCGCCGCCGTTCGGACCGCGTGTATACTATTATTATTATTATTTTTTTAAATTTTTTTTTTTTTTACCTATACGACCTTGATCAGATTTTCGCCGCCCGATCGATCAACCCGAAAAGGACGATGCGCGACAATATTACAATACTTTTAAGGCGCGTCCACACAATGCTCACTTTCTCAGAACAAAATAATAAAGATAATGACTCACTTTGAACAACGTTTATGCTGCAGTACTCGTTATCAATTCTCTTGTACTTATAATGGACCTCCTGTTCAATTTCCAAGCATTTCTGTCTGGCCTAGCAATTGCACTTATAGAATACCTACCGAATAAATATTATGTAGAAACTCTCTAAATTAAAATGTCTATTAATGGCTCAAAGATGGTTGAAAATTTTACCACGTATATAAATGTCAAATATAAGATTTCTGTTCAATTTTCAAGCCCCTCAAACCCCTAAACGTTTTTCCATAGTTATTTCGAAAACCGCTTGGAAAATCAAAATATGACTTTCCCAAAGGACCCTCCTCCTTGGAAAATTTCGGAAAAGGTGTTGAATAGTTGTATAGTTGAATATCTAATAATAATAGTAATCTAGTAATAATATATAGTCTATAGTTGAAAATCGGAGACAAATGTCTGGTAAAATTTTTGTATACTGTATAAAAAAAATAAATAGGCATTTTAAAACCAATAAACTCCTCACTTTGCTCAAAATCTAAAATATATAATTTCTTATGTCTTAGTCGTTATAAAGTTGTATACGTTTAATGCGTGAGGTATACGTGTAGCGTGTAAAACGTTTTACTCGCGTATATTACCAACCCTGCAAAAAAGTGTGGACAATATTTTGCTTTAGATATTCTTTAGTTCTCGTCATAATGCACATAATTCACATACGGAACCAAAATAAACATGATACAAAACGAATACCTAATTTACTTAAAATTTAATATAGAAATAGAAATGTTTCCAATTAGATCCAAAATAGAATCCAAATTTCAGGTAGAAAAGATTTTTACAGGCATAAAAATAAATAACAAAAAAGTCACACATCATAGTAAAACCAATAAAATCTGTAAAAAAAAACTAAAACTTTTATAATATTATTCGAAAAAAATAATTTCGGTTTGAAGCCTTGATTTTACATCTAAACTATCAATACTATACTGTAGTTAATTCAAGCATTTGCAATAAATACAATATTCTATTGTATTTACCTATCGTCAAGAATCTAGACATCAAAACTGCGTCCGTTTCGGGCACATTAAAATGTCGAGGGATCGCCACGTGAAATATGATCATAGTGTGGACGCGCCTTTAAAATATAATGGCAGCTGCGATTTTTATAGCTATATAGAAGACTGCAGTACAGCGAAGACGACTGTTTTTAATACGATTTTTTATCACGATGACCGTCACGGTATTGGCCTAGGTATATACAATAATTTTAGATATTATTTGCTATAACAAGAGAAAAATTCGACGGTACATATATAACAGAAAGAAAAAAAAATAGGCAGGTAATCGGCCGGAACAAAATAGTAATATACGAGAATAAAATATTGTAAGCTATATAATATATAGGTACACACAAACGACAAAATACACAACGCGACGACGTCACGACCTTAAATACACGTAATTATTACGCACTATCGCTTTGTTTTGATAAACGCGTAAGTGATAACAATATTAAATGTTTTTTTTTTTACAATGTATCCTGTAGAGTTGATAGACCACTCGTAATCGGCTCAACAGACGTATAGGGGTCCCCTATTTGCGAATGCACTCGTATATATTATGTATAATAGTTAAATGTGCAGCAAGTGTATTTACCCAGATACTCTGAACGGTTTGAATTCATTTCCAGGATATTTAAACTGAAAAAAAAAAAATCACCTGCAAACCGTTTATTATAATATGTTTACAGAGCACACATGAGACCAGCAATAAAAAATACTGTAACTGTACTTGGATATGTAGAGATGAACGGATTGCAATATAAATTGTATTGTATTAAAAGCCATTAATTCAGTCGCTGTTTTAGGAGAGGCGTTGGAAAGGCGGATATCTATATCCCCTTTCTATATCTCTACGCAATTATAAACCAAAGCTAATCGAAAACGATTCTGTGCAGAGTATTAGCCGTGATTTTCCTTGTTTTCAAAATTACACAAAAAATTGCTAGTTTTTCCCAATTATTAAGAAAACTACAGGGAAAAATAAAAAAAAAATAATACCTTTTAAATATACCAGCTGAATGAACAATTCTACAAGAAAGTTTTTATAGAATTTTTCATTTGAGCAATATTTCTAGTAGAAAAATTGTTCACAAACCAAAAAAACAAAACAAATCATAGTAAAACCAATACCTAGCTTCGATTCGAATCTAAATTCATTCGTTTTAGTGCAATATAGTATTTTCATATTAAGTATGTAAACTGGTTGTGTCAGATTAGCGCGTTAGTTGAATAACTAATAAATAATGATGATACTACGCAAGGTGTTAAACGGTCGCACCTAATAATAACCACGACACCATGAAAGTGTACCAATATTATTAATATTCGTAAAATATGTTTTAATTTCTAAATAAATAGCTCGTAACTCCTCACTCCTTCCTTAAAAAAACGCGCTCTTACCCATTTAAAATTCGAACTATCAATTCATAATTGTCTAGCGCCTACAATAATAATAATATAATGTTTATATACAATTAAAATGTTAGTATTAAAACAAAAACAACGTTATTTTCAATGGTTAAAAACTTATTAACTTATGTTATTTATTTTCCGACTACACAAAAAATAAAATATTTGTATTATTTTAATATTAACCTGTTCGTAGAAATTTCAATTTAGTAATTATTGTTACTTCGATTTTATATTCAACCGCGGTACCGTATAAAAAGTCGTAATTATATTTCATAATATGAAGGGTGATTTTTTTTTTTTTTATCTTGATCCTACCATTACCTGCGAATATTTTGAGTAAAAATGATTTTGGTTTTTTCACTGCTTATAATATGGAACCGTTAAATGATTTTACTTGTAATATTTCCTTATTCCGTGTAAACTTGCACTTAATAACAAATTTTTATTTTCAAATAAACCCTCCCCCTATTTTTAAACCAAAGTTTCTTAACATTTTAATAAGCATAACGCTAATAAATTGGATTTACTAGAATTTATCCTAACTGATATATGAGTTATAACAGTTTATAATTTTAGTACCGGAAAGGTAAGGAATAGTTATCGTTTAAAAGCGGATATTTAGACGTTTCTTCGAAAGTTTCAAAAGTTTGAACCTCCTTTAAGGTATGATTATAAGGAATAAGCGTAAAAATTTGAACATAGTGTTAGTGAAAACATAAATCGAATTTACTTAAAATCTACCGATAAAACCGCTGGATATTGCGGTAACACAATCATCCATGGTACAACATGATAGATATTTTATACAGGAAGTGCACCGCACGACAGTATTACGTAATAAAGTTTGCTCCGGACAATATATTATTTTCGTTTATTTTTTATGGTTTATGATGTTTACGTTCTCATTCTACAATAGTGTACACGTGCAGTTTTGATATTTAAAAAGTAATGTATTTCCCGAATTTCTAAATAAATAAAAAAATATTAATAATAACAAAATACAATATAACATTTATAATTCATAAACAAAAAAGTTGTATCATTTTTTTTTTTTTTTTTTTAAACACATCAATTGTATTTATAGGCAAGATAGTCAGATAGTGTAACAAATATTGAAAAAAAAAACTCCATAAAATATCGTCTATACATATAGGATACGTTTAAATTTATTGTATTTGCCACGTTCTATACAATATTATTTTTGTATATTTGTTCGGGATACACTCGATATAATATATTGTATACACATAATATATTATCATTCGTGTGTATTAAATTATTTGAAGGACATCGCAATATAGTTTACTATAAGCGCACAAGAGAATTGTATACATCTTATTTACGGTACCATAACTCCTAATCCACGGTCGACAAATTTAAATTACACAATTAACATAATACTTTTTTCCGACTTGCATACGCCACAGTGACATTTTCGTTGGTATACACTTCAGATTTTATCTAATTTTACCTAATCGAAAATTGTAAACAGGTAAGTATAATAACGATAAAAAATCGTCATACATATTTATATATATATATATAGTATCAAACAAAAATGTAAAAACATACTTATATGCTAACGAATTCAAAAATTAATTACGTCCACTTGATTTAATATGAAGGGTATAAATCAACACAATTTAATTTCGTAACAAATTAGAAAAATGATAATTCGGCATCACTCCATAACTGTACATAATATATATTTAAGATTCAAGGACGTACTTGAACGTTGCATTTTTGTGTCGATCAACTGTGCAATACGTATACAAACAATTCAATAAGACACAGGTATACACCTAAAACAGTCATTATTATAAATAGCAGACAAATAATTATTATATCATTTATAGTAACGACAACTCAGAAATGGAAGTGTATAGTAGAACCGACAAACATATTATCGTATAGGTACAAGAGCAGTTTGGTATTTTGTTTTATCTCACTTTCGAGTATAGATTTTAGAGTACCTATACGTAAATAATATAAAGTGAAAACTTCCAATCAAAATGATCGATCCTATGATACTCGATTATTGATAATTTTCTGTTATAGAAGCAGAGATGATAAATTTAATTTTTTCACTTTTTAGACGAACAATAAGTTGGTACAAATATTTAAAATTTGTTTACGAAAAAGAAATTTCAGTCATATTGAGACGAGCCCCAAGAGTATAGATGTTCCCAAGAATAATATACAAAGACAGATAATGAAAACGGAAGAAAAGAAAACTACACGTGCATTTGTTCTTTTTGTCTTATACAAAACCACGACATAGTAAATTTATATCCAGCATAATAAATATTTTGTGCTTTTAGTTTTGATATTAAAATGAATTGATCCATTATCAAATATACGTTAGTTCGGTTTCTTTATTTTGATTTCCATGCGATACTACACAAAGGATTTTTATATGATGATATTTCACACGCTCATATCACGCATTGAAATGTCGAAAACAAACAGCGCGGATAATGTTCTTCCTTGAAGGCTGATAATAGATCAATTCGCTGTAATATTAATAAAAACAGACAGTACAAAATTGGTTACGCTGATCGTAAATTCGCCTTATCATGATGCGTTTGTCAAGACGGAGACAATAAATGCATATGCTGTCTTCTAGGAGAACCCGTATGTGCTGTCTACATCATGCGACCAAAGCGACATACCGAATCGCCGTTCGGCAGGGACAACTCAGCGCTGTTAGCTTTGATTATAGAATGAAACATTGTCAAACTTAAAGATGAGAACATTACCCTGCGCCGTGTATTCGGTTTTTTTTTCGTATTTTAATTTTTTAAGCGAGATACGAGTGGGCGCGATGACGCATGCTCAATGCTTATATCTCGCTTGAAAATTAAAATAACGAAAATAAATAAAACGATTGCACGGCGCAGATAGTTTTCTTATTTTTAAGTTTAATATAAAAGGTTAATTCGCTGTAATATTAAAACATAGTCGTCCCTGCTGAACGCAAATGTGTTTTATGTCGCTCGATTGTGTGACGGAGACAGACCATGCGGGTATGGGCGTCTCTTGCGCGTAAAAAACACACGGTCGAAATAAACGCGTGACCTAATATTATTTAAAAAGCAAAAACCGCGAGGTATTGCTGCGCCGTTAAATTTTGTATACAAAAATGATATTCTTTTACGCGCGTTTAAAACGTGAAATAAAATAATGGTCATATCGCGATAAATCGATATATTATTCCGTACTTATGCGTGATATTATTTTCAATAAAAATAAACATGAAATTAGGTAACTAGTGTTACAACAATGTCTGAATAATGTTATTGGCCACTTCCGCGATGGAATACGATGAAATCCATACTGTTTAAAATATGTAAACGTCCCACGCACGTCGTCTCCCACACTTTCCACTCCTTTCTTGCCACACACGCAAAAAAAATAAATAAAAATAAAAATCTGAGCGTCTTAAAAATAATATACAAACGTGCACGCGTTTGTAAGCGATATTATATATTATTATTTTAGATGTTAATCACCACAATTGTCTATTTTTTTTTTTTCTTAGTTATAAACGAAATCGAACGAGCTTTTTGTTTTACATTATCTCGCATACTGAATCTAAATAATATTATTATGCACCGCCGAGTTGTGTAACCGGAACGCCTGGTTACAGTGATAACCCCATTGGTATTGTGTGACGGCCAAAATAATTATACAGGCAGTTTAGCCTATATACCATTATTTCGAAAATACTCGTATAATAATGACCAACAATAAAATCAAAGTCAAAAACCAAACCGCCTGCAATCATTTTGACGGAATTTCATAATATGTATATTATTTTATTGATTGATCTTAATAATAATAAAAACGATGCATATCAATGATGGGTAGGTTGTACCTAAAGAAAAATATCGATCACCCGCGGCCAACGGACGCCGCAGTCTATGATTAATATTATAATAATTTTTTTTCAACCTGTTATTATCACATGCACACACTGTAGCTGCCCCATCATAGACATATTTTAGTATTATTATAACGAACGAACTAAATTATTAATTTTCGGGAATGTCTGAGCGGACGGTCCTCGCATAAAGTATATAGGCAATATACTACATTCCGATACAATATTATTGGTATTAATTTTCGACTGTCAATCTTTCAAAAAAAAAATAATAATAATAATAATATTATGACTATTAATTAATGCCTATAGGCTCAAAATATTCAAGTTTACCACGATATTGTAGATAGATCGGTTGCACGACGAGTTCGTATGTACAAATATAGTGATAAGTTGATGGCTCCCGAAGTTTTCTCATATTCTAACAGAACGGGGTCCTCTCCTCAAACCCTCCTACACAGGAATGTGAACACCAGCACACATTATTTACACCTTATCGTGTATTTTATTAACGATAAAGTAATCGCTAATTATGACTATGTATAATATACATAATATATACACTAAACTATACATTGTATATAGTTCACAGGTATGTCACTAGGAAAAATTAATCTACGGCTCTTATCAAAATAATAATATTGGCGTCCACGATTATTCTTCATATCACGGTTAGTCGTGATCATTACTGTAAGTAACCATAGATTATAATCGTGATACCTACCTACCAATCGAATTAATATGATAACTGGCAATTTCGGAAATTGTTTTATTATTATGTCGATACCATGGAGTAAGATAAAATCGAGAATATAATGGAATGGTATCGAGCAGTTAATCAGTGACACCAAATTGCTGTACTGAGACAAGGCCGCAATGAAAACCAACGATTTACAACGCCATCCACCTACAACGATTCTAATGAAAATAATAATATCACGGTTAAAAATGTGACGTAAAATTAAACCACAAGTATCGCTGAAATTATCTGATCTATAGTATTATGATAACATTATAGGAAACGTTTGCGGTCCTTCCTTTTGTCATAATTTGCTTCTGTGGCATTTAGTTCCTGTAATGTATTTTATGCGGTCTACCCACGTAGATTATTTTATTTATTTCGTAAGGCCTAAGTTGATTTCACAAAACAACTTAGCTAACAATAAAATATAAAATAATACATATCGTAACATAAAATAGATACATAATATATAAAATATTTAACAAAACATCATTATAGAATTATAGAAGAAGTGATAAAATGGCTTATCAAAACTAATGTACGTTAAGGTCTATAATCCATTTTATTGCATCTATAAGTGTAATTGCATGCAGTTTTCCAAAATTTTGGCTTAATTTTGCAATTTAATATTTAGTTAAAATATGGTTTATTGTCTGTTTCTCATTGTTATTTTCATAGGTTTCAAAGCTCTGCGTTTATGTAAGAGAGCCCCACACCGACCGTAGTCTGTACGCAATCTGTTTAATGGAAACCAAGTGGTACAAAAGAGATTTATTTCTAGGACTCCATTTTTGGATCTAATACGAGTTTTCTATTTAATGTTGTAGAGATAACTCATTCTTTTCACCATTCCTCAGCGTCAGCGCTGTAAAACCCTGTTACCCTTGTCAGTTTTTTAGCGGTTTCTCCTGCAAACTTCTGTTTTTCAATCGCTGCTCGGATAATAGATGTAACATATAGTAAAAGTGAGCACTCTTCAAACTTCTTAACGGTTTTTATGAGTGCTTATTTTCCTTCGTATTTGCAAGGGTTTAATATTTGTAAAATCAATAATCATTGGAATGGTATAGATTTTACGATTTTATTAATTATCCACATAACACTGTTAAGTTGCGTATCTAGTTTCTTCACATTTAGGTAGATTTTGAAATAATACGTATTAATATTGTAATGCGTTAAGAATGTCAAATTAATTTTATTTTTTTATTGGGTATGATACCATTTTTATTTTTAAACACTTAATAACACTTAATACACGTTTGATGTTTAAATCCTATAGCTCCGCATCACAAAACGTAAATTATTACAAATCTCAACTACCTACTATTAATTTTTATTTTTATAAGCACTTCACCATTCGATTATACATACCGCTATGTAATTTCTAAACAGATTATACCTAATTAATAACATTATAGCTACATTAAATAATATAATGTTATTGTACAGTATAATATTTTTAACCGTTAAATAATAATATTATAATAAATAATGATAAAATTATTAAAAATTAATAATACCATATCGAAACCTATAGATAAAAAATTAATATTATCATGTACTTATAATAGTTGTTCCGAACTGTCGTCGTTAAATTACAATATTTTTGAAGTAGGCAGTTATTATCAGAGTTATTATAGTATCGATACCAGCGCTGATTAAGTATCAATACAGAGTGATTTTATTATCACAAACTATTCTACTTTCTCGGTGGATTTTACACAAATTCGATTTCTGTTTTTTTTTTTTTTTTTTTTTAATCGTTTTTACGTTCTGTTTTTCTATTCGAATTAGCATTCAAACGTGGGACGGGGTTCTTATTTATGAAATCAAAATTGTACTCATCTATACTCATTTAAGGCATAAAGAATAGCGATAAAAAAAAATTAAAAATATTAATGGAGTAAAGCTTAAACGATTCCACATTAATGATTTAAAAGAAAAAACCAGACACAATGGATAAACAGTTTGTATCATCCTGTATACACAGTGTAGTTACTCGTATTTGTATAATGTTTATCAAAAATGCACTTCAGAAACCGTTCTTACGACAATGTGTATAAATTAATTTAACGCAAATTCGAGTTGAATATTATAATATTTGATTTTACAGCTTTGGTATTATAATAGCGCGTGTATGTATATTATACACTATAATAAACGATTTATATTGTAGTAATAAGTAAATAATATACGAGTATCGTAAACTTTTGTTAAATTTAAATACCTATATATATATATAGGTACTTATAAGTGGCCATAAAGAGAGAAACGGTTAAACGGGGAACTAATAAGAATACGATAAAACCGAACGATCTCCGGGACGGCGAGTGCCGTCGAGTTAAGAGTCGTGCATTTATTGGCTCCGCAGCAAAATTGCGTCAGTCATACGATTGGATGATAACGGAATTTTTTTATTTATCGTGGTAACGTGGAATACTTAGTCTCATAGAGAACGCTACGCGTGTTAGGACGAATTTGCGATCAGCAAAATCAATTTATTGCTGTTGGTTCCAGTATTAGAGAAAATTGGCCTATAACTATCAAACCTAAACGTAATAACATGTTATCTGTGTATACGTTAGTTCTTTCCGTTATTTTAATTTTCAAGCGAAATACAAATATTTTTAAATTGTGATATTTCACACATTCAATTCTCGCTTAGAAGTTCAAATAACGAAAAAAATGTACACACACAGGTCAAATGTTCTTATTATCTTTACATTTGATGATGGTATGTTTACTATAATATTAAAACTGTCAGTCCAAATTACTGGTAGAAAAATTGTCCACAGAAACAAATAAAAATAAATAAACATCATTGTAAAACCAGTACATTCCTCGTTCCGCTCAGAATCTAAAATGCCGTTGGTATCCAATTGTCATTATGAACATTTAGTCCCCTCCCCCAAAAAAAAAAAAAAACCGTGATTTTCCGTCGTATAAATCAATACAATATTCCAAATTGAATTTTCGTTTTGTAAGATTATACTATATAATGGGTATACGATCCAAATTCCAAGTGCGTACCTAATACGTTTATAGGCGCGTGCACTGCCAGGAGAAACTCCAATTATTTCTCACGGCGAATTTTCAATAAGAGTTAAACGAAAATAAAAAACAAAATTAAAATCGTAGGCACGAAGGAAAACAAAACGGAGAGATTATTCCGATCTTTTAAAAATGCAAAGGTTTTTTTTTTTTTGTTTTAGAAATACGATGGCGGCGAAGACAGCGCAATAATAATGGTAATTCCGTGTAATAGCTATACATATTAAATTAATCACCGGTTTCGTATTTCTCGTGAATTTTGTGAAAAAATTATCTTTTCAGAAAAAAAAAAAGAATGAAATCACATTTATAGTGAACGTAATATTATTATTGTGATATTGACGTTGTGTACAAAAATAATACTACTCATCGATAATATGCCGCAAGATCGATGTTTAATTTGTTCCGATTCCTCTGTGTAATAAGTGTCGAAGAGTCCGGATATAGGGGGAGGAGGTCACGTGAGGTGGGATCACACCTTCTCCGTAAACTTCCGATATTTTCGCTAATTTCAAGGGTAATTCAATTTTATAGTCTACAAGATTATTAATTTCCTTTTTTTTTTTCGTATTTTATTACATGATGGAAAACGTACTGTTTAGTATCGTTATGTTTATCAAAGGACAAAAAATAATGGGAAAACACATTGTTTGACGTCGGCAAATTTGCATGAGTTTGAATAATTTTTAATCACACATTTCCATAGATTTTTGTTAGCGTCGACGTACTTGTATATTTAACGAAAAAAAAAAAATATTTTCTATAATATGAATCCGACGAATGATACTTAATCAAGATTTTAATTTAAGTTAATGTCTCTTAATTGTAATGGAACCATTTGCAGAATCATAAGTGAATGCTATTCTTTATAAATTGTACAACACATTGGTCCATCTAAACTCGACTGGAGAATTGCAATTGTGTAAATGCCGAATGCCTTTGTCACTGTATCACGTACGAGACAGACAAAATATCAGAAGCCCTAAAACTTGTTATTATTTTAACGCTATTTTCATATATACCCATCTATACGATTTGGTTCATGTAAAAAAGACCCTAACCGTGTAAATTCTACTTTTATAAAATTAAAAAAAAAACTTCCTAACTCTTTTGTATTAGAATATACAAAACAAAAAACCAACAAAGCTGTTTTCTGGCCCAGTAAATATCAACATAAGAAAACAACTCGTAAGGTATGTTCTTGCACAAAACACGATGTAAATACCTCCGAAAATTCGTTTCATCTAAAAATCCGCTAAGGTCCTTTTTGCATGCGTTAAACCATGTGGATAATTTCGATCTTCGTAAATTATCGCTGGACCACGACAAAACGAAAAAAATCGTCCCGTATTGGAATAATATATGTAGGTTTAACGACTTTTTATACAACGACATTGAGTGTTATCGTTAGGTTAGGTTAAACTGGTGTGATCTTAACCAGAATGAAAACAAATCTAATAAATTACAATAATATTACTCCGCGGGTAATTCAATTATTATAATACCCAAGTACCTTACTGAACGCTCGCGTCGAGTGATTTCATTATACAATTTATGAATTGTGCGCATGCACTAGTACTTTATTCTCATGCTATGAATCGTTAGTTATTATTAGGGTCCGGATCGGTATGTTCAAAGAAAGCTGAAACACGATCCTAATATTCTCTGAAAAAACCTCGGAGAAAACCTACAGTTAATATTATCCCGACGTTCTCTTGAAATTCGAAAAATATGTTTTTTTTAAGCGAAAACAATCTATATAAATATAAAATATGCAAAAGGTAATATTTTATTTATTATATAATATGCGTTTTTTTAAGATAAAAAAAGTAATAAATTATTAATAGAACACACATCCATTGTAGAGTAAAATAAAAAAATGATTATTTTTTTTTGGTTTGACTGTAATTGCATAAAGCTTAAAAAAAACACGCAAACAAAATATTTTATGATTTGATAAACGTAATGTTTATTAATCAACGTTCTTATCAATATAAAAACCACTAGCAGCAAGTTAGCCACCATACACTTAGTGAAGACATGATGACTTAATACTATCAGTATCTGGTTTAAGTTTGTCAAAAACAATTTTAAAAAACCAAAGTTAGTTGAAATAAAAATTGTACAGGTTCGTACCTTAAAATCGAAATTAATAATAGGGTTTACAGTTGCAATAAATTTGCTTTTCTCTCATAACTTACAAAATAATCCAAAATATGCTAAACGAACCGTTATCCCTAAAATATGCAAACAAAAACGCTTTTTCTGTGAACTCAGTGTCAAACGAATCGTCCATATTTTTCACTCCCATAAAACTGCGTGTACTCAGTGTAATGACGTGTAAAAAACAAACAAATCCGAAGGTCCGTCTCACTGGCACCCGTAAATCGCCCCATTGCGATCGGCTTCAGACTAACATAATTATTATGTACGCGATTTGTATCCATTTGTGTCCCTTTGAAAAAAATTGTATCCCCTTCATTTTGCTGTAAAACAGCATTTTAAATACGAGCGCTGAAAAGACCGTCTCTTTGACGTCCGCAAACATTAAAATTGTATGGACTTCGGACCGATTCCATTTTTTTTTTTTTGTACTCAATTTTTATTCACTTGAATCCCTTTTGAAAAAAAAAAAAAAGGTAACCCCTTCACTTTGCTTTAAAATGCAGTTTAATAGCAAATTGAAAGTATTAAAGTAATATTAATATTAATGTAATTCAGTATTAAACAGGCACTTAATTTTCAATAGAGCAAATAACAAAATAGCACGAGAGGCCGTTTCCCGAAGCTTTGCCCTGGCTATCAGGGTGAATGTTGCGACGTTGCTGGGGAGACGGTCTGCTTTTATGCCCAACTGAATGAGGATACAATTATTTTTGAAATTGGTTCATATGTATAAAAATCGGGTACGAAAAAATAGCATAAGTCCAAAATCTATGATTTTTAGCTGACCTTTGATAAGAGACGGTCTCCTCAGTACCCGTATTTAAAATACCGTTTTAAATCAAAGTAAATACATTTTTTTTTTTTTTTTTTTAAGGGATACAAAAGGATAAAAATAGGGTACATAAAAATTATGTTGGTCCGAAGTCGATAGGACGATTTTACAGGCGTCACGGTGACGGACCTATAAAATCCGGACTCCGGTTGTTTGTTTGTTTTTATTTTTTTCGTTTTTGAATCGATCCGATCTCGGTAAACGCAACGATGAAATATGTTTTTCGATTCATTCATACACACACACACACACACACACACACTCACATACATACACGCGTACACACATTGCATACATTAAAAAAAAATATAATTTTTCTGATTCGACGTGGTTTCATAAACGGTTTCGTCTACCGCGGTATAAATAAATAACGATTTTTATTTCGTCCGACATCGTTGGTTTCTATGAATAATACGAAATGCGCTGTACGAATTACAACGACGAGGATTACATCTGCACCTATATATCTGTACCTACCCAGTAGGCACTCGTATTTGTGTACGCGGTTCGGCATCGTATTCAAATGGAAATGCGTATTATAGTGGGTAGGTATCGTTTGGGAGTTGGTCTGAAAAAGCCTTCTAGTAAAACATACACTATTATACGTATAATACGTATTACAGGCAGGCGCATAATATTCTACGGGTCGCGTACAGATAACATTCAAGAAGAGACTACATTCGGCCGTGATGATGTTGTTTTTTTGTTTTTTTTTTTATCGGAATCATTACAAACCGAATTATTCTTACGCAACTTCGAATCCGACAAACGTCCGACCGTAATGAATTTATTCCTATACGAAAACGTAAATGACTTCACGTCGGCCGGTTGTCGCTAGATTATAACAATTATGACGTTACACAAATGCGCATACAAACAGTACAATTGTACGATGTGCATAACGCGCCGTCGAACTTCAACAATAATGATAATTATATTCGCGGTCGCCTGGTTGGACTGTGAATAAAACCGATTTTTTTTTTCTCGTTTTTATTACGTCGTTCATAATACCTATAACATGTATGCGTGTATCGGGAAAAAAAAAAAAAAAACACCCGTCAATCTGAAACGGAGATTTGTACATAATCCTATTGTGTACGGGTAAGCAAGACAAGTACATAATGTTTGTATACATATATATGCATATACGTATCTATACCACGGTTTCAGACGATGTGCATAACTAAAATTTGTTTTTCGGCTTAGGGCTATCGATAAAAGCTTACGAATATTCGACCGATTATCCGGGAACCCGGCGTAAACATTTTTCGATCGGGCGAGCAAAGTGGTGCCTGTATGATATTATAATGCACCGACGATGTCCTTGCGACCTTTAACCCATTTACTCCTGACCGCCACTACGCCACTTATGCCTACCTCCCCCGCGGAAAATGCATAACATTACGGCAAATAACGTTATGGGTTCGTACCGCAGAGGGTAAATCAACAATCAGTGGCGGCTACCGCGCATCTGAAAATGTGCTCAAGCACTCCGTTCGTAATTGTGTGTTGTAACTATTAGGTCTCGGACATCCAGTTTCAACTCACAAGTTCTTTGATTTTACATAGACATAAATACATAATACTATATCATCCTATATAGATTAATAGAATATTAGATTATAAATGAATCTATTATGTCTATGGCCTAAGACGGGTGGAAACAAAAATCTACGTGATAACAGTCAACATAAATGATAAGATTGTATTGTGATAATGATATTTCCAAACTATAAATAGAAACTCGATCGACGTTAATTTGTGTTTTAAAATTATAAATGCATATTGTAATTCATTGTAATCAAATTGGTTAATAATAAATTTATTTTTAAGTAATTATTATTAATTTGTATCAATTTTTTTATGTAAATAATAATTTTTAAAATAATATTTCCAGAACGACATAATTTCACTAAGAACAAAAATCAAATAAGCAAGGTTAAGAATATATTTAGAGTAATTTAACGCAAATTCATGTACATATTTTGGTCGTATGAATACATATGTTTGTATTATCAACACACATACAAATCCACACATAATACAATGTATTCACGCGTACTTAGTATTTAGTAATTTAGTAAGTAATTTATAGAGTATAAATTATAGTATATCGGCATGTGTAAAGCAGTTGAGTAACTAGGAACTTATTTTGGGGAGTGATTTGAGTATTCGTCATTAGTAATATTAATATTTTATTATATATAGATAATGTCAATATTAACATTTAACGTAGAAAAAAAATAGGTTTTGTGGGTATGATATATCGCCCACATCACTCCCCCCCCCCTCTAGTTACGCCACCCACACTGATGTGAAGTGAATACATTTAAAAACCTAACCGATTTTTATACGGCCAATTGTAAAAGAATTGAAAACCCCATTAAAATAAACTTTGAATGTCGGTAGGTGAAAACGTTTTTTACGAGATGAGTAATCTGCCGGATTACCCGAAATACTATAAGGGGTACACTAGTCCGTTTTAAGTGAGCACCCGTTATGTTTATCGACATAGCCGCCACTGTAACCGCCGCCACAATATTAATGCGTACGCCCGATTCCGGAATACCATAACGATTACCGATACCTATTTTCTATAAGAATGCCGACGATTTTTTTTTTTAATAAGATTACCGAACATTCGCACGCCGGCCATTTCCGTCAGCGATTTATATTTATACATTTCCCACCATCCATCCGTCCGTCCTTATCACGCGGCGGTTCTTTCGCGGAAATGACACAACGTAAAAATGGCGAACGCGAACCGTTTGTCGATCGGTCGTCTGCCGGACGGACGGGCCAAGGCGGTTCGTCCGATCCGCAGTACCTGTACAGTTCACGTTGCACCGATAAATCCCGAAAATGCCTAGTCTAGTGCAGCAGACGTAGTTGGGTGCACTACGAAAAACCAGTTGTAAAATCAACAAAAAAATATTACCAATTTGTTGGCCGTACAGTGTCGACCGACTCGTCAGTCGACAGTCACAGTGACCGACGACACACGCAACTCTTGGCGTAGAACGCTCGGGTATAAAAAATAGTTTGAAAAAAAAAAAACAAACCAGCTCCGACAGCCGGAGTAAAAACCCATTCGACACTGCATAATAATATTATAACAATAGATATCGGTCTTACCCGGTGTCCATAGATCTCGACGTCGATTTCCGTCCGCATCGGTCGGATTTTTATCAACGTGTAATTGTGCCTCGAAAAGATTCGTCAAATTTGAAGTTTCTGTATCTGAACGTGTCCCCGAACTAGACGATTGCGCTTCGGCAGTAGGAGGTTTAGTCGGCGGCTGGCTGGGTTCCGACGGCTTTTGAATGTAATCGATTGGACGCCGATTACTCATGTTAGTACGCCGAAAAATGTTAATCGTATTCACTACTGGCGATCGGATACAGTTGGTAGACGCTGGAAACGATTGAAATCATTTGCAATAAAATCGAAATGCACGTTAAGCGGAAAGTAAAAAACGCTGCGAAAACCACGGTAATATGATAAGCTGTATATTTCACGTAATAATAACGTTCTGTTAACAGCGAACACCTGGGTAACACTTGATAGCGATAACACAATAATATTTGCTGCGGGCAAATATAATGCGCAGGCGCATTCACACTGAACGCCGCACGGGCACCACGGTGCACTCGTACCGCGCGCGCTGCGGTGGCCAACGTCCGCCGCCGCCGTCTCGAACCGGTCCTCGCCCGCAGCAATGCCTTCTTGATCATAGTCCGCGGCGAGATGGTTTTTCTTTATCGGACCGTTTTCTCAGCAATTCCCCGGCACTGGTCACACTGGTCACCGGTCGACCGTGCCTACCGGCCGCGACAATCGCGGGAACAACGTAAATAATTATCAATACATAATATATATTGTGTGTGTGTATGTACCGTAAGCGTCTGCACTAAAGAGTAATACGGTATGAATAGCATGATATTTATGAACATTTTATACTTTTTCAAAAAACCCCTTTCCCCCCCTCCCCCCGAAATATTTTCCTGCGTTCGCTCCTGCCGCCTCTAATTCAAATTTCGCTAAACATGATTCTGAAAATAACCATAATAAAATGTTTGGTATGAATACAGACTTGGAAATATTAAATACCCGAAATAACATTTGCATTAATTCAGTTTTAGAAGAATTATACATACACAATGAAATGCGGTATAACTGGTTTCATTTTTTTTGAATTTGTGTTTTATTGTCATTCGGTTAAACATAATCGAAGACACTTTAAATTTTCACGGAATACTTGTATTTCGCATTTCTAGATATAATTTAATACGAGGTTTATAATAAGTCGTAGGTAGTTAAGATAGTAGTAAAAACAGTTGAGTACAGGATTTTTTAATTCAAATGTTACACGTATTAGTTTTATACAATTTGATTCCAAGGAAAATGGGTAAAGTCAATTTTTTTAGATTCTGAGTGAGACGACGAATGCATTGGTTTTACGATGATTTTTATTTTTTTTTTTATTTTTATAGTGTATACAAGTTATGTACAGTATGAAAACTATGTACGACCTCGAGCTATTGTTTAATATTGCAGGTCTCCCGAAGCTTAGGGGAAATGTCCTGTCCAGAATTACGCAATACTGTAACGCACATTGTTTAATATGTCCAATTATTCTATTACAAATATTGTTACCATAAAATTTACAGTGAGTATACGTGTAGGTCATGCGTGGTTTCGGATAAATTCCCTATAAAGGGGTTTTCCTCGAACACACTAGTCGGTCTATATAGTAATATTTTAAAATTTTCTTTTGCTTGCGATACAATGAGTTAGGTACTAAAGGTGGCGATCTACACCACACAAATAGTTTTATAATAAACTAAACGAGTACCTTTGCGGAACATGAAATATTGCGGCTAGATGCAAAAATTAAATTTTAGTATTAATACTCGTATATTAATAAAATTAATCGCTAGGCTAATTATTTATCGCTATGGCAGGTGGGTTTCAATACAAATATAGCATTTTTTTAAGGCGATCTAAGACAATACCTATGCTATCCAAATCCAAGTATTTATTTAGATTCATTCTAAATTAAAAGTACTCCAATAGTGAGACTTTTATTTTGCATTTTTTGTACAGTTTTTTTCCAGAATTTTGTTAGTTTTAAAAGCAGATTTACCCATATTAGACGACTATTAATAGTTTAAATTTAGATAATTAGACCATATATTATATCAGAGGTTTTAAAGAAATATTCTTCGTTAAAACAGATTGCTAATTACTCAATTTTGATAACGTCTTTATCATATGATTAATAACGGCTGCGGTGCGTCACAGAGCTCAAACAAAAACTAGAAAAGTGAAACTGATATTTCGTATTTTTAAAACATTTTGGGTCACTTTTTTAAGAGCATTATTTCCGCATTTCTCAATAGTTTTTAGTTCAATCCTTTTTAAAATTTTTTATGCGGTTTTTGTCGAACTTTATTCGAAAAAAGAGATTATTACATTTTATACATTATATTACATTATATATAATATGTCTGCCGCTACTTTTGGACACTTGAAGCGGCTTTAAAGTTACCGTTAAAGTTGTTTCAATTGCTGATCGAAGTGTTAACATTTTGGTTTCAATATGAATGTAACCACATTTTTGCAGTAGGAAGGCATTAAGTCAGCTGCGGGAAAATTTGATTACAGTGACGGAGCTTTGCCGGTGGTTTACAGCTATTTTATATAAAATGCGATTTTTAGCCGATGTCCGTTTTCCTCATTGAACAATTCAACGGATATCATACAAACTAAAATAATTTAAGCATCTCTTCGTGAAATGAATAACGGTGACGAGCGTCCTCCTGAAAAAAATATTTGAGAACGGTGTCGTGGAACCGAACGCGATGACGTGAACGTGAACTGCCGCGGTGCAAATAAAGTACGATAATATGAAACTGGGAGTCGGCAATTGAAACCGACGGCGTTTGATTCACATCGTCTAATTACCGGAGCTGCGAGTATAATAATTATGTACGTATAGTTATAATTAAATGCCCGTGCTTGCGTACCCATGACTCGTGTACCCGTATAATATTATTATTATATTTTATGGGTCAAAAACCATAGGGAAATCACGCGGTCACGTGAAAAAAACGAAACGAAATTAAAAAATTATGTGTCCCGAATGACGCCGCGCCGCGCCAGGCGAATATATAAAAAAGTCACTAGGTTTTGTTTGTTTTTTTTTTTTTTTGTTGTTTCTTCGCTTTATTTTAAAACCTATAGCTACCCACACATATAGGTATACAGACACCTACAAAAGTATATCGTGTGTAGATTGTTTCAACAATATATATATATTTACGAAACGACGTGTGAATATGTTTTTATTGTCTATAATAAACGCAGCCATAAGTAAACAAAAAAAAAAAAAACACGTAACGAAAATTAGGTTTTTGGGGTTCCTACGATAATAACGATAAAAATATAATATTTTACAAATTTAAATCTCGGTGTGTTTTTTGGGCGTGAAATAACGGTATTTGTTCGTTAAAAAAATGATCTAATTACAAATACTCATGGCATGCATATAATATTTGTATATATTTACATTTAGATAATTATTAGCAATAATTTATTCCGAATTGGTTCCCGGGGTAATTTTAAAGCGGGCTAAATTTCTCTTTCAATTTAAAACGGCATTAGGACTATCTTATACGTATTACATCAACTAGTATAGTACGTGTATTATAGGTAAACAAATATTAATGTGATAAATATTATTCAATGGTGTTACGCAAACGAAAACACTATTTAATACGCACACTCTACGGTTATTGGTGTATTGGTGTATGCAAACACGAGTATCGGCAATATATTACATTATATACATCAATGCATAACAATTATGGGAAATATGTTAAACGAATATACCTATTTAATAATATGTTTATATTACATTTCACCATTTTCGGAAGTCTTTATAAGGAACCGATTAAGAAAATTTCCCCCTAGAATTGGAACCAACTCTTATATCAATGTTTGGTCGTGGAAACCAGTTCGGTTACAGTCATTTATTCGTTTAGGCTAGGGATACCTACCTAAACAATAATATCTGATGTCTCGGTACATTCGACGCTTACCTAACAACATCGAATATCGAAATCGAGAAAATTCTTGGAATCGATTTCGATATTGTATTATGCTAAACAAAAAAGTGATAACGTGGTTAAACAGATTAGATTGAATAAATGTGTATTTTTTAATGAATTTTCAGTTTTTACATCTAAATTATAAATGGTGTTTTATAATAATGAATAATATTAATGACTAATATAATATTAATATTTGTTTTGTTTTTTGAAAAAGATATATGAAATGTCGAATTTTACATTTTTGTATCATCCATCTCTATTAGCTCATAGTTTGGCTATTAAATATCAGACTCTGTAGTCCATTGGTATAAATAAATCTAATTTTTTTTTCCGGGAGAGAAAACATAACACCCCATTATGATTATTAATATTAATCACGTATACTTAATATTTGCATGAGAAGGACTTGGTTTGGGGGGAAGAGGGGCTTGTGTGGGTTTTGAGGGCTATTTTTTAGGGGTGCCTCTATCGTGTACTATTAAAGAGCAATGCATTGATCTGTTTCCAATAATTGGCTGCGAATATTGTATTAGGTAGGCATATAATTATTAATTATAATATATTTTATACACATTGAGCAGAACAGTGGACGCAAAAACAACCACTGTTTTACCGCGGTTTTAGATACTTGTTCCAATATATTTTACAAAATAACACAATAATAATATATTACTACTAAAATAATTGCAATAATTTGGAAAAATTTTTCAACGCAACGAATAATATTATTACTGATAAAATCGATAATGTAAAATCCGTTTACACTGAAACGCGCAACCGTCGGCGTAGTGCAATAAGTTGACTGAATTCAAATTTCCGCTTATTCCCCCTACACCGCCGAAAGTCTATATATGAGTCCAACTGCTGCAACAGTACGTATAATAATATACGTATTATTATAATATGGAATACATTTGGTAAAATATGCTGATGAACTATTTCAGTACCGTAGAGTTTAGTAAATAGTGATTCGAGAATATTTTTGAGAATATCAACGTGACGACTGCAGTTCAAGGTCGAAATGATGGGAAATTTCGAAAAGAAAATTTAACGAGATGTATAGGTAGAACTGGTAAAACGGTCGCCAGTAACTTTGTTACCCTGAAATCCGCCGTATATATATATGACCGAGAAAACTTATAATGAATTTTGTTCGGTGTAAATAGAAAGAGAAAGAAAGAGAAAGAGAGAGAGTGAGAGAGAGATGAGAAAAGGATCTTTTCAACGAGAAGTAGGT